TGTTAACTCAAATACTAGTTGATGGAATTGGTTCAAATTGTATGTCCTTATGCCAAGGGACAAAGGAACTATGCTGAAGATGGGATTTTAAAATGGCTGCTAAATATCAAAATGGTGGCCATTTTTCATAAAAAATGTTATCTTTGATAACTCAAATACCAGTGAACGGATTTGGATCAAACTTTATATGATGATGCCCAGATACAAAATAGCGGCCATTTTTCGTAAAAAAAAACATAATCTTTGATAACTCAAATACCAGTGAATGGATTTGGTTCAATTTTTATTTTATATGCTGATGTTAAGCAGGCCTATAACTTGATGTCCAAACAAATTTGGAGAAATCTGATGAGCGGTTTTCCTGAAATGGCAATGACAAGATTTATCAAAAAACCTTCAAAATGGCTGTCAGAAAAAAAGATGGCCACCAAAAAGTTAATAAGGTCTAGAACTTAATAGCCTCTATCATGTGTGTGAATTTGAAGAAAATCAAATGAGCAGTTTTCCTGAAATGGTGACAACAAGATTTATCGAAAAGCCTTCAAAATGGCCACCAGAAAACAAGATTGTCACCCAAAATTAATCAGGCCAAATACTTGATATACTCTATCATGTGTGTGAATTTGGAGAAAATCCGATAAGCGGTTTTCCTGAAATGGTGATGACGTGATTTATTGAAAAACTTTCAAAATGGCTGCCAGAAAACAAGATGGCTGCCTTAAAATTAATCAGGCCTAGAACTTGATATCCTCTATCATGTGTGAGAATTTGGAGAAAATCTGATGAGCGGTTTTCCTAAAATGACGTTGATGTGATTTATGGAAAAACCTTCAAAATGGCTGCCAGAAAACAAGATGGCTGCCTAAAAGTTAATAATCAGGCCGAAAACTTGATATCTTCTATAATGTGTGCAAATTTGGAGAAAGTCTGATGAGCAGTTTTCTTTAAATGGCGATGACAAAAAAGCGGGTCGATCACAAAAACGATCACAATAACGATCACGCAGCCATCATGACGACTATATCCCTTTTTTTGATGTACCGGCGTTCATTTTTTGAAGTTCTTCTACAGAAATGTTTTTGCTTGGCAATTATCAGGTTAATTGCGTATTTGCGTGACATACTCTGTAATTTCTTCAGCAAATGCATGACAAATACGCAAAATGTGGGACAGTTGGACGGCCTATGTTTGTGTGTGAATAAATGAAAGGTCAATAGAGTTACAGTGCTTTGTAAACATTCTGTCAAATAATACTCAGAATGGTAAGGTTAATGAAGCAATCCGTAGTTCTTAGTAATAGTAAATATTAAAGTCACAATATCTCAATTAACATTATTACAGTGGATTCTTAGAAATTACAGGTCGATGGAGTCACAATGTTTCAGTAAACATCATATTATTTCGCTGTCAGTTGAATTACTTTTTACTATATTTAAATCCCTATCTAAATAGTGGTATTTACAATAAACTCACTATTAGTTTATGATGAAATAATAAACAAACAACACAGTATATTATAATAGTTATTATGCACTATAGATGACATTACATTATACAGCATTTCATTTCTTATTTCTAAAAAATAAAATCCTAAGTATGGTTAATGTAAATATTGGGCATGTACTGGTAAAGAAGCAGTTGGTCTCACATGGTGAAAAAGCTGATTTCTCCTGAACAACCAAATAATAGTAGGAGCTAGGACCAATAGTGTAATTTACAGACTTTCATAATAAAAAATTGTTGATGAATAGATGGTCACTATAGTTTCTATAAGTATGAAATCAGTGTAGCCTTGCCCAAGTCGGTCTCTTTTACTATCTGATTTCTATTATGACCGCCTTGTACAAAAGAGAAAGCCATGTGCTTTACCGACTCAATGTTTATGTCGGTAAAATTTGACCAATCAACGACGGCCCTGCAGCGCTAGCTCATTATTATGCACGGTCAAAAACAAGTACACTTTTCGTCGGGGCTTTTCACGAACAAATCTTGCATGAATTCATCATGAAAATACAAATATTTTATCAGATAAATATCAATCAGAGTTAAGTGGATGCTAGACATCGATCGGTAACCGGAGATTAGAAGATTTCAACAATAAACGTTGAAACGATCGCTGAATTCAAATGAACATGTAGGCTAAGATTCAATCACTGATCGACGACTACATGACCCGCTACATTGGACTAGGTCTTGCATTTTCATCGCGAGATCAGTTTTAAATCTATTGCATGATTTAATTTATATTAATGACTCTTACATTCCCTATGTACATTTAATTACATAATATATTGTAACTCTAAAGAAACGATCGATCAGAGCTGAGACTAATATGTCATTGAATTTCAAGTCGTAGACGGGAAGATTGCTTTGCTGTGCAGCTCAACCTGATAACGTTTTGATTGGTCAATCAGCCTGAAGTCACACGTCGTGTCCACGCGTATATCTGTTAATCAATAAGGTTTCGCGATACCCCTGATAGCGTAGGTATTATGGAAATCTCGAAACCGTTTAATATCTCAGCATAATAGCAGCGGAGATGTATTGGATTGTACAAGGCGGTAATAATTCAAGATCAGATAAGTAAAAAATACCGACTTGGGCAAGGCTAAAATCAGTGCTACATCGATACATCTGTTGTATAAAATTATATAAGTATGTAAGTTTTAACTGATTATTGCAGGCAGGAAAATGGCAGGATTTTAGAGATCTCATTCCATTCTTACCTCCTGTTGGCTACACAAAAACACAGTAGAAAGTAAGAATGTTAGAAAACAACAAGCTGAATCTGCCAATTGAGAATATGCTCATTTAGGATCTTTCCATATCTACAGGGTGTCAAAAAACAACGGCACCCCCCTCTACAGCAAAAAGTACTTAATACTAAATGGTGTGTCATATCTCATTTTAAAGACAATTTAATTCTGGAGTTACCTGAGAAATTTCAGCTTTATATCATATAATTTTACAGATTTACAGCGGATTCTTAGTAGTTGGTATGACCACCAGTTGCTGCTCAAACAGCAGCTTATCTGGACAGATATGATTTCAATGAAAATTCAGATAAAGGTGTAGCATTGCATAATCCTTTAAGCACTTTCCTCAAATTCTTCAGAAATACATCCCCACTGTATTTTTTTTCAAGAGGCTTTTCGTCCATCAGTTCCTATACCCTGTTTTTCAAAACTGAACCCATATGTTCAGTGCAGTTGAAATCTGAGCTAATTCTTTCATATTCCACTTTCTGAAGATTTGGCCTTTAACCAGTAAAAGAGCAGCAAATAAAGTACCAAAGTAGCAAACTTAAAAACAATGTAACTTTTTTAATATAAAGTTTTATTAAATGAAATTTGAGGAGTAACTCCAGAATCAAATTATCTTTCAAATGATGTATGACACAATATGGAACATTCAGGACTTTTTGCTGTAGAGGGGGTGCCGTTGTTTTTTGACACCCTGTACTGTCAATTGGTTCAATTTTATGCTATTTAATTTGAGAAATTGTCTGCACATTGCTGCCTATTTAAAGATGTTAATTTAAGTGCAAAAAAGGCTCCAAAACTTAATAAAATATGTAGTTTGGATGTTCATTTATGTCTGTGGATTATATTTTATACCACAAACACTTAAAAATACCTGAAATTTGCAATAAAAGTGCCAAAAAATTGTTGTTTCGAAATTCCCCATTTTTCCTGTATTGCGCTTGTCACATGACCATTACGCGTAGCAGGCAATGTAGAGTATTACAGATATTACAGTAAATATAGTTCAACATGTTCAATATGGCAAACATCAGCGATTCTGATTCCCGGGTTCTGGAAAATGGCTATATAAATCGGCGAGAGGGTGTAATTTGACTGAGGACAATTTAAGGAGGGGAAATGTGTCCAAGTATGCCAGTAAGAGAGCAGATATGGGGACTTTAGACAAGTACTATGACAGAGAATCAACAAAAAACGTGAGTTCTGGAATGAAGACCCGTTGCTGTTGACTGAGGATCCCAGCGATCCTTTATCCTTCCCAGATTGAATTTAGACACAGAAAACAGATTATGAAAACAGGTTTTCTGCAAAGTTATCAAATTTAGAAAATGTGGATCTTGTTTTTGAGTGGCTTAACGAGCGCGCATTTAGATACAAGACTTTGCGCAGACTTGCAGTAAATTGGCCATTGCAAATTGCAAAATCAGATCGTCAAATTAATCGCTTCGTTTTTAAACATATGCTTCATATCTTCATCCAAAACTTTAGGATTTGATAGAGATAAGTTATGACTTGTACAGGAAGAAATGGCAGATCCTACCTTAATTTAGAATCGCTGATTTATCTGGTTCAACATCGCGATCAACTCAGACTACATGTCGTGTGCATGTCACTCTGAACTCTGAGCGTGATAAAATACGGCATCTTGATTGGTTACTACTCGTCTTGTCATGACGCGAAAAGCAGTAGTAAACACTGAATATGTTAATGAACTGCCATGTATGGAACAACTGTCTTTCTGATTGGTTAACTTTTCACGCCTCCTAAATGAATATAGTAGTCGTAGTAAATGATTCATTGATAACTATGAAAGTGGGCGTGACCAGCTTTATTTTGACACCAAATTCAAGATGTTTCAAATCGAAATGGCCTCGCAAGACGAGGTTGAAATATCGGCAATTTGATACTGATATGGTCTACGATAGATCAAAATTGCCTGCCCCGCGTCACATGTCACGTGAGCGTATATTTGTTCAAAAATGAAAGAGATAGTGACACTTTTAAATCTTAAGTTATTCCAATATTTCAAACACATATCCTATTTTTTTCATTATGTATTTATTTCTTCATTATATGTACATTTCTTTTAAACTATATTGATTCATTTTTGCAAAACCTTTGCTATTAGATCTTTAAGTTGGGGATCTTGTAAAAATGAATGAATGGCAGCCTTAAACAGGTAACAGATGAAAGCAATTTACAGTAATGTATTGAGAACCAAATAAAACATCTACTCACGAGGGCTTTCTGCAGCATCTGTATGGACCGTTTCTTCTCATCAAGTTCCATTCGTTGGTTGAGAACAGTTGAGGTTACTTCTGAGGCTTGGGCAGCTGCACGTTCCATCTGAACCAACTCATCACCGGTGGGAACCAACAAGGCAGGTCTCTCTAGCATCTCATTCACCTTGTTAATCTCCTACAAATACAAAACCATGTTCAAAAGCAATAAGTAAAGTTGGTAAGTATTGTCAAGTTTACTTATGAAGCTTGGGTAGTTAGAAGATGCACTTACACAGGAAACAAGGCAGGTCTTTCATGCATTCCAAATAAATCAAACTTGTTAATTTCTTGAAAAGGATTAATAAAAAATAACAAAGAATAAAAAAACATATTCAAGTTATTGTAATAAGAAACACAATGAAATAAACATGACAAGATTGACAATGACCATGAAGACATTAGTTATTCAATTAAAACATATAATCATTGTTGAGTTTTTCATTAATCCGTTTCACGAAATCAATTTCAATTGAATGTCAATTCACTAAATATACATACAACAATACAGAGATCATTCTGAATTATCAAGTCCAAAGCTCAACCTATGAATTTATTACAAGAAAAATAATTCACATTAACAATACATTACTATAAATTAAAGGCATGTATGAATAAACATGAATATTTGTAAATAGTCAATTAGATAGAAAAATGATGTAGTTCAAATAAGATTCATCACAACAAAGTAATAACTCTACCTGATCTATGTTATCCAAACGTTCAGTCGTGTCAACCTCATCTAAGAAGGTCATAATACTTTTCAATTTTCCTTCAGATAATAAACCGCTTTTTGAATTTGGGACTTTTTGTTTATTAAGTTTTTCTAGTTTATCTGCGGATAGGTACCCTGCACTTTCTTCATCTGAAGTAGCACCAGTGGCAACTGGAAGGAAACAACATAATGGTCACATTTCAAAAACATTTTTACATATTTTCGATCAATGTGATCGATATGTCCTTATTCACATTTCAAAATCAGTATGGACAAAAGTAAACAGCTAGGATAAAAACCAGAACAACGGCAACGCCAAAGCGTAGCGAATCCCATCGAACAGAGATAGCTGGCATTTTTACAAACGAATAGCAAATATCATAAAACAACACACCAGAAAGGCCACCATTTTCAAAATGGTTGCTCACTTGCCAAGGTGTCATCAGAAGAAATAATATGCTTTTAAGTAGCCACCTCTAAAATTTTTGAAAAATCGCACACGTACTTGTAAAATAACACACATAAAAATGGTGGCCATTTTTCAAAATGGCCGACTACTCCCCAAAGTTTTATTAGACAATGTGCCATGATTACAGTATTCACATATCAAATATGAACAAAATCGCTCCACTACTTTTCGAGTTCTAGTAAAATACGTTAAAATGGTGGCCATTTTTCAAATCTTTTTTCAAAATGGCCGCCTTCTCACAAAAATGTCATAGGACAGTGTGCCATGCTTATAGTATTCACATACCAAATATGAACAAAATCGCTCCACTACTTTTAGAGTTATAGTAAAATACGTTAAAATGGGGGCCATTTTTCAAATTTTTTTTCAAAATGGCCGCCTTCTCACAAAAATGTCATAGGACAGTGTGCCATGCTTATAGTATTCACATACCAAATATGAACAAAATCGCTCCACTACTTTTCGAGTTATAGTAAAATACGTTAAAATGGCGGCCATTTTTCAAAATGGCCGCCTTCTACCAAAAGTGTCTTTAGACAGTGTGCAATGCTTATAGTATTCACATACCAAATATGAACAAAATTGCTCCACTATTTTTGGAGTTACAGCAAAAATCGTAAAATGACGAGTAAAGGCCGCCATTTTTCAAGATGGCTGCCATGCGCTTCTTTAATATCTACATTTGTAGCATTATTAATGTCCTTTATAATTTTTTTACATTTAAAACATATTGCTATTACAGTTTTACATATTGCACCTAAATTACTGTAAAATCGGCACTAAAATGGCCGCCATTTTGAAATGAGCGGCCATTTTGAAAATCGGCTTTCGAGCAGAACTTCTACCCCCATAGGGTATATGTGTACAAAATATGAACAAAATCGGGCCAACGGTATTTGAGTTATTGCCCGGACGGACGGACGGACGGACATACGTACGGACGGACGGACGTACGTACGGACGGACGGACGGACGGACGTACGGACGGACGGACGGACGGACGGAGGCGTTCCCTATATCCCTCCGAACTTCGTTCGATGGGATAATAAAAGACAGATGAAGTCAATAATTTTAATTTGCCTTTCCCATCAACCAGATCATTATGTCCTTATTTACTATGTCGTAAAATTGGCTACTCATGATACAATATGTTGCAGTTAGCAAGTTACAGATTCAAAAATATGTATATGTTACAGATCTAAATACTATGTTTTTTTTCCTTGCAATGCTCCTTTTGCTCTATATTCTTGCATTGTTAATTTACTTTAAGTTTTCAAATGTGTTTAAAGTGTATAAATAAGACTTCCTTTATAATAGGTATATAACACAAGCATGTCAATAAAATCGTTACACCATGACACAGTAATGTTATTATATGATTGAACTTTGCATAATCGAATCAAATCAACATTATCCCTGGTTCCCTTACCAGTCATGACATCTTTTGTTTAAAGCTATTTCATTTTATTCAGTAACTATAAAGAGAACAACAAAGAGGTACATCATCATGGATCATGGGCATACCCAAAGGGAGGGGGGGGTGCAGTTGGTGCCACCACAAGTCCCTTTTCGAGCAAATTTCACTATCCCTGGGGATTTTGTTCACAATGCTGATGAAAATGAGATTCAGAGGAAAGATGAATTATGTGCTTGGGTGAAAGAGGTGGAGAAGCTTGGCTTCATGTATGATGATGGAGATGTTTTTTATTATGTAGAGTTGTAGACACACCACCTTTGGAAAAATGGCAATCCCTCCATTTGAAATCAAATCACTGCACAAATAACATCCGTATGTGAGAAATTATATGAGATGAGTATCAGAATGAAAGGACAAAGGTTTAGCTAAAATACATACACCAACTTTTCCTAGTTTCGTTCTTTTCTTCAATTTCAATTCGGGGTGTTGGAAATTTTTCATCCTCTTCAAGGAGTTTGAGTGTGCTCATAAGATCATCTAAGGTTGTTGTTTTACTTGGAGCATTACTAGGGGTCTGAGGAGGCGCATCTTCAACACCAAAATCATTTTCTACATCAAGTGTCCGATGAGTTATGTTATTGTCCTGAAAAGGTACATACTGCTATATGAGATTTAAATAAATATTACAGATTACATCGGCAAATCTTCACTTACAATCAGTAAGGAAATGTTCATGAAATCAGCTATTTCTCACCAGGAGAAACACATCAATACAAAAAAGCTTTTACAATCAAAGATAATCATGAAAATATATGAAAAAATTACTCAATATCAAATAAGAAGATTGGCACTTTTTGATTGTGATATCATTATTAAGTTCACTTTAACCCTTTCCCGACGTGAATATAAGAGGAAAATGTTGGCTCTGGTGACAGATAAGTAAGAGCAGTTTTTAGGGGAAAACTGCAAAATACCTACGCCCCGGGACCTATACCCTGAATTTTATCACTGAAATACAATTTTAAGTAAGGATTATCACATTAGAACAACTTGTCAAAATTTGGTGTAAAAATACTGAATAGAACTGGAGATTGTGTCATTTCATTGATGTATATAGATAAAAATAATGGTGCCAAAAGGAGCCTATCGTCCTGAAAGGTATTACATAATAGGGCTCCATATGGAGCCTATCTTCGTGAAAGGGTTAATAAGCCAGTCCAAAATGTCATTAGAGAGAGTTCGCACCTAGTGAAAGTACAACTTATAACGTATACTTATACTTATAGGTAAACGTACAAGGTGTTTCATAATGTGAGCTTTTCGTCAGGAAAGATCTTCTCGGACTATAATAAATACAGGTCAAAGGGATGCCATTTGTACTTTCTTGAATTGTAGCATGTTTAGTTGATCCAAATGTGTTTGTCTAGAATAAAATAGGCTCATATATAGTACATATGCTATAGACCCATCTCTTCTCAAATTGACTTTTTGGAGATGCTCGTTATGAAACACCCTGTATGTCATATGTTGAGCTACTGAATGGGTCGTTTCCAGGAATTGCTAGAACCTTCTGGTTTGATTGGTGTTTCAAATTGATGGTTAAAGTATTTGATTGGATACTGTACTCACTCAGCCAATTAATTTTAAAAAATGCTTGCGGTCAATTGTTCCACACACATGTAGGCAAATCTTTATACGGAGATCCAACTGTATACGTTATCATCTACGTAAATATACCGTTTTGTAAGTTCCTTGAACTTATACTGATCATGAAAACATTGAAATAATCAACTTGTTTATGTGATGACTCACTTTAAAGAATCACGACTCCCTTTAAAGGATCGTGTTTATAATACACTACAACTACAAGGACACGGAAGCAAGCATTTAATTATAATGTGCATAATCTACACGTGCAGATGACAGTGCATTCATAGTCTCTAGTTGATGGAGCTTTTCTATAACGGGAATAGTTATGTTCCATTAAGTACAATTTAAAATTGATTTTAGTAAATATAATAGTTCGACATGACCCTTTAAACTATACGTATACGTATAAGTTGTACTTTCACTTATGTGCGAAATCTCTCTATTACCTCTTCTGTGGACTTTATAATATGCTTTATATTCATTAACAGCTGACCACTGTGATAGACTTCTAATCTACCAAAAGCATGATTCCTTATATATCTTAGAATGTCATATAAGAAATAAAGCACAAAATGTATGTTAAAATCTACCTACTTGAAATATTTCATCAACCTTCCTCCCTACACTGCTTGCTGTGCCAGGACGTTTTGGTGACTTGGGCCTTGCAGGTGATCTTGATCTTTCAATATCATCTTCACTATCAGTCTCTAAATGTTCGTTTGACCGACTTTTGGGACGTGTCTTTTTCAAAACTTTCCTTTTGATATTATTTTTGTTGGATGGATTTTTGGTTAGTTTTCCATTTGACTGAAGAAAAACTAATTCCTCTTCTGCTTTCCTCTGGTTTTCTATGCGTTTCCCTTCTCGCTTTTTGTGTAGCTCCTGCAGATGTAAATTACACCAAAATTAGACCCAGGTAATATACAAAAAATGGAAATTAATTCTTTTGACAAAACATTAAGATATTATTCATTGATAATCTTTTAAGCATATTGCATGCATCAAAACAAAAGACATCTTGCTATTCATCAAGATATAATGTGCATGAAACAATATATAATAGTAATATAATATATTCTAATTCAAAACAAAATACACAAATACGAATCTAATATTAAGAATGGCACATACTAGATAATATTGAATCATGAAATGCCACATCTTATTCATTGTACCCCATATATGCATTCATAGGGAAAATGAATCAAAAATCAATTACTAAAAGTGGCCAGAAATGGTTAATATCCAATACATGTACACTGTATTTAAAATCTCAAGTGGGTTTTCAACAATAAATGTTCACATTTTCAAGTTTTTTGTACATTTTTGTACATTTTATTAAAGAAACTTTTGAGAGACTTTTGCTTATAATCTTATCTTACCTGTTAATTTAGTTCAGAGTTTCCGTGTAACGAACCACATCAAAATAGAGACTTACTACAATAAGTCAACACAAACTTGAAATAATACTTAAAGCTTCCACCTTTTTCACCCTAAGCTGACAAAACAAACCCCTCTACACAGACAATCACATCGAATCATCCCCTCTAGTGATCTATAAAATGTTGACCCTTTTATGACACTTACCTGTATTGCCTGTTGTCGGGCTTGTCTTGCTCGATCTTCCTTATTTTTCTTCCTATCATGTTCTACTTGTCTCTCTAAGTCTTTCTTTTGTTCATCTTGCTGACTCTGCTCTTGTTTCTCCTGCCTTTTCTGATCCAATAGTCTTTTCATTGCAGCTTCAGCCGTTCGACTCCGTCGTAAAATCCTCCGATACCAATTTTGTATTTTACTTGCTGACATGTTAACAACCTTTATATAGTCCTCCGCAACATTCCTACCGACTGTTTCTGAATTAGTTTTTGATGATTTTGTTATTTGGTTCACTGGAGTCTTTGGTTTGATATTTTGGTAGCTATTTTCTATATCACTTAGAGAGGTTTTTGTGCCAGGTGACATAGCCTGTGATGTCATATTATTGGCAATACTATTTAATGTTTGTGCTTTCCTAGGTGATAACAGTCTATGGCTATTTAAAACATCATTATTACTATTTGGAGTATGCAACAAATTATTTCCATTTTGATTTCCATTATTTGCCAAAGATGTCATTACACGTAAATCCCTTGAATTTCTTAATTGTGATAAGGACTCTTGTGATGTTCGAAATTCTTTTGAACTAGTTTTTCTAATTGCACCTCCTTCAGGGGAGAGCTCTACAGAGTTAGTTTTATAGATGGAGCTCTGAGTTGTGAGAGACTCCCCCGATGTTGATCTACGAATCCTGGCTTTGACTTCCCGTAAATGTTCACTATCAATTGTGGAGGTGCTACGGGCACTAGGGGGTGTAAAGAAGCTCTGTGAGTGTGTAGTTTCTCTTTCTGTGGTGGCATCTGTATCTACTGTACTGATACTTCTGGCACTATTCATTGTACGATCTCTTGGAGACAACTGAAAATATAGCAATTTGTTTGAATTTGTCTTACACCATACTGATGGACAACTCCTCTTCTGATATATAGCCCTGGTGGTGGAAGATACTTAATGCAAGACAAAGTTTGTAAAAAATGAACCTATAAATAATCAATTTGTGTCATTTTAAAAAAAGCAAGATTCCCTAAATTGAACATGATTTCCACCCCAACTTTGACCCTCTTAGTGACCTTGACTTATAATTCACCAGTGACCTAGTATTATTAAAACTGATATTATATCCTAGAGTTGAGCTGTAATTTAAGCTTGACTTTTGACTTACGCTTGACTGCCAATGTGTATTTACGCTGGCCTTGGTTGCAGCTTTTGGTTTGTTAATCCTAGGAGGTGTATGTGTGGTATTCTCAAACAAAGCAAGAAAATCATCCTTAGATTTTTGGATACTCAATGCTGCAGCCTCCTTAGCAGTTTGTCTACTTGCACTTAACCCTATCGTATCCCTAACACTTGATCGTGTTGTATCCCTTGCACTTGACCGCGTCGTATCCCTCGCACTATCCCCTGCACTTAGATCACTATTGTTGCTTCGTGTACTAAGTGGCCCATTGTGACTTCCAGCTGAAAAGATAAATGCATTTATCAATTTTCAACTGAAATAAATGATGTTAATTTTAACAATGATCTCCAAGTAGCGTTTATTTCTTCATCTGATTCATATAATTGGGACATACTGCTTGCAGTTGACCTCTCTAGTAACAAAGAGGAGGGAAAACCCAGAGTTTAGAGATGACAGACATAATTATGTCTCTCCCTTCATTTGTTTGAATTTTCAACAACTAGTTTCCAAATTACACACATCTTTGTGATGTTTTAATCAATGTTAGCACATTCCTCACATCTTTATCTTGATGTGAAATAACAAGTTATAATATTGGTTAACATGCTAGAAATAACATAATATTATTCAAAGTGTTTTTAGAAGATTTTGAAACCACCATTAAGTGAAGTCATTTGTCTGTAAATTTCACAAATCAGTGACAATGTCTTCTCAATTCACATTTACATTATAGACATATGTCTTCTCTGAACCCTGGGTGCCCCCCTTCTAGTAACATAAACTTTCGAGTCATGACCAGACTTTTATTACAAACACTGTCAAGAGATGCAGTGATATTCCCATCATTCTTTCTCAACAGGATGCAAATCTTAAATAACTCGTTTTTTGTCAACATTCACCATTTTGTATTGTGCAAACAGATTTTGAAGAGGGCGGCATGTAATTTTCAACAGGGTCTTGCATCCAATTGCTCTTATGACAGGGAGATTATTAAAATGTTATTTTCTTTTATTCATAGTTGATTAAAGTTTACCTCGAAGGTGGGTTTTCTTTGACTTTGTGCCTTGGCTAGATCCTATTGTTCCATTCAGTAAATTCTATAAAAACAAAACAAAACATGAAACAATCTGCAGCACCCTGAATAGTAATGCTCATAAAATGAAATCGCATACAGTAAATAATGTTCTCAGAGTCAAAATATTCTAGAGCTGTGTCGGAATCAGAATTGGAACATCTTGGAATCAGAATTTGGCCAACAAAATTATATCTTTTTAAACTCCCTTTTGAAACAAAAACAAAAGTGTTTATCATAGTTAACCAATGATCTTTTGTCTTTCACTGTAGTCAATGGTTTTTTTATTGAGTCAAGCATAAAAAACTTGCACATTATTGACTTTTTACTGAAAATTTTAGCTCATTAAGGTCTTGATTTGGCAGTAACAATTTCTGTTTTAATGTAGATGACAAACTTAAAGACATACATGCAAAACTTAATAACAATTGAAATTCAATAAATGTTTAAATGAGAATATTAATATTTAAAATAGCTGGTAAGCTCACAGATGTTGCACTCCGTGTTCCAGAAGCTGAGCTTGGTCTTTTAGATTTTGCTGAAGCAGAACCAGGACGTCTTTGCTGACCCGACAAGCCTGAGAACTGGGAACCAGTTAAACTGAGATCCATGTCATCAAAGTTTCTACTCTTTCTGCCAGACATAGTGATAATCTAAAATATAAAAGAATTGTTTCACAAATCGAGGAGGGAATGAACTACCCTTTGCATTCGTTCGACTTCGCTTCTTATAAGAGAGCTTCGTCTTCACTCTATCAGTTTACAATAATTCTCTGAACTCACCAAGCCATTCAGAGTTTGTAGTCGATTTATGAATGACTTTCTATATATGGTAATTTTTTCTAACGTCATTGCATAGTTAATGAGCACGCATTTAGCATGTGTTCCTTCCAGCTAGCTGATTGGTTGAGAGAAGATCAGCGTGGTAGGTTTTAAAAGTCTTGACTGAAAAAGAAGTATTTCAGCGCTCCAATACTTGCACGGATTGATGATACTGATGTAAGACACAGCTAGAGACCAAAGGTAAGCCGCGGATCTCATTATTCGTGTTTTAAAGGTCACTATTATTCAGCTGTCCAAGTAAGCTATTGTATCAAAATCCACATAGCTTTAGGAAGTAACTAAATGCTAGATCATTGTTTTATGAATGGTTGATCCAGTGAAGACATTAATGTAGAAAATCCAGCCCCTTCCTCATCACTGGGGTATCTAGAAAAGAATCTTTTGCCTGTTCAGCATATCTGACTATAAGTGGAAGGAGGCTGGACTCCTCTACACTTAACACTCTGTGCTTTTGCTTGGATTGGTGAAAGTTTTCATTTTAGTCTTAGACTTGATAATATAGAAGGAATGCTACTAGAGGATCACCCTAATTTAAAGGCTGACGGGTATCCTAGGCTGAGATGGTACATCATACTTGGATGACAGGGCCTTCCTTAGCCTTGCCCAAGTTGGTCTCTTTTACTTATCTTGATTTCTATTATGACCGCCTTGTACCCAAGAGAAAGCCACGTGCTTTACTGACCCAATGTTTATGTCAGTAAAATTTGACCAATCAACGACAGCCCTGACGCATTAGCTCATTATTATGCACGGTCAAAAACAAGTACACTTTTCACCGGGACTTTTCACGAACAAATCTTGCACGAATTCATCATGAAAATACAAATATTTTATCAGATAAATATCAATCAGAGTTTAATGGATGCCAGAGCATCGATCGGATACCCGGAGGTGAGAAGATTTCAACAAGAAACATTGAAACGATCGCTGAATTCAAATGATCGAACATCGAGGCTGAGATTCAATCACTGAATCAGATCGACGACTACATGGCAAGGTCTTCGTGCATTTTCATCGCGAATTCAGTTTTAAATCCACATTGAATCGCATGATTTAATTTATAGTAATGACTGCTTACATTTATTACATAATTAAATATATTGTAAAAAGAAACACTCGTCAGATCATAGAATTTCAAGTCGTAAGTTTGCTTTGTGTATGCAGGTCAACCTGATAATGTTTTGATTGGTCAAGTCAGCCTGAAGTCACACGTCGTGTCCATGCGATCTTGTCAATCAATAAGGTTTCGCTACCCCTGACAGCGTAAGTAAGATGGAAATCTCAAAGCCGGTTATGCAACACAACAACAACAATAAAGCATAATATCAGCGAAGATGTATTGGATTGTACAAGGTGGTAATAATTCAAGATCAGATAAGTAAAAAATACAGACTTGGGCAAGGCTAGGCCTTCCTCATCTCAAATGATTTGATATGATTGTCATTCTTGACCTCGAAAGAAGAATCTCAATGCAGAAGCAGGTATTGCATTACTTCGGTCCAAAGCCTTCTCTATATTCCGGCTTTGAGGAGGAAGATTGAGCTGCCTTAGTATTATAAATATTGTAAATCATTGTGTCACACGCACAGTAAATATGGCATAATAATATGAAATATACCTTTATGTATAGATTTGAAGAACATCAGCTCACATCCCCGTCTGAATCTATTGTTATATTTGATTTCTTTAAGCGAGAATAATGTCAAATGTTATTCACGTCCAGAACCGGAAGCCATTTTTAGCTACAGCGAGAAAATTTCACCATGTGTCAAAACTCCGAAATGAAATTTTGAAATATCTAAATCCAGACAAGCAACGCTTCATCCTAAATATGATTAATATTCTTAAAAATATTTATAAAATTTATTAAAAATGAGTTCTAGGTGCGTGTAGGTGCGTGTAGCACAGTACATACGAAATCAATGAAGTTTCGTCTAGCTGTAAGCTAGAGACTCGAGTAAGTATTGCACACCAACATGTCACATATATGAATTCAGTCCAAACGTCATGACAAGTTTGCTCCATAACTTAAATCTAGATATAACCCTGATTTGAATACACTGAAACTCCTGGGTGAAATTGAACATGATTCTGTGACTGTGTGTCACTCACTGTCTCATTTGACTTTGGAAAATATCATCATTACAAGTTGACTTACCTCTTTGTACCAGCAAAATCAAAAATTAATTTAACAGTCAAAACAGTGCCTGTTCATATGGCTTCATGCTCACACCAATAATGCACTCATATTATGATTAAGGTCCGTCTAATCACCAATGTTTTGATTTTCGAAAAAGTATCAGTTCAAATATACAGCGCGGAATGGGGACATCCCATAATAATCAATTTAGAAATTTAATACTCCGCAGAACTACTTTCCAATTTGACCTACATCAAGTTATAGCCTTATTACACCTATTGAAATATATCAAAACCCATTTAATCATTACTTATGAATTTTATATAATCAATTAAGCTCACAAATTAGTTTGTGTATTTCGACTGGAAAATTATATATAACGAATTATGACTTTTTGATTTCGCGGAGTCGTTTTTCCAAAATTTAGTGTTCTTTGGCCAGAACGAGAAAGTCAGCCATTTTGGATAGAACAAAGCTTGAAAGTGTCATTTTTTCGACGGTGTATACGCTTTGTATACGCTTTAAGGAGTAACACATTGCTTCCATAGCATGCTACCCCTACAGATTTATAACCCCACGTAGCAATGGCGGATAGGAGGAAATTGCAAGGTGAGATAATCGTACTCAGCTCTTTTCCAAAATCCAATTTTTCCGTCTTTTCTGTTTTCACTTTGTTCAGAAACCCTATTGCACTCTTTAATTAACTCACATTGTGGATGATCTGGGTCCACTGTTTGGATATAGTTAGTTTTATGTTTTCTCTGAATTATCCAAAGTTGCGATTTTTCAGGCCCTGTGTATGCATGTTTGCTTTTATCTATAAATCCCAAGCCAAAATTACACTAAAAAATGTGATTCATTTCCAATAGGCTTATCTGTTCAAATGCAATGCCACAGGAATGTGTGCAATATATTATTCTCATGAGGTGTACTCCTTATCATTGTATATTTATTTTGCACAATGTATTGATACATTAAAAATATGATATTTGGGCTTGAATAGTTGACAAAATCGCATAACCCAATTACCCCCATAATGCCATAATGGTAGGCCTCGAGCTCTGATCAGAATGGAACCTGATGTCGACATGTAGAACCCCAAGGTTAACAACATCATTGACTGTCGGAATTAAATCTCCACTTAAAGTAGTCCAACAACATTAGACCTATCCTGGGCCTCGTTTCTTATCTGACATGTCTTATGGCCCCGGCTAGGTCTAACTTCCATGATGATTTTGCCCTTGTTGCGATCATTTAATCGTTCAGCAGGTTTCGACATGCGGAACTAATTAAACTCCGAAAACATGGTAATATTACATAAAGAATGTGATTCAAGCATGCATACATACCTTATAAATACATACACACCTTATAAATACATACACACCATCCCGTACCCCCCTTAGACCATATTGATGCATAATTACGAAAATATTGGAGACAGGTTTGGAATTTTACGAAAATATCGGTCAGCTCCGGTAACATCGAAATTGCAAATCGTATCAGGAATTAACCGTCATTGCGACACTGCATCAATGAACAGTAGGTTGGCAATTAATAACGATTTTGTGTGTATACAAGCGCTATATAAATCAATCAAAGATACCTGCCATCCTCAAAAATGGCTATTTTATCCCGAGTAATCGTGTGATAATTATAAATCTATTTGACAACAATTTCGTTTCAATAGTTTAAATTTTAACCCGGGACGAACAGACACAATGAAGGACATGCGGAAATGTCATTTTAGAGATTGGTAAGTTTAACCTCATTTTACTTGTATAAATGACCATTTAATACAATAATATTGTGTTGAATCGCTTGATGTTATGTGTTTTTATATTGTTGTCAAGTATCAGTTGCGTGTTATCGCGGAAAAATGGTTTCGGTGGATCCAAAACTTGCATCAATGGAAAGAATAGTAAAGAGGTTAAACTCAATAATGGCCCCAAGAAAATTCTTAATAATAAATAACGCCGTTATTGAGTTTAACGACGTTGAACTACACTTAAAGTTGTCAAAGAAAGAACGTTTGAACTATTGCAGGGAGTGACCTTAACTTTTTTTTACCAGTAGCAAGGATTTGCTACCGTCTACAAAAACAAATAACAAATTGCCATATTCAGGTAGCAACAAAAATACTATTTTTTTTATTTCATCGTCAAGCTGTGCGAGTGCACTAGACTGATATCTGTAATAATGTCTCAATCTTATCTTATAACAAATCAACCGGTTATTTCCCGTTTTTTTGTACTGAACGAATTGACCATTTTTGACTCACGAGAATCGTCTGAGAACAATTTGTGTTCGTGCAGGCAACATTTTATGTTTTCTCGGTAAGAAATTCCTTTTCGCTTACGCGAGTCAAGTCCAATCAGTGATGTTGCCTTATTTTGTTTCACTATGGATTTGTATCAACCAATCTGCATTGAGATTGTTTATCGCTATCAGAAACATGATGAAAAAATTCAAAAATATCAGAGTGGTAAGTTCCATTGATTCTATGCTATGGAAGAGTTGAAATACATGAGATTCTTTGCTTAAATTGGCAGCAAGCATTTGCTCCTGGCTACCAAGTTTTTGGAGCAAAATGTCAAATCAGGTTGCAAATTTGGTCCTTGCTACTGCTAAGATCGAACCCTGTATTGCATCACAGTGTTACCGGAAGTAGGCTTGGCTCCTGTGCCGGTGTAAAAGGGTAGGTGGTCCTATCAAATTTTGGTCCTACTCTCTATTGATTTACATGGTGACCTACTTACAATTATTTTCCTTATTATTTATACACAGTCAGGGCCTTTAAGGGCCGTAAGGAAAGGGGACCATAATCCCCAGGGGACCATAATTTCTTTTACACCGGTATTAAAACCAGATGCTGATGCCATGTGATGACACTAAATGTAGATAATCCCTTCTCTTCTCTGTCAAGTCTACGTGATACTGGTTTTGAAATTTGATGCCACTTGCAGCACCAATTTGAACTCAGATTTTACTTTAGGTAAAAAACGGGCATGAATCCTCTATATGATCTTTCATAAATATTTTTGATGTTATAAAAATCATTTAGTGTTCATTTAGAAACAAAAAAAAATTAAAATTTGTCGGTTAAGAAAATGTCCGTGGGTTTTTCAAATTTAATTTTTTATGTTTCCATTCAAAAATCCATCCAGAATATTAAATCTAACTAATTGCATCTTCACATATTACAAATTTTACAGATTACTGTATATTCTGAGTTGGTGAAATCACAATATTCCATCATGATACATAATTGTGAACGTTAATTTCATGTATGGTCATATAGTTCACTTCTATACTTAGAATTAATAACTTGATAACATTGCTAATAATTGATAACTTTTTTTTATTATATCGCCAAAATCTTCAGAGAATCTAGCTTTCAATTTATATTTGAGCTAATGTGATGTTACACACTCTGAGTTGTGCAGATCTGATTCGTTTCATATTTATTACAAATTTTGTTCTCATATTATGACACATTAATTTTGTCTATAGTTTATTGGATGAAATAGAGAGGTTAATGAATAACACTATATCAGAGATCTAAATCCATGTATAGTAGTCATGTATTGATCTCATTCTATTAGAAATCTAAAATAGTGAATGGATTTGTCATATTGCAATACTGCCTTGATATTGTGAACGATATAAGAACTGAGATTTGATGCATGATGCAGCTAAAAAGTGAAAGTTGAACTTTTAACATTTTTTAAACTATAATAGTAATAAGTACCCCTTACTGTGAACTCAATAACAGAAATAACTTCACCATATCACTATTTGTGCCATAGACTTGTCAAAAGGAACATATTGATATTTTAATGCGTACATGGCAGTCAATTTTGGGCGAATTCAATTTAATGCATCAGACCCAATAATTGAGTCCCTGGGACTCACTTTTTACTAGCCCCACTGAAAATACTGTAATTCTTTTACATGTATTAATCAATTGGATCTTAGATTTTATGTTACATGTATATATTGAGCTGTTGTTGAAAGCACCAGTGATCTATACCTTGAACTGAGATGACCAGACTTGATCCAAGCTGGGCTGCCAGACACATATTGCTTGATCAAATCATGTTTTTTTTTCAAGAGTGTTTATAAATAAATTGTGGATTTCATTTTTTGGATTATAGTATGGCATGAGTCGTGAGTGATTTATTAATTGTGAATTTCTGCAAAGGCATTTGATGGTTCTTTTTCATGAAATGAACAGTATAAAGGAAAAAAACATATTTTATTTCAAACTTGTACTTATTATTATATGTTGTAATCAGTTTTCTCGTTACATTTTCGAATAGATCCCCCTACTTATTTTGTTAGTAAAATGTTTTCTTCTAACTACAGAAAGTACATCTAAAGTTAATTATTAATGATTAATAAAATGTCACTGTGCCTCTGCTCTCAAATCTCAAATGTTTGATCGAAAAATATAGAGATCTGATATACATGTTTATTTTTTCAGTTCTTAGTTCTTGCAACTTGCAAATCTTGTTTATAAAGTAGAACATTGACATCACTATATTTTATATGTGGAATATACAACTTATAGGTTAGATCGGCAATAATTGTTTCTAAATGATTGTATACCTGGTTCATATCCTGTTGAATCACATGAGCATGTAAATAGCATTTGCCATTTGAAAATATAAAATACCATTTATTTGTTTATATTTTATTTCTCAGTAGATCCTGTTTTGTTAATAAAAGTATATTTTTAAAACAAGTGATAATGCTATCGCTATGATATTATGACAATCCATAAAAATGTATAAGGCCGTCTTCCCTTTTAATGAATTTTGAACATTATGAATAATGTGATGCCTTGAGTTTTAGAACCCTGGATTCTTAGTCATCAGTCTTAAGTGTGTTGGGGGGGGGGGGGCGCGTGACAGAGTGTGCTTTCTACCTTCTTTTTTCACTATTGAATTTTAAGTAACTTAAACACCTCCAAGGCATTTTCTGATCTCCTTGAAGTTGAGTCACCTACATTTTCTCATTTAAAGACTGTCAATATGTAGAATATGTAATGCTTTCATATTCATTTGAGATTCCGATAAAATTCCGAATTTCACACAGATAGCTACTGGTACTGCTTCAATGAAATGGCCTACGCTATATTAACTACTTTACATTGTGTCTAGTGGTGCAAGTCACTTTAAAATCTGGAGTCGACTCAACTGTGAAATAATAGACAGGAAGTGTACTAAAAAAACTGCTTTTCTTGTGTCTTTATTTTTGCATAAATTTATGAAGAAAATTGTCTTAATTCAATTCCAAAACAGTTTATCAATGCTTTAGTCAACACCGTGATCTAGATTACATCATTTTAATGCAATATTCTTTAAATAGATAGCTCAATTTTTCCCTCTGCCTCTTGGTACATCCAAAAAGAGTTGTAATAATGTTTGCTAAAGCAGCTTAAAATTTAGCAAGTCGCAATATGGACATTGGAGTTGACACAATTATTTGAGACCCTCAGTGCGTCAATAATAAGACTACTACCTACTATTTTCTGCCCCACTAGTGTTTACTTTTGAAAAATTTTGTTTATATATTTTTGCTTTGATATTGATTTGAAAATAAGTAGGATGGAAAAATGAATTGAATCCATCTTTTTTATTTATTATTATTTGTTTTTTACGTTTTATGGCATTTAATGTAATCTTTGTATATTCCAGGCGAAATTGATCGATGCCTTAAGAAAGTAACAGAAGGAGTAGAGAACTTTGAAGATATTTGGCACAAAGTAAGTGTTTTCTTTTAGGTTAGATTAAGTAGGTGTTTCTTAAGAACCTATGGTAATAAACAAGAATGATTGAAAACGACATGCAAAATGATTTGATATTGTGATTCAAGCATGTAAAGGCAGTTGCGATTCTGATATTCATCACATATTTCTGTTTGACTACAGGACGACTGAGAAGAAATTAAATGCCATGGTTTATCATTATGTGCAGCAACAATAGCCTATTTTGATAAAAACTAAAAATAGTGTTTTTTGCTACTAATGAAACCTCAAAAAAATTAATTTTCTGATTTTGACTTGCCATTTTTTCAAAATTGACCCCTCTTTGTTTTTTATTATTTTTTCTGTAATTAAAGACAAGTAATTCAAGAACTTATATGGATAAGATATCCTATGATTTTGAGTGATATCATTTTTATCTACGAGTTGATATCAGTTTAATGATATTGGACTGAATTTCGGTCCAGATGCTTGGACATGGGACAGAACGGGTTAATATCGGTACGGTACCGGTGCATAAATTCCTTCCCTAAAATGCATAAAAACGATTTTGTTCTGAAAAATTAAATATTTTCACTTATCTCGTACCTAGATTACACTTCTTTGCATTGAAAAGTGTTATTTACGGACTGCGATTTCAGGTAGATGATAATGCATTGCTTGTTCATAAATTTCTTCATCGTCGTTCGCAAATCGAGTGCAATATCAGTATGCCGGATGTAGAAAAGAAATTGAAAAATTGAGCCGGCATTTAAGTCGAAAAAGTCAGCAGTTTGAAAGCCTTTTGGGACTCTAATATCACAAGGTAAACGATGATGAGGTAAAGGATTGGTGATAGTACATCGTGCAGATTCAAGGCAGATGCGTTATATTAGATTTTAATTGACGTTTTCTATTTCTGAATATGATTTTGAAAAGTGAATCTGCCATTATCAGACATTACATCATTTTTCTTTAATGCTCTGTCCTTTCCCGAAAGTACCGTGTCCCAAGACCATTTGTACCATTTCGTACCATACAGAAATTTTTTATCAATGAGTAGATTGAAATGATATCACGAAAACTCATAGGATGCTCTATTTATCCCAAAGTTCAACTATGAAACTAAACCAAGGATTTCAAAACAACATTCAGTTTTATTATGTCATTTCAACTGTAGGCCTAAGCATTTATCATGTCATCATGATCATGTGACATCATGAAATTAATGTAACAATGAATGTCACATTGGTGGAAGTTTTCAAATCCATGGAAAAAGTGATATCTGGATAACATGTAATATCTTTTGATAAAAAAACTAAATGCTTTTGTAGCATTGCACAGTGAACCACTTTTTGAAATGATTAGTTGTGATATTGATACAGCTGTGAAATAGATATTTTATAAGGCAAGTTGATACAGCTGTAGTGCATGCATATAGTTCCTGGTCTATCAGCTTCAATTCCTCTCAATCAAATAAGATACACGTAGTTGGATTGATCAATATACGATGCATTTGTTTGAAAATGGGTTCTCGCTTCTGAACAATTTGAAAAAAAAGTGTTCTTTGAATTACTATTTTTGTTCTTTTAGGAGTTTAATTATGTTACAGTTATAACCGTTATGTTATACTGCCCTTATTTATCATGATATATGGAGCTCCCAAGTTCAGTTCATGATGTGGCATGTTTAGTTCAGTCATAATATAGCCACATTCACATGAAACAAAATGGAAAAGTCAGAGTAATTCAAAATTATCTCAATATTAGAATTCAGGAATTTGAAAATTTTGTGGCAACCTTGAAATGTGATCTACATTCTTTCCCGAATATATATATTTTTAAATTATATTATGAATAATGATATTGGTTGAAATCATATCTAAGAATTGCATTAGAATAACAATTAAAAAGAATTAAACTCACACAATAAGAATATGTCTTTGTTAAATAGGATTTAATTACATATATTTGGAGTGGGCCTTTTATTGAAAGTCTTCACATCCTGAATGATTTCTCTGTAATTTCTTTAAAAAATTGTGATCGCATTTTAATATTTGGTTGAACATAAAACTGTATTTAAAGTAAGTGAACCTCATTGGAGGATAATGTTCTAGTCAGTGATCTTAGTATAATGAACCCTTTAAATAGAAAACATAATTTCTCAAGGACTGCAATGGTAAATATATTTTAAATGGGAAAAAGAAACTTTCAACAAGTTGGTTAAGACCTCCTATTTGAGATTACCTCATCCAGTTCAATCATCCGACTAACTTCCCTATTGGATACATGGATTCGCAATAACCCAGTGAGAGTACCCTGACTATCTATAAATAAAGAATTCTTCATGTGTCGCAGGTGCAGAATGCCACGAACAGCAACCAGAAGGAGAAGTATGAGGCAGACCTCAAGAAAGAGATCAAGAAACTCCAGGTGAGCAGAAGCCTATTTTAGGCAACATCTTACATATTTTGCACTAAATATTACAAAGAATTGATTTGAATTGATTTTAGTAGGTGGGTTTGTAGGCCAAAAGTATGTTTTGAAACACTAGTTGGTGTGTGGTCTTACAGTGTTATACAGAAAGTAATCCAAACTTTAAGAGACTGCCATCGTGCATTAAAAAGAATAATATGTGTATACAGAGAGCATATTGTTTTTAAAAGGTGTAATATTTACAAAAAGGAAGTTACCGTATATTTTAAAATTCATTGATGTTGTTGGACTGTTATGATGTTTTAAAAATGAATTTCTATTGTAATTCAGCTGAGCCAATTATATGACAGTGTGCAAAATGTCCCCTCACCATTCGCCAGATGCTAAGTTGAAAAAAAATTGGCAAAGCAAACCTGAAACCTATCGCCAATTCTGGTTGATCATTTTATGTTTATTCATTTTCAAGTCCCTATTTTCAAAACCACTTGTTCCCAGAATTATCACTGGTGTAAATTGATATTGACTTCCCCAGGTAAAGAGCAGCAATTTGAGAATTTAAAATAACGTTGTAATCTGCGAAACATCATCAGTTTGCATTTAGAAGGACATTGAGTAACAAACACATTGTTAACCTGTGTCCTTTTTGTTGTCTTTTCAGCGTTTGCGTGATCAGATTAAGACCTGGATGGCATCTAATGATGTCAAAGACAAAAGAGTGCTCTATGACAAGAGGAAGCTCATTGAAACGGTAATACTTTTTTAAGTATTTTTGGTAGCTCGTAAATACTGTTTAATCAATATACCAATATGATTTGAATTCATTTAAAATATTACAACACACTTAATTATTGCAGATCTTTGGGACATGTTTCTGAAAGATTAAGTATCTAAACTATTTCGCTGAATTTGCACCGAGTGTCTGAACTTTTTCTAATAATTTGTACTTGTGGAATATGGAGGAGATACACATCGGTGGACAACAGGGAAAGTTAAATTGGTTATATAGTCATGCCTCCAATAGAATTTTTCATTCAATACCGGATACACTTGACAAACTCACAGCCAGGGAATATGGCTTCTTATTTCCCAATCATATGTAGGACATAGACCAATCAGATAGTAATTAATATGGCAGTTATATAATAATGCAGCAAAAAATGTCTTGTAGCAAATGGAAAGGTTCAAAGTGGTCGAGAGGGAGACAAAGACAAAGGCTTACTCTAAGGAGGGGCTTGGGGCTGCTGCAAAGTTAGACCCTGCTCAAAAGGAGAAAGGCGAATTCACTGGTTGGATATCGGTAAGTCTTAAAAATATTGATCTCTACAAAGTAGACGATAAGACAGTTTAAGCTTGGAATCTTAAAAGTTCAAAATAGAAAAGAAATGTAGTCTTGTATCAGTCTGTCTTAGTTTTTATATTAATGTTCTAATATTAATCAGTTTTCCTGAAACAACCTCTATAAGGTACTATTCACAACAGCAAACTATTGCTTTTATATGTGGAATACAATATATGGCACAAGTTTTGGTTCAAACAAAATTATTTATGATGGATTATTTTGATTTTCAGCAATGTATTGATTCACTGAACATACAAATGGACCAGTTTGAAAGTGAAGCCGAAAATCTTCAGGTCACCTCAAAAAAGAAAAAACAAATAGATAAAGATGTAAGTGAATCAAGTTATCATTTTATGTATGTGGTATAGTAATTATGTCCAATACAGTGTCTGCATTGTAGAACAGGACCATAATCTACAGACATTTTCTAGCAAATTTAATAATAGAATGTGAAAAAATGCCAATTAGCAGAATTTTGATATTTTGTAATACTCCTTGTATTGTTTTTTACTGTCTGAACAACTCGAGTTGTTTATTTCAGAAACTAGAAAGAAGTGAAGAACTAAAAGTGTCTTTAGAAAAACATCGAACCCATGTTTCAACATTAGAAAAAATTATGCGATTAGTGGACAATGATGCTTTATCAATTGACCAGGTAGGGCTACCTTTATAAGTATGTGTAAATGTCAATATAGCAAGGACTTTTTCTGCCACCCAGTGGGAATATATGTACTAAGGTAGCCATGATAGTCCAGTATACAGCTTGAGAACATCCAAAGGCTTTTTAACTTGACAACATCCAAAGGCTTTTTATCAAATCAGTATACTGTACATGTAAATATAATAGTTATACAGTCATGCATACATTGGACCTCTTCATATGGGAATGTTCTCTTGTGTAAAACAACTGAAAAAATTGTAAGCTTTTTCCAACCATTCCTGAGTAGAGAACCCTTCTTTCCTTGCAAGAATACTGCAATAAATGCTATCACAATATCTTATTTGAAAAAAAAATTGCGTTAACAAAGGTACTTGATGCATTTTAATTGGAAAACACAAGGAATGGAAGAAAATTCATCTTGGAATGAAAAAGCCTCTTTGAGCAATGATCCCAGAAAACTTTGATGTAAAGACGTGTTTGCATTATTTCCATAATGTTCATACACATTCTTGTTTCAGATCAAGAAAATCAAAGACGACATAGAGTACTACATAGATTCAAATCAGGAGCCAGACTTTGAAGAGAACGAATTTATTTATGATGATTTAGATCTGGATGAGCTAGACCCACTCTCAGGTGAATATGGTCAGTGTCATTGTAACGACTTTGTTATGGCCCTTGGTGCATGGGCAGATGTTGAGATGAATTTATGCTGAATATTAATTTCTGTTGATAACTGTATGCAAGCCAAAAATAATAGATAGTTCTCCATGTGAGTTTCATCACATAGCAATCTGCTAGCTTGACAAACATTCTTGGCTTGTATGCCAGACTTATGTTTAGAATTTTTGGTATGAATTAGGATCAGCTTTGAGTGTACATGTTGTGAGCTGATATTCTGTGTTCGATTTCAGCAACTTCACCTACAGGGAATGACCTGGATGAGAATTCTGGCACCCCTACATCAATGAATTCTAGCTCCCCAATCCCAAGCCCGGGGCTTTCAAATCATTCCAAGGTATGGTTAAATTGCTCCCCCATTCTTTGTATTCACATTTTCATTTCTTTCTGAAAACTGAATCATTTTCTATTTTTAACAGTTTTTAGGGTAAATTTGAGTTGGATTTATTTCAATTTGTAGATATTTCCAACAAATTGTTTATTATTTTCAGGATGATGAGTTTAAAAAAACTCGGACACGGTCCCTATCGGGAGAAGCTGTTAAGGGTATCCCATCAAAAGCAAACTCAAACAACACAAATATCATGACTACTCCTGTAAAAATATTAACTACCCCAACTAAGCAGCTAAATATGGGGTAGGTATTCCTGGTTTTACTTAAAACATTCAAGCCAGTTATTTTTAAATGAATGAGATTTGGTGTATGCTTTTAAATGGGTAATAACTTCATTAGCTTTAAATATTTATGCCTTGTATTTGTTAGTCCATACCGGCTTTCATCGATGGATCAAATTTTATTTTATTTTTTGTTAATTGAAAAAATGCTTGTGATTTAAACAATCCCTGAGGATGACACAGTCCAGAGATGCAAATAGAGTAAAATAACATATTTGGGAATCTCAAAATCTGAACACTAAAAAAACAGAAATTAATAAAAAATACTTCTGTTATTTGATGAATTTCATTTCTGAGTACATTGCTTTTATACCTTTTTGTTGGAATTTTGTTTGTTTGAATATTTTAATTTTGTATAAAAACTAACATTTATGTTATTATGTTATGTTATACCTCATATATTTTCAGTTTTAACATGTCACAACATGCAGTACAGCCACAAGCAGATGCTGGTACTAATCATTTACCCCCAGCGTCTACTGTTGGCCAGTTTTTCAGCAATTCACTAAATTCAGGTAGGTTTTCTCAATACCACTTTTCATTCATCAACTTCTCAGCTTTCAACTGAACGAGACTTTAATAAAGATCTCCATAATTTTGAAATTATATTATATTAATATTCAGAAAAACCAGATCAGTAAAAATGTTGAAAAAAAATTATGAAGAAATTTTGACAATGTATTTCATTTCAGCCTACACTTATGAAGGCATCCCTAATTCTATAGTAGATGGTGTATTGTATCCATACAAACTTCCTCCAAACCTGCTCTTATCATTTGCCCAGGGTATAAGTGTAGATAAGAATAATGCAGCTTTTCTGTGTTAATTGTTGTTTATGTTGTTTGTTTAATTTCAATTGTTGAAAGTGAAAGGATCCCACAAGATGTCCTCAGTGATTCACATTTTCATTTAGTTAAGATCATTTAAGTGCATGCTATATTACTCCCATTGCAGTTGTAGTCTCCAGCATACCACTGCAGATAGCAAATAAAGTTTCAGTGACGACAACGGATATATCTGCATAACTAGTTAAAATCACAGCTAAATGAGAGATTTTGTATCTCCAGTTAAATTATGCCATTGTAATAAGATTCTAAAAGAAATATTTACTCTCATATATAAAAGATTAACCGTTGGAATAAAATTAGTACATATTGAAATTTTGAATGCATGTACATAATTTTGACATGTTGAGGCATCATGTTCCGATCTCAATTTTTTGATATTAATGAATTCTCTTTTATTTCAGCGACTGAAACGTCAAAGCCTATGGTAAACTCAGTTGATCATACGTCATTAGCCAACAGTGTATTCAGCTCTAGTTCTAGTTTTGGGGGGACCACCAATGCTGCCGTCTCGGATGCTGCGATGGCTAGTCAGAATTTGTTGCAGTCACAGGTAGGACATAAAAGATCCATGCAGGTTTATTAATACATGTATTTGACGTTTTCTCAAGGAAAACTGCTTAAACCTATTCAAAAGCTGAAGAATAGCAAGATCTGATTAGGTTTTGGGCACGGTGATGTTATGTAAATAACTTGGGGGTATTAAACATTATCTTAATGTTTCCATCATTTTCAATTTTGTATGTACTTTGTACATACTCTTCATTTCAGTACAATCCATGTTTAAGATAAGCTCTGTATCATTGTAATTCAAGTATAGTCCACATCAAATTGGATTTGTCTCCCCATGGCAAATTTTTGATGAACTATTCTGACTCCATGTTAGAGATCAATGTATGTGTTAACATTTTGGTCAGTGAGCCAGGCAGTCACTGTTATATTGGAACACATGATATCTATCTGTCTTGCCTTGTGTTTCATCTGACCTCAGAAAATTAAATTGCATCAAACTTCATTTCAGATGGTGAGCCTAGCAAATAGTATGGCAGCCAGTAGCCTTGCTTCCAACATGCCACTGTTCCAGTCGACCCCTAGTAACTTCAACAATACGTCCCTCATGTCATTACCCTCTTCAATCCATAGTAGTGCACCTACGTCGCAACAAGGCAGTAGCTCAACAGTGCCTGCTCTTGCTGCACTACGGGCGGGGGTGACAGGGATGGGAATGAATGGCAATCACAGACCAGATAATGGTGTGACCTTACTGAATGGACCAGCGAGCGCTGGAGGGGATATTTTACATAATAATAAGGTATTTTGCTTTCTTAAAATTGGGTGAGAACTAAGTTATCCCAGGTGTTGAAATATCTGATATAATGACTTGCACCTAATTAGAGCTGTGTTGGGCTTTCAGTAACAACATGGTGTCAGATGTGTGCTATATAAACACAAGAACACTTTCATGGTGCTGTCTGTTGTATGGAGCATTATGCATTCAAACTTGTAACAAACTTCTTCATTTATGAAGGTTATGTGTGTATCTATTTAATAGATGTTTAAATACTTCTAATGGAGGCAGATAAGGAGGATATGGCCTCAAGTCAAGACATCTAGCAGCACGTTACATTCATTTTCTCTTTTCAATCAACTTTTCAAAGTATGAGCCCAAAGTTTGGAAATATTTGTTAATCATCCAAATATAACTTGAAATATTGTTTTGAAAATTTAAGTTTCCAACCATTTTAGCAAACAAAAAGTTTATAGATTTTTTTAGATCATCAAAAACAATACTATAAATAGTATTTTTCTGTAATTTAATACTTTTCCTCATGAAGCTGAATATCATTTCAAAAATATATATTATATTTTTATTGAATTTGTATATACTTTCATTGAAAGTTTTCTAAGTGTTATAGAAAGGATCTTTTAAAAACTGTATTCAAGACAAAACAAGATTATTACATAAACTTGCAAGATAGATATAATTGGAAAACATGTCCTCAGAATACCTTTCGATATGTTTATTCTCTAAGTTCATCACAAACATCTGCTTTTCAGGAGGTGAGTACATCAGAGAACATGTCATCGTTAAAACTGCTATCCCAGCAGGCAGCAGTTAGTGCAGGACTGACGACTACGCCACCTGTTCCAACTCAGGTGACATCTATGAGTAATATGGGGGGAAATACCAATAACACAGTGACAACAGAAACTACTCCCAGTGATCTTTGTAAGTTGACATTCCTAGATTTATTCAATTAATGGTGAAATATTCTTATCAATGACTTTTACCTCTATAGTAAACCAAAACTGTTTACTTTATTATTTTTTCTCCAAAATATCAGTTGCTTTATGGTAATTTTATTTTTGAATTTACCTTAAATTTGTACCACAATGTTGTATTTTTATTAGTGGTAGGGCAGTAGTATTATATATATCTTTTATTGACTCTTTAGATGTCATATCATGACATATTAGTCACTAAGGTAGAGCAGTTATTCCCATTGTCGAGTTGAAAAACTGGTATCTTTATCCTGGCTAGAACCATAGACAATTCTAGCCAGCGCCAGCCTTTTATCGAGTTAGCAGCACTCTAGTGATCGCCGTATTGAATACACTCAATTTACTTTGCCACGTTGGCTTCAGATTGTGTACTATAGTACTGTAGTGAGGCTATGATATGTTGAATACCTGTGTATTATTTTCAGTAGGGTTATTTGAAAGTGTAAGTCAACAACCACCACAGCCTACCGCCCCGTCACCAGCAGAGCAAATACAGCAGCCTACTACTACTATACACCTTGTACCTTTATTGGGCGTGGCCCCTCTGGGACGCCAGCCACTCAACAAAGAACATTTGTATCATTTAGCCATGTTAGATTCATCTTACCATCACTTACCACATCCGTCAGATTCTGAGAGACTTCGGTGAGTTAATGTCCCCATTCTATGGAACTGTTCACACAAAATGCCACATAAATCTTGATCACTAGAATTGCTTAACTAGTGTGTCTCTAAAAAAATAAAAATTGGATGTACAGATATTTAATAGCATTTGTTGTTTGTATGTTGCAGGCACTATTTACCAAGGAACCCTTGCCCAACAGCCGCATACTACCCACAATTAGCGCCCCCTGGTGCTGACACTTTAGACTTCTTTCAACGACTGTCCACAGAAACACTATTCTTTATATTCTATTATATGGAGGTATGTATAGTATGCGTGTAGTATATATTCCATTCGATCATCCATTTCAGCTTAAGTTTGGTATCTAGGCAATGGTGCATGCTTGTTGATTGGACAATTTAAAAACATGTTTGTCCAAAATCTGCTTTAAATCAAGCTTGAGAAAATGAATCGACTTCTCTCATTTATTGACTTCCTACATGTTACAGTTCTGAATTGTTTGAATTTCATCCATTAGCTATTTAAAGGTTGCATGTATTTTTGTCAATTCAGCATGCAGTATTTTCAAAAGCTTGAGCTGACCCATTTCTAATTTCACTGCTTCATTGTAAACAGAAATTTTTATGGAATCTATGACATGCTTGCTTGCTTGCTGACCAGATGTGCAATGCACTCTGCGAGAGTCTAACTGGGGTATGACAATCCTTAGTATTGTATGGTAGAGTGCCATATAGACACAGGCTTTACTTACATGGTGCCCTTAGAACAATGGGCATTGTGCATGCAGCCTTGTGACAATCTCTGCTTGGAGGCTTTGCTGTATTGGTATCAATGTTTTAAGCATGTTTATAAGTTTCATTGATGTTTAATTATGCAGTTGTGCCTGCTTGAATTTAATGCAATCATTTTTCACTTATTCATTCATTCAATGGAAATGGTAGTATTGAAGCATTTACAATGACAATATGTTGTATTTTATAGGGTACTAAGGCTCAATACTTAGCTGCAAAAGCATTAAAAAAGCAATCGTGGCGGTTCCACACGAAGTATATGATGTGGTTTCAGAGGCACGAAGAACCAAAAAAAATCACAGAAGAATATGAACAGGTAAATAGATATCAAAAAATGTCTTCAATCTTTGAAACATTCTAGTCAATAAAAGGGATACACACTTCATAATGGTGACATGAACAATGCTAATCACTTTTGACTGCTGAGATATCCTTTTTGGAAGACAATGTATTTAAGCTGTTGAAAACTACATTTAATAGGTACTGTTTAATCTTGGGCATATATTACACATGAATCTTTACAAGAATGAGTAATTTCTCAACTCTTTAATTTCAGGGCACATATATATACTTTGACTATGAAAAGTGGGGCCAAAGGAAAAAGGAGGGGTTCACGTTTGAATATAGATTTCTAGAAGACCGAGACTGAGTTGAGCTGACCAGTGGTTGGTGGTTGCAGCAATCATTTACTAGATGGCAATCCTCAACCCAGCAATTTTCTACTCAGAGCAGTCATCTACTCAAGCTCGAGTTAGAGCCCATCAGAGGATAGTATCGCCATATGTAGTTGAGTTTGGATCATGTAGAGTGGAATCATGTCTTTGATCTATTTCATTAAGTATGGCCCCTGTCTAAAGTGATCCATGATCTTCGATCCTCGATCTCTGAACAGGAAACATTCTAGAGATTGTGATATCATATTGGTACACAAGTCTGGAATTCATTGGATTAAATTTGAACATGTTTGTTTCATCACCTTTGTCGCAGATTTTGGATTTATTATTGTTCAGGTTGACATCATGTTTCTACAGGAGGAATATGACACTGCCGAAAATCATTAAGATATTATAAATCAGGGAACTCCTTGACCTCGGCCTTCTAAAGTATAGGCCTAGTTATTATATGTTATTATAAGCTCTTGAATTGTTGGTTCTTGAGAATCAATGGCCATTAGGAGCTGAATACGTGATGCACACAAACATGGCTTGCATATCTAAGAGAGAAGTTCTCCTCACATGGTTGGAATTTATATTCAAGAACAGGATGGAGAAGTCAAAATAGTTTGCTAACAATGTAAGAGATACATCATGATTATGGAATATGGACAGGAAATAGTACTTAGTGAACAGTTTTTATGGAATATTGACATAATGAATGGTGTAAAACACTGACAAGAATTTGATCACAAGATTATAAGAATTGTGTTCACATCTTAATGGCAACTTTCTGGTAAAGTTGTGTTTAAGAGTGTTCACTCTTGCAATGACACTAAGGCTTGGATGACCAATCCAAAAAACAGGTGCTTTTATGTAGGATCAAAAACATCTTTTCATCAAGCAGTGGCAGACAAATCTGAGAAAGTTGAAAAATGACTGAATCTGATAGATTTGATATTTTATTAATATTTTGAATTTTTCAGTGTTTTCTGTCCATTGATCAAGTAGATGTTTAAGCTTTTTGACATTGACAGCCTAAGTTGCTATTTAAATCTGGAGTATATTAGTACCGGAACAGTGTAGAATATTTTTAATGACTGCGTCTAGTAGTATCAAGTTAATATATCATAACAAGGTGCTAATGTATCAAACCATTGTTTAAATCTTTTGTTCACTTGGCATTTATCAAAACTCAATATCATCAATGGTGTAATGTTTAGGATTGATAAATGCTTAGAGTGAGTGGTACTTGTAGGTCAAATCAACTGTAGTATGCATACACTGAAATCTGTTAAAGACTTGTCTTGTGGATGATGTAACAAAACCTCACCCAGCTGAGCATAAAACTGCAATATTTAGCAAGGTTAGAACTTGAACATGTGATCGATGTCATTTATATGCTCACTAAGTTATAAATACTAGCATATGCATACAATGGTAAGATTGACACACATGTTCTAGCTCACAGATTAGTGTTATGTTGATAAAATTTTGGATTGAGCCTTCATGGCTTGTGAAAAGGGCAGCAAAGAAGATATATTGTGATCTCAAACCATCGTTACTCTATAAAACTTGGGTTGAGTGTATCGTCATGGTAATTCAGTATGTAAGCATGGTAACTCGGTGTGTAACTATGGCAATACAGTGTATTTTAACATTGTTACTCACTGTGCAATCATGGTAACTTTGTGTGTAATCATGATGTCTCATTGTGCAACCATGGCAACTCAGTGTGTAACTTATGGCATTTTGTGTGTAATCATTGTTACTCAGTGTTTATGCATAGCAACTCAGTGTGTAACAATGGAAACTCAAGTGTGTATAACCATTGTATTCATGATTTCTCCCATAATAACAATCCTAGAAACCATTCATTATCATGGTAACTAGGTATTTATGGTTACTATGGGAACAGATACCTTTGTTCCATTGAAATTGGTTCCTTTAATAACTAGATTTGTTTTCAATTTTTGGTTGCTTTGGGAACAAATGTGGTTGTTATGGGAATGAATTGTGATGTTAATTCCAATATGTTAAGATGGATGTTAAGCTCATGTGTTCCTATTTTCACATTACATAATTCTCATGTTATATGGTTTATGTAAAATGTCAGGGATTGTATAATTTACTTGCCAAAACGAAAGAAAATGTATGGTCTTTGATTCCCAAGTTCTTATTACAAAATGATCTAAATTTTGAAAGCCTTTAGATATACTGCAGTTACATTGGATGCTCAGTGAATATTTTACAATAGATGACCATGGAGATTTACATTGTAATTTGAATAGCTTTGAAGGTATGAAAGTATGAAGTCTGATTGTGTTCATTATTTATCTCTTACAACTCTGGTCAGGTATATCGAATTTTAGAAACATCTCTCCTTAACTTCTCGCTTGTATTTCAAAGAAGTATCTAATTTGCACACTATTCTGATGCCATTTTGTTTTATCTTGATGAATTCCCCTTTTCACCCTATTTAAATCATGAGCAATGTGTCATTTTCCTTGTGTTCTCAAAGGTTGCTACAAGAAACTAAAGTTAAAGTTCCTAAAGAAAACCTCAACATTTACATGGCTCGATTTTATCATTTCATGTTTCATTATCCCAGCTGTTCAAGAGGCTGTGTCATCAATATCATACATATTATTTCAACTTTCTAGCTTGGAGTTTTTGTCTGTATAATTTAGTATCCCCTTATGTTATTTATTTTTTCATAACAGATTATTTTCACTGAATTGTTCAGTCAAATATCTTCCAAGATTTGAATTTTGGAGAAATCAGCTAATTCACGAGTATCCAAATGTTTCATCAGAAAATGAAAACATGAGCTCAGTAAATTACACTGTTCTAAACCTAAGATCATGTTTTACGCTGTGTCCATGCATCAAAGAAAATTTTTGCTGTTATTTTAGAATTGGGAAAGGTATAAATGATCGTAATTTTTAAATTTTAATTCTTGTGGAACACTTCATTTGTTATTATACTCTATTATGTCATTCATTTGAACAAACTATTTTGATACATTTTCATTCTGCTTTACCTCAAATGTACTGTTTTGATATGCATTTACTAATTGTAATTCCCTAATTTTATTCCTATGTGTTACATAAGATCTATAAAGTACTAGGCACTTGATTCCCTTTTGTTGCATACATCACTATATGGGGGGGGGGGTGCTTTATATGCTTGTATTGTCATGCTTATTCCACTCCATTTGGGAAATTTGAATGAAATGTCTGATTAGACAATATTCTATGCCTCAACTATAGCACGCTTCCAATCTACTTTACATCTCAATATTTTCACTGCTGACATTTTCCAGTGGTTGTTAAGCACCAATCATATGGAGTGTTCAAAAGAATCTACAAATATATCAACCAATAATAATATGGTTTTCAGTCCCATGATTAAACTGTTCGCTCAGAATCATGGGATTGAAATACCTCTTCCATGGTGAACAATGTTGGGTGTATGCAATTAAGGGTAGAACATTAAGAGATAAATGCTGATTTTTAGATCTAAGTAATTTTAAGGCAGTATTATAGAGATATAAAGCATTGTGATGGTTTTTGCCAGCATCCTATTTAAGCTCTGTAGACCGTGAACTTGTTCCAGTTTCTGACAAAAACTATCTCGCAGCTTTTTATCTTAAAAACAATGTATTGTATGGAATTGAGTTTGGGTCATATTTTTGAACCAGAACTTGAAAATGAAACTGCTTCATGGAAGCAATTGGGTTATTATTAATTAAAATTATTCAAGGATTTGTTCTCACTTCATTTCGTGATTTGCGATTTACATGAATGCAAGACTTTCAAGAATTTCATCATACATGTGACTATTTTAACTAGATATATACGGGTGAAACATGGGTTCAATCTAGGTATCCCATTTTTCACATAATATTGATACCTAGATTGAACTCTATGTAACTGATCAACAGATTATTCTTCATTTTAAACACATGGGTCATACGATGAAGTGATTTTTCCTTAGTTTCAAATTGGTTACTAACTTTAAAGTTAATGTTTAGCTATTTCAGTTCTCATGTATCCATTTTTCATACTGAGTCCCACTCAGTTTTAGTCTTCTATATATACAGTAATCATCTTATTTTTGTACAGCAATTTGCAGCCGAGGCCCGGGTGTGTCTAACAACCAGAGCCATCTATTGGTCTGGTTCAAATGTAAATAAAGGGACCACTCGGCTCCCTGGGTATGACATTATGCTGATGATGACAAAATAAACTGATTTGTCTGTGTAAAACATAATTTACTCGTCTTTGTTATAAATGTGTTTTTTATTTATTTTATATTTATTAGGAGACCCCATCTCAATATCTTGAGATATAAGAGCTCAAAAACTGGAAATAGTTTGAAATTTTTCAAGACCAAATTTCAACTTGCTTCAAATTGACTAATTATCCCAATGAACAAAGTTCAGTAGGGATATAGTGAAGCCGTCAGTAATACAATTCATTCTTACAAAATAAGTGAGTCCAGACAAAAAGTTGTTATTGTGTTAGTTTAACTGGGCATAAATTACACTCATTGGCCTTGGTTTTCTTAATTGGCTTGGATAAAATGTTGTTCTGTTTATTCAGAAAAGGAGTATAGTTCAATATACAAGTTCACATTCGTTCCATCCTCTTGTAGAAATTAATCTCATATTATTTCATCTCAAATATAGAACACAAAAATATAATAAAAAACAAGTTTCTATTAATTGCAAAAGTTAGCTTCTATGTCATGACTGAGTTTGGGTTCCGCTTCTAGGGAAAAAATATCCATCTGGAAATATCGTATTGACCATTGCTATACACTCCATATTTAATCCTCCCAGTAAATAACATTGTATACAGTATACAAGTATATATGACATTAAGGATCTGGGGTTTGGGTAATGTGAGACATGAGGCCACTTGTCTTTTTGAATCTCATATTCAATATTCTTTCTTTAAACCCTCATATTTATTAATATTTTTGGAGTGGTAATTCAATTATGTACCTATTTTTTATTCTTTATCCCATAGTTGAACTCTGTTCCGCTCTGTTAGGTAACATGAAAACATATTTATGATATTTTGCAAATGCGTGGAAAAAGTGATATCTGTGGAATACGGAAAATATTTCACAGATATCACCTTTTGGCAGGGATTTGAAAACTACCACCTTGTTACATAGTGATTTCATGACATCACAGGGATGAATGAATCAATGGATGTTGTTTTGATATGGTTTGTTTAGTTTTAGAGGTGAACTATGGGAAAAATAGAACATCCTATGAATTTTCGTGATAATGTGTTCATCCAACTCATTGATATCAATATCTGCGCTAATTCGCTATGCTAACTTGGCAAGACATTGATATCAACTCGGAGATAAAGATAAAATCATATGATATCCTATACATATCCTTTACTGTGCCACAACTTTCTCATATGTTATATATTTTGACGCAGGCCATCATTTATTTTCCTTGAATTCATGCTTTTGTTCCTCGTTTTAGAAATGAGAGGAAATCTTTGATTTTCCATGTATTTAAGTTGCTTAAATGTTGCCCTGTGATGTTGATAAAAGTCAATAGTAATCCATTACAGTCACAGTTGAAATGTTGAGACATGCGCAGACCTCTATTTAGTGATATTTTCATTTCAAATATGGCGGCCAATCCGATGTCTGACGACCCTTACAAAGAATCTAGGCAGTTTGCATTTTTACCTCCTGTGAAATAACAAGTGGAATTTAGTCGTTGTTTTGTGTTTTATTATCATTCTGCATCGTAATTCTATGTGATGTGGTGTTGAAATGTCAGCAGGAATACATATCCATACGATAATCGAGTGAATCAGATAACAGATTTTTCGAAAACCCGTCTCATGCTAAGAGTGTAAAAACTTGTATTAACATGCTCAAAAGTGCCAATGAGCACATCAATGTCAAGCTAAATCAATGTTTTGTCTAAAACAGGTACCTGATCTACTCAAAACAGCTTGTCATTCACGTATACACGCTTAGCAAACACCGCGAAATGATCTGAATCTTGGAATTTCGTTCTAGAGCTAGTAATGTTTGCTCCGGTCTTCGTCATAAGTGTCATCAGACTTCACGCATGCTCAGGAGAAAAACCATCAACCAATAACGTTTTATAAATCAATTTTGCGCATGCGCCTTACAACGGAAAAGAAATTCGTATTTATAAACGAACCAATTTGAGATAATCCAATATCAGTCGGAGAAATCTGACGATCTATGAAACTCACTTCAAAAAATCAAATGCGGACTGACGGCGTATTCTACTATGTTTGGATCTAAGATTTTCAGTATAGATAAAGTCTTTTATGATCTTTCGAATGAGGTAAGTCTCTAGTTCGAAAGACAATCGTATCAACTTGAACAAAAGTTGAGTTTTGACGAAAAATTTTAACATGCGCAGAAGTCCCATTTTCGTTGTACCATATTGACTGCATTGCTAGCCCAGAACCTACCAAAATAGCATTTGCATTTTGTCAATATTGCCCTATGTGCTTTTCCATGAAAATAATAATATTTCATACATTACATTTTAATATATTTAAATTGGTTAATATTTATATACTATTTACTTAGACAACAATTAATAAAGAATTTTTTGTAAAAACATTAAAAATGGTATATGATCTTTAAATGACTGTTGTGTGAACATCAAAGGTCAAAATTCGCTGAAATTGTATTTTTATAAAGCACAAATGATTTTTCATCAATATGATATGCATTATTATCAGATATCTTTGGGGGCTAAAAAGGGCCCTTAATGACACCCGTCCTTTCAACTTGCTTCAAATATGATATTTTTTAACATCATCTATGTGTTGCCTGAAGTTCATATACATGTATGCCCTAAGATTCTGAGATTTGATCTCCAAATTGTCAAAAACCCCTACGGCCGGCCTAGCCTCCTTAAGATTGCTTGAATTCTTGATGTCTATTATTTTGCTGCTGTCAAAAAGTGACGAGGTGTTGTTACAGCCACCATCTATTTATGATCTCAGATGCTTTACCCCCCTATCACACCAAACTAGTTCTTACCCGTTCTTGCCAGTCCTACGAAAACGTCGTAAAACGGGCTCAATCTGGCTGTGGTCGGGAAATATGTCTGAAATAATTAGCTTCTTCGTTCTTAAACAGTTTTCAATAAGTCCATCTCGTTCGCAGTTCGTTCAGGTCGCACCACGTCCGTGTGCAACGTCGTAGAACGCGTCCCTTAGTTTAGAAGGTCAACATGACCTGATTACAGAACGGTATGGTCGCCATCGAATTTTGAATCGATTCAAAATTCTAAAATCACATTCCCGTCTGAGAACGTTCATAAAGTTCGTAAATAGACCTTAGAAAGTTGCAGCTACGTTCATTCCGTTTGCACACAGTTTAAAACCAGTTTTGGAGAATGCAGTGGCAACTTGTTTGGTGTGATAGCTATATTTTTGCTAACTCGTTCATAAGCAGTGTTAAATACGTTCTTAATCAGTTTAAACCCGTTTGCAATTAGTTCTACCTCGTTCTCAACACGTCCTCAGACGGCTTTGTATAAAAAACCTCCTACCTCATACCCACCTACCCACGTACGTTGGACATGATACAGTCTTTGAAGGGTTCAATTTTAAAGATCTTAGTTTATTAAATCTTAGTTTATGATGAATTATAGATGCATTTGTAACGACCCTTGATAGCAAGTTGCTACTACAGCCCAGCTGGGTTCGATTCCCACTCGGGGCATCCAATTTAGCACACTTTCTTTCAATTTCTTTATCTGGCTTGTTGGACCTATGCTCCCGGTCGTTAGTTGGTTCTTCCCCTGGGGCGACCTCGGGTCAATACTCAATACACATTATAACGCACCCATATGCCTTTATTTATGGATCTGTCATCCGTCTAGTCATAAAATAAAGCCGGAATTGTAGAAACGTTAATAATTAGAGCTATTCTGAGATTTAAAAATCTTTAAAATTGAACCCTTCAATGACTGTATCAAGACCCACGTAGGTGGGTATGAGGTAGGAGGTTTTTTATACAAAGCCTCCTCAGACAGTTCATCTCGTTGCTAAAACGTCCCTAGTAGGATTGAAGTACGACGGTTCCGTTCGAAGTACACCCAGCTCGTCGTTAGTACGTTGTCACTCGTTCTAATTGTAGAACGTGACGACCACGAGAACATTTTGAGCATTGTCTAAGTTCTAGAGGACCTACCCATTCGAGTACGTTCGATGAAGTTTGTAAATAGATCCCAAACGGTTCTTAGTAGGTCCAGTCCGTTCGTACACAGTTGAAGCCCGTTTTCGAGAACGTAGTGAGAACTAGTTTGGTGTGATAGTAGGGTTACATATAGGCACTAGACCGATAGGAAGATGGCAAAGTTGTATGTCTATTTATATCTTCATACATAACATAAGAGATGCCATCTTTCTTTCATAAGAGATGCCATCTTTCTTTCGATCTAGTTCCTATGCATGAATGTCAGGGTGACATATTAGCACTAACTCATATAGGACATTGAAGGCCCATTGAATTTTATTGCAGACCAACTGATTATTAAAGCACAATAGGAATAGTATACAGGGGGTGAAAGCAGGGTGTGATACAAGCACTAACCCATTGGGCAATGTCCAGTTTACTCTAGACCAGACTTGTTAATAAACTAGTTTTGACAATCGGCCCGACATCCTCATGAGCCACCCTGATCAATATGTGAAGGGATTAGACTGAACTACGAAATAAATGAAACTCAAATAATTTTTGTTCAATCATATATTTCATACAAAAGGGGTTTATTTTTTCCTCGATACATAATATATAATACATGTTTTTATTTTACAAACAAGAGAAAAATGATTACACAATATCAAAAATGTTGCCATAGTATAATCAACAAATACATAAACTAAAAGCAAAAAGGCTTTCTAAAGCCCTTAAACTATGCTACATTCGCTTAAAGCGGTGTCTTTGTGAGCAGTGACATATTTTGTATCATTTCAAAATTCATATTTTCAAGTTTACACATTCGGAATAAGGTCCATATAGGCACTATAAATACTCATAGGCATTTCCTATTCAGATGTCTCGAGTTCTCCAATATGAGTTATGAAATGAGTTTTTCATGGTATTATTTCCCTGTTAATTTCCCAACATTTCCCTCACTGTTTTGATATAATGTTTTACTTATTATAGTGAAACCATTCACTGACATACCATCTCATTATATTCACAGATATTTTAAATAATTATAACCGCATAAAATATTTAAATACAACTTTCAAAAACATGAGTTCACAAACAAATAAACAGACTAAAATCAGTCGCACAAACTACATTTCAATTGAATTCAATTTTTTAAATAACCATTTTACAACAAAAATAGAATTTTTACAATATCATGCTTTAGGACATTTTAATTACTGTACAATAACATCAAGGATAAAACCAATGAAAGTGTATTTAGATCTTATAGAATTTGTATAAATCATTTTGATTCTTTCTCAACCATTGATACAACAACTACCTGAATATAACTGCTTTATCATACAACAAACCCTACCCCCCCCCCCCACTTCTAACAACCACAACTTGTCCCATGGACAGGTGAAGTAGATAATGGGGGGGGGGGGCAGAAAACTGATGTAAGAGTAACCTCTAGCGTAGCACAATCATAACAAGGGTAACCATCGTGTTCTTCGATTGCCATCATCGAACTAAGTTCGAATTTTACTGTTGTTTTACCTAACTTTAGGATCACATTTCTGATGGAGTTAAAATATCTCCCATTTTGGATATTTTTTGCCTCATTGCTTTTTTCTTCCTGGCTACAACCACTGTGACATCAAGCTTTTTCTTGGTCTCTAAATGTTTTCTTATAATCAGAATTTTAGAAATGTAATCAGGTAGCTCATTCAACTTTTAGAGAAAATTTGAGTTGACTTGATCGGTGATTTCATGCTTGGGTTGTTATCAAAATCCCTTAAAACCCCGAAACACTTCAGAACATCCCTTCTCTTCTGCTCTTTGGTGAAATCAAATGATTTTTTGTTTAATGACTGCATTTTGCTTAATAACTGCATTTTGCTGAGCAAGCATTTCTGTCCTACTTTGCACTACTGCATTTCTAATGGATTCATTCTACAATTGTGTGAGTATCACATGAGGTGAATAAATAGAAGCCAGATGATTGGTTGATGCATCACCTAAGTCAAGGTATATACCATTCTGATCATTGTTTGTCACTGGAATATCCCTAAAATACAGCAAACACCTGCTTTGTAACAAACACCACTTTCCAAACTAAATACCTTCATGAAAAATCAATGAACCATTTCAATGTAAACATTCCCTTCATACAATCTATATTGAGATTTAGGCAGAGTATTTCACACTGCCTTTCATGGTCCACGAACAATCCATGTATGCCTATGGCTCATCATTTATCATTAGGTTTAGATAGAATGGTGTGTTCTGTGAAGAACAATCATCAGGCTATTGTATGCCAAGATTATTGTATGCCACATGATTTAGTAATAATTTATTGCTATAAGGAGCTTCTGTGTTGTTGGTGTTTTGTTCCCTCTTCTAACTGATCCTTTTCACACAGGGCACCAAATACTAATATTGTACAATTTAGATACAGTAACTAGTTTATCCCATGTGAAATTCAAAATTCTGTCAATTTTCTACACTAGATAGACATCTACAATGTTCTATTAAAAATAGTTTTTGATGCGTTTTAAAAAAATCGCACATTGTCATTAAAACAAGTATTTAAAAGCTAAAAGTCGTAAATTCTGAATTTCACATGTTATGTATCTAGCACCCAAAAGGAACCAACTGGTTCTCAGCTATTCTAAAATGGTATTGATGATAGGTATTTTACATACATTCATTTTCATTAAGTGTACTATTGTGCATTTGTTAATATATGGTGATGTACATTGAAAGTATTGTACCTTTCATGCATTTGGAATAACTTGTACCTCAAACATAATATGCTTTCAGAAATGTACAATAAACGCACTTTGCCTTCAAAATTGTACATCAAACATAATGTGCATTCATGAATGTACATCAAATATAATGTACCTTCACGAATGTACATCAAACATACCACACCTTTATAAATGTACATCAAAACATTCTGTACCTTCATAAAGTACATCAAATGTACAGTGCCTTCATAATATCAAACATACTGAACCCTCTTACCATGTACATCCAATATAACACATTGTGGCTACATCAAAGGTTATGTACCTTATACTTGGTATAATATAAAAGGATAGTTTATAGACTTTCTCAGAATGATAAAATTCATAAATAATTTTACCTCATGGTGAATTGTGAGTTTTTACAGAAGATGGTGAACTATACAGGTGCAGTAGAAAAATAATTGCAATAAATTAAAGATTTTCAACATAAACTCCAGTTCATTGGGACACCCTGTAGTAGAGGTTATACATTTAATATTGCAAGTTTCCAGATATTTCTAGTGAGTATTACACATATTACATGTACTGCATTATGTAATTTACATGTGTGATTTTTTTTGTTGAATGTGATCATTACAGAAAATTCCAGAAGTGTAATTTGATTCTACGCTAGATCTGCAACCTCAAATGATGTCCTTTCGTTTCAAGGTCATCATATTCAGTAGTACAGTACTTACATTTTCCTTTGTCATTTTTTAACAAATTTCATTTTTTGTATCATTTCATTTGTGCACTGAATGGAGTTTTGCTCAATTTTGAGCATTTCAATTCATTCTACTAACAGCGCCAATCTGTGTTTTTGTGACAAAATGAATAATTGAACATAATTTTCAGTTATGTTTATGGTAGTTGCTATAGCAACCCAACCATCATAGTCATGGCCGATATAGTTACACATATACATATTTATTCACAATATATACATGTATATGGTCTCATTCATTCAAACATCCATACACACTTATCGAATTTGCATTTTCCTATATATACAAATAATTATTTCAAATGTATAATGTGCAATTTACATACATACATATACAATATTTCACAGTTTATTCACACAATATACAATAACTTATTTGTAGGATAACCTTATATTGTTTTACTGCAATTCATATTATGTCCATATGTGACATTTGAGTTAATACCCAAGCCAATGCTGCAAGCGATGTTTACACAGAGACATATTAAGATATACTTATTTATGTCTCTGCTACAGAATGCAGTGTCAAATCTAGCTCCAGTTGCATACTCTACAGATTCAATAGATTAATTCAATAGATTAATTATTTTATTTTTTAATTCCAAACTAGTTGATTCAAAGGAGGTTTTAATTCCCATGATTCCCTCGTAATTTGTCAGGCTAAACTTTTCTATACAATAATTTCAGCTTTTAACTGCTATTCTAATGCATTATACTTAATCATTGATATAAGGCCATAAAAGTCAACAGAAAAGAAAAACTATAGATAATGGCATGTTAAAATTTTAATTTTTCTGATTCCAACAATGCTGTCCATGAAGAGGAAAACATAATCAGTAAAAACTGGTGTCACTTTTGACCAATCATGAATCAACAATTTTGTATAAAATACCATAAAACCAATCCTCCTTGAGTTCCTTAACTAGTTTTCTAAGGAGTAGATGTCCAACTTTGAACTTGGATCTGAGATGGTTAAAATGATTTTAATCCCTCACAAAGTCTTAAGAAATAACACGAAGCAGACTTTTATATGATTATAATCTATGAACCTTTTTTAAGGAAAGCAGAACTTAGAATGTACTTAAAATGACTAGCAAGAACCTTTGTCATACTGCTTCCACCTTTACATAAGTTTCTAGATCCCCATGAGCTGATTCAACATCTCCATTAGCTATACAATCAAACTGATCTCCGCTAATGACAGGTTCTTTTTTCTGATATGTAGGTCCGCCAACTTTCAGAGCATCAATGTCTGGTGAGGGTGTTATATCATCCTCAATTTTATAACCATGCATATTAATCCTTCCAGAAACAGGACTTGAATTCCTAGGACAAATATTACTGGGTCTTTTCTCTGGGTTTACTGAGCAATGAGGTGCTCCATCAGAGTCTATAGAGTCAGGAGCAAGTAAACAGCTCCTTGATGAGGGTGGAGATTCTTCGTCACCATTTAACTGTGCATTGTTATCCTCTGGAGAGGGTTCCCTCGTTAGAGCTGCATCATCTAAAGTTGGACCATCCTCAGAGTCCAACGAATGTCCGGTTATTTTGAGAATCTCCTCATCAAATTCATCATCGTCTAACCAGTCATTTGATTGGACCTCACTTGAAGGTATATTGTCAGTAGGGCTGCTAAGCTCTGTATCTTCCGATATGTGAATGTTTGGTGAATTTCGACCAATTAAATTCTTACAAGGTATATCGCCTTTGTCGATATCTATGTCATTGAGAGGCTGCGATTTATGAGCATCCTCCCTTAAGTCATATGGCTCTCTATAACCAGGAGCATACTTTTGTAAGTCATCAGCGATTTGCTGAAGTCTAAAGTTGCTATCATAGAGAGTTGGTTGAGATCGGTAGCGTTTTTCCTGACCAATAGGAGGCCAGTAATGTTCCCCGTAGTTGTTGCTCATAACATCAGGCATGCTGCCACAGTGGGGAAATAACATCTGCTGGGGTGAATATTTTCCCTCCATCCCTGAAGAGTCAGTGTCAACACCATCTTGCGTTGTCAAGGGGATATCCTGGACTGAACCACATTGAGGTTGTAAGGATTCAGTCATGTCATCAGTTATAACTTTGACCTTTGGGAGATCAGGCATCGGTGCATTGCAGACACTTTCAAAACTGTTGCAAGACGGACCAGATATGGATATCTCAATCTCTGCTGGCGACATATCTTGATCTGGAAACAAAAATGAAAATCATAATATATACGACTAACTAAGTCATAAACTGTTATTCTTTCAATTTAATCATCATGTACATCAACATATTATTTGTGTGACACTGTACCTATCTCATTTACAATTGGAGCACTATTAAGTTCCATTTGTGGTAATACTCTCATACTAGTGGTACACATCTTATAACAGGCTATAGATTTACATAAGAGTGGATTGATTAATATCTGTTTGTATGTTGATACCAGCAACACAATGATAACAGATCAATAGGCTACTATCTACCCTGAGTACACGTAGCCAACTACCCTCTGACTTTACCAAATGGCTTTTTGATACTAATAAAATAGTAATGATAACAAATTGAAATTTCTATGGAGTTTGAATGTGAAATACATGTACATGTAAATGTTTGGTTATTAGAAAAATGATTTTCTGGCTGCATTATTCTGATTGATTGGGCGTAGACACATTCAAAGGACTATCTCTTATTTTGAGAGTCTAGATAAAATGGGACTCTTTCAAAGGGTGGTGTTCATATTTGAAAATACTAAATACAGAGAGGAAGTAGTAAGGAAAAAACTACATAAGACTATAAAGGCTGGGCCAAAAAACGCCACTTTTTTTCAAGCCACTACAACTTTTTTATTTTCCAACCTACTACATACCCCAAATTTTGCAGTTACATGTATATAGTGCCAAGGGTTCTGAGTAATAATATAATGTAACAAGTCCTTCAACTTGGATTATATTTGATCTAAAAGGGGGGTTCAATTGGTCCGCCACCCTAATTGATGATATATTTTAGTTTTAGTCGCCTTGCTGATATTGCAGTATCAATGAAATGTTAGCTCAGTTTTTTCAACCTGTCTTAATTGCCAGCTTTAGTTGAGCAATTTTCTAGATTGGGTGCCTTCATATAACCTCCTGGAGACCTTCCCATACCCTATACTCACTGGGGTTTGCATCAGAGCTATTAGCTTGGCGATCATCAGGCCGTATCAGTTCAAGAACATTTTCCAAATTATGCTTATTTCTCATGGCACACCACATGTTTAAGTGAGACGCTGGTGACATATTCTATTCAAGTAAACGTGTACAATTCATAATCCAAGGCTAGATAACAACCTCAAGTTTCATTTGGAATGCAAATTATGAATTAATATCAAAAATTAAAAAGTTAAAGCATTTTGAAAAAAAAGTGGCGTTTTTTTGGCCCACCCTGTATAAAACTATTTTACATTGCATTGCATAGAAATTCAAGAAATCAAACAGCCTATTCATATTTTAGTGATATTAAATTGAGTGATACAAGCAAAAAAGTAGCACATAATGATACAATACGAATGGGAAGACTCCAAAGGGTGCAACCATTAATACACCAATGAAATAAATACTCCTGAAGCATAGTCCATTATTTATGAATTCATTTGCAATATATTGATCAGTGTTTACAGATAGAGTTACACACATGAAAGATTTGTATCATTCCACAAATTTTCAATGTCAATTCCAATATTTATTGATTTCTAATAATAAAAGTAAGAAATACATATTAAAGTGAATAACACCATATTGGGCATATTATCTATGCACTTTGAAAATTAACATGATAAAGAGAGATGTGAGAATAATATCTCCGTTTCAGCTACTACATTAGTATATGGAGACTGAGCATTGCAATTGACCTTTTGCGATCAGAATCCAGGAATTTTGTTTATGGATACTGTTGTCATGTATTTCGTCTTATTGGTGTGACGTCATATATACAAATGATATTAGACATGATGGAATCACGAAATGGCGGACACTTGGCAGTTTTGAGCTAAAAATATTGTCGTTTCTTTTATGAAAACCATGGGTCGGATATTTACCAGGTATGCCGATTTGACTAGATCATGATTATTTCTATATATGTGCGAAGTTTGGGTGAAATTCATACTAAACATCGATGCCTATAAGCGCCCCCCATTTTTGTCAAAATCGGGGGGCGCTTAACCGCTATCTAAATCATGTCAGTAAGATCTTAGACTTGGTATGTGCTTAGCATGAATGTTGATCTAGTCAAATCGAACGCTTTCATGAAAAATAAATCAATAAAGCACGAAATATAGAAAATAATCTCTCAAAATCAAACATCTAGAGCTGGGTGGCCTAATTGAGATGTCACTACAAGACAGAATCCATTCGGTGATCGCAAATCATCAATTGTATAGACCCATAGTTATTGGTTATTTTCATAACTGATCAAGCACTATGAGATTTACTTTTTCCTTACTGGAGAGGTGAAATGTATAACTTCATTAGTTAGGTTCCAAAACTTAGATTGATCTATTGATGGCTTCTCTCGAGACTTCTTTACTTTGAGGACCTGTCCTTTTCATCCTAAATGCGATAGCTAATGAACACAAAGATTTTATAGACTGATATACACAATTCGATAATATTCAAAGGATTAGGTCAAATCATCTTAAGACCCATTAATTTCTTCATTCAGGGTCCAAAAAGTAATATGCTCAAAATCTAATCATGCACAACTCACCAGGGTTTTCTTCATCTATATTCATTTCACTTGGTGGCCTGACTTCAAATGTAAAGTCATGAGGGAGTGAAGTTTGCTTACAAAGTGACCGCTTTCTCTCATTAGGGTCTAGCAGGTTGGCATTCTTCACCATTACTGCTCGCTCATCCATTTTCTCTCCATCCTCCCCCTAAATCAAAATAAATCACAAAGTTTTTATAACATGGTGATAACATGAAAGTGAATATAGAAATATATCATTTGTAGCATACAATTCAAAAGCTATAAAGACATTATAATAAGGCCTCATATGTTAAATCTTTATTGAATACTCGTAGTGAAACCTTTCTAAATCCCTCAAACTAGTTTGTGTCTATCCCGTTTGTGTCTATCCCAGCAAATAGATAATCATTAATCCTTTACACGATTCAAGGTATAAATATCACTTTAATACGAATTTCAATCCCAATCCTAAGATAATGGATTCTTTTCATGACAGGCTTTCAAAAAAAAACTCCAGAGCTTTTGAATTGATGCACAAAAAGCAATTGAAATTGTAAATGGATGAGGTAATGGGTTAAATAGGCTAAAAACTAAGTATAGAACTGCACACTAATTGTTCAATATCAGTGGAATTAAATATCAAATCAATTCTCATCTTAATATATATATTATTACATGTATTTGCATACATGTGTGTAGTGTACATGTAAATACGTACAAGTGAATGAAAAACATCAAATTGTGATACAAAATCACATCTTGCTTTCTGGGAGATGTCACAATCACTATGTACAATCCCATACATTGGGTTAAGGGTAAATGAAAATAACATCCAATAAAAATATAGCAAATAGGGAAATTGTGCATTAATTATAGACACAATGGTACAGTACATATATGCACATATTCCATTCAGTAAGAAATGCTAAACATCAAGCAATGAGAGTTCTTCCGTGCTACATGTAGACTGCAAATTAAACTATGTAGGGACTTCATCGAACTTAAATGTTTGGTGTTACTTTGTCCCGGGGCTGCTTTGACCATGTGGTTATTTCGACCATGGATGATAATTCAAATTTCAGGGCTCGGCCATCTTGAATTAAGATCTTGCCCATAGGAGGTTTTGATTTAGTTTTAAATGTTCAAAAAACAAACATGGCGGAGAGTGTAGATTGAAATCATAAGCCAATGTCGAAATACCCTATGGTTGAAATAGCCCCATAACAAAGTAACCCCATATGTCAAAGTTCGATGAAGGACCCTTACTTATTAACATTAGATTAACACAGAACATTTTGTAAACTAAGGAAAGAAATACAGACACTTCTTTGGTAAATCATTACCCTGTTTCATTGGCTAGTTGGTACACTTCCCTCTAAATAGGATAAACTAGAAACCAACAATGCCAAGGCATAGCAAATCCCAGTCAACAACCATGGGTGCCATTTTTCCAAAATCCCTCTCTTTTCAGTTATAGCAAAAATCATAAAATAAGACACAGAAATATCATTTTTCAAAATGGCCACTCACAAGTCAAATTATATAAGAAAGCGTAATATGCTTCTAAATACTGTAGGTGCATAATGCATATACAATTTCAACTAAACTGCTCCACTACTGTATAAGTGCCGGGTACTTAATCCGAGTGGTTAATTTGCCGAATGGTCAAATTTTATCATTTCTTATTTAAATTTTTCTTATGACAAGTAACTCCAATCGTATAACATTATGGAAATAATATTTCCCACATTTAATTTTCACGAACTGGGAAAAATTAGGCAATAGGCAAAGATTCGGCAAAATTACCTCTTACAGTATTTTTTTCAGCAACAATAGGATCTGATTGGCTTAATGACTTCAAAATTTAACCACTCATTTAAAGGGCATTAGACAAAATGAATCAACCAGATTAGCTATTGACTGAAATATCTTTACAATGCCTGTGTAAACTCCAATCACTATGTATCTGGTGTACGACATGTTCTGAGTTTCAAAATAAATGATAATCACAATAATTGTCTACGATATTTGGTGACAATGTCAGTGACACATTCATACTATTTGGTTTCTATGGCAACTATAATATACAAATAGGTTACTATCAATGCAATATCTGATAGAAAAGAACACATTGAAAGCGTGACATAATAAAAAAATAACAGTTGCATTCATATGTTTATGGTAATTAAGCAGTAATGTTTGTTAAGATACTCCAAGAAAATGAAATGATTCAGGTAAATATAAGAAATACATATTGTATCACTGGTGATCGGCTCGATTACGCTGGTTACCGAAACGGTTCGAAACAGTTCGAAATGGTTCATTTCGGTAACAAAATGTCGGAATGTCGAAGGTACAATTTTTCTTTTTTCCTTATTTCACGCGTTGTAGGCAGAATCCCCACGACATTTTTTCTCACAAACGTGTATCAGGATCATATGTTTTAGAAAATGTACATGTTTGCGAAAAAATAGCTCAGAAGACAACAGAATCGTCGATTTAATTCCTCACTTAAGTTACATAAACAGTATGGGTTAAAAGTGCAGATCTTAATTAACTGTTTTTCGAAAAACCATTTATGTAACTTAAGTGAGGAATTAAATCAACGATTCGTTGTCTTCTAAACTATTTGTTCGCAAATACAATGTATGTACATTTTCTTAAACATATGATACTGATACACGTTATAGTGATAAACATGTCATGGAAATTCTGCCTTCAACGTGTGAAATAAGGAAAAAAGAAAAATCGTACCTTCAATGTTCCGACATTTTGTTACCGAAACAAACTGTTTCGGTAACCAGCATAATCGAGTGGATCATCAGTGTGTATGAAAAGGAAATGAATTTATATTTTTAAAAATATTAGCATAAATGAAAGTGAAATAATGCAAAGCTGATTATCATTTTTTCTTGAAGCATCCTAACTACATAGAGGTGTTTGTCAACCAAAACGAACTGCAATAAATCTCTGTGTCTAATAAAATAGATGGGGTATAAGTGATGAACCTTGTCACGCCGATTTGCAGCTGCCGTCATCTCAATGGCCTTCTGGGTAATATAGTCGCTATAAAGAGCTAAATAAAACATAGTTTTCGACAGGGGAAGCATGGATCCATTGCTTGGGTTTATAATGTCAGATGACATCGATTTTGGGAGATACTGTCGGAATTGTTCTGCATCAAATCTGCTCAATAGATAGCGCTTTCCCTGCAAACAAAATGGCCGAATGAATGATATAATGGCATGCACAGTTAGAGATAAAAGGTGTGCAGCTAGGAGAACTTCTAATCGTGGATAAGTTCATTAGTAGCAGTGTAATATGGTCTTTGGTGCTTCAGAAATGACAATTCTACAAGATGGGCTGAGCAAAAATTATCTTAACATGTTAGTATGGTGACATCCATGACTGTAATTTAATAATTATACTATTTCAATTTTGATAATTTTAGACAGCCACACCTACTCTAAATCTAACAGTAATATTTTAACAAGAATATGGTTCAAAATTTCCTTTGAAAAATGACTATACCTCGTTTTCATCTTTTTTCTTTAAACTATCAGCATCGTCATTCTCTTTTTCAGCTTCCATATCACGGATTTCTTGATCCATATTTTCATCATCATCCATCGCTTTGTTAGACTCCTGAAACACCACAAAGAATCTATCACTTGGTGCAACCATGAAACACCCCAAACAAAAAAATCATACATTTAGCAAAAGTAATCATTTGATATTATAACTTTCTTGAATTGACGCAAATATCAAAAAACACTATTTCAATTATTAATTCTTTTGAAATTTTTGTATGTCATTATATCAACTGTATTTTTGGTTAATCAGATGTGCATCCAAAAGTATATAAAACAATATGATATAGAATATGAGATAAATATAGTGGATTGAATACCATTATGAAATAAAATACAAAATATATTTATATGTCAATTAACATGTATTTGGCCCATCTGAAATATATATGGCATATATGGTTACATAATGTACATGATGGTTATGTTAAATGGCAAGGTGCAGGAGACTAAACCTAAAAGTGCATTATAAAATAGATAATGCATTATAAATAGTAATTTAAGTACATGAATGTATATAAATATAAATTTTCTATCTAATGCACTCTTTTAAAAATGATGTTTAGAACCCGATCACTCATTGAAGCTGATGACCATCTTTTGTACTAATATGGTCAGAATAATTCGAAATATCTCCGTGAGCATTTCCCTTTATACATATCATTGTGCCACTGAGACTTTAAGATAATTTTATTACTTATTCCCAAAATACATCATTTTCAAAAAGATTTAGTTTCAACTATTACCTTGGATAAAAACTGAGTTGGAGCAAGTTTCTAAAATGAGGTGCATATACCTAGATAATATGAGTGAACTTCTTATATGTAGTCTATTCTAGTATACTGGAACTACATGTACATGTGGCTTAGGGACCTGGCCAATATTCAATGTTTTCCAAAAATATGATTTCTTACATTTTTCCCCTAAAATGATTATATAATTAGCTTTGAAATCAAGATTGCTTTCTTTATAAAACAAAAATGTGGTAATTAAATATAAACTGACTTTACCCCCTCCCTGACATTGATTTCTTGACATTGTCCCTTACGCTGTGTGGAGTTACTATCAATGTTGTGTTCTTTGGATCATCCCTTTTCCACTCAATTTCTCTCTAAAATGTAACTGGGATTCAATTCTTGTTTTCCAATAACTCCCTATATAACTCTACTTGTGTAAATAAATATTCTTATTCATATCCCTCATTGTATGTTCTGCTAATGTATGGGCTTTAAATTAGGGGTTGTAAATGTGGAATGTAAAATAATTTCATCTACTGTCATTGGCCCAACCCTTTGCCACAACTCACTAAAATGATTGCAGCTCACTTTATGAATAAAATACTAGAGTCATTTGGAATTTGGAAGGACATAGATTAAAGCATTCAAAATAGATCAAGACATAAAATATATAAGTCATAAACTCCTTTGAACTGGCCAAAAGGACATGACTTACATATAGGTATTCCTAAGACATTCTCCAAATGCAGGGATCTGGACTCCATCCACAAGTTCCTCCTGAAGAAATGGCAGAACTTGTTGATGAAGTCAAAGCCCTGCATTAAGGAAAATTGACTCATGGAAGGTTTAAAAGGTAATGAAAACAAAAACTTGACTGATATGGTATAAGATTGATACAGTATGAGCACTGCATCCAACAATACTTGATACTGAGTTTATAGAAACAAGGGGCAACATTAGAGGGACATGTCCCCATCACAATGAGGATTAATGGGGAGTATACATGTACATGTAAATGAATATATTAATGTTGATAAAAAGATGAATGTAATATACACTGATACAACAATTATCAACCTTAAAGCTATCAGGAAAGAAGCCTCTAGTAGCAAACAGGGATATAATACTGCAGTAATACATGACCAGAATATCCATGTACAAAACACTGGATCCATCCATCCAAATGTAGCTTTCCCCATAGCTCAATAAGGTTGGGGGAATTTCTTAAATGTATCACAGAACTATGACTCATGAATTAATTTGTATTACTATGTTGATATAAAATCCAGAAAAACAATTAAATTGATGATATGTGCCATGATACATTGAAAAAAATTTCCCCAGTTTTTTAGTCTCAGAACAACATGCAAAGATTAGTTATAGCTTAGTACAGTTCAGTTCTACCTCACGCCTCAACATCGCTTCAAACTCATCATCTTCCTCAGACTTTTTGCATCCATCCTATAGGTGGCAGAATTGTGCAGAAATTATGGGATGGAGTGAAAATTATGGAATATAGCTTGATGGGATATAGATATGTGGAAGTGGCTTCATAAAAACCTATATAATCAAATTCACTTCTCAAATTCAAGCTTTAGTGGCACCCTATAGTTTTTCATACAAGGCACATGAAGTGAATGAGATCACACCATCGAAACACCTTCAAAATGGCTGCCAGAAAGCAAGATAACCACCTAAAATTTAATCAGCTTTATAACTTGATATCCATCTATCATGTGTGCGAATTTGGAGAAATTTGATGAGGGTTTTCCTAAAATGTCGATGACTAGATGGCCCCCAGAAAACAAGATGGCTGCCTAAAAGTTATTCAGGTCGAGAACTTGATATCCTCTATCATCTGTGCGAATTTGGAGAAAATCAAATGAGCAGTTTTCCAAAATCGTGATGACAAGATTTATTGTAAACCTTCAAAATGGGCACCAGAAAACAAGATGACTGCCCAAAAGTTAATCAGGTCTAGAACTTGATATCCTCTACCATTAGTGTTAGTTTGGAGAAAATCTGATGAGCGGTTTTCCTGACATCGCGATGACAAAAAAGTGGGACAATCACAATCACGCTGTCATCATGACGACTATATTCCACCGATGGTGTGCTAAAAAGAACATTCAGAAGCTATATATAAAGGGTGAGTTGAAGCCACTCCCTTAACTTAAAAAGAAAGATAGAATAAAATGCACTACAGTACTAGATAGTACAGAATAGCACACATCATTGGAGACTTAACATATCACTAATGGACAGAATGAGAAACCATCAGTGACAACTTCTGAATTAATAAAATTCAATAAAACACCTTACCAAGGTCAGAGACATGTTTTTTATGTCTCTGCCAAGGTGAAATATAAGGAACACCTTTGTGATTCTGATGGTTTTTCACAGTTAGATATTACACTGCAAGCTACACTCAAGCCTAAAGAATCTTACATCTTTATATTACATATGAAAAAGTGTCAGTTAACAAGGGTGTAGCCAGGATCTACAATTTGGTGAGGAAACATCAATTTGATGAGGCAACTTTGGTGAGGCAAATTTGAATTAACAGTGAAAGAACACTATTATAAAATTTCATTTCCACAGTTTTTGTTGGAAAAAGAAAAAAATTAATATTTTGCTGTAAAACTTTGACAAGGAGGCAAAGGCTGATATTGCAAAGTGTTAGAGAAGGCAGTTGCCTCTCAAACCTCATGCCTGGCTACATCCATGGTTAATTACTCTAGGAATATTGTAATTGTGTAAAGAAGTTATCATTTTGAGAAATAAGTTCTACTAGGAGTAGCTCTAGATGGCTGATTTTGCAAAGTGTACATGGTTAGAGTAAGCATTAGCTTTAAACATTGCATACATCTCAAGCTACAACTATCATCATGGCCATGTCTTTGTGATACACACGACACACACAGACTTTTTGGCCAACCAGATAATTGAACAGTATCAAAATGCAGAAGCTTTTGTACATTCTAATCACATCAGTAGAACATTGAACAGACAGTATTCAAAGAAATACTATTGAGCAGCCAACAAATATTTTAACACTATGCCATCAAACAGAGCATGACATTACATCATATGACATCACATAATATGACATCATAGCAACATATCCCGACACTCACCTCAAGATGTTTCATGAGAACAGCAACAACGACATTAACGAGAACAAACTGTGCCATGAGGACGAACACCACAAAGAAAACAGGGGCGATGATGGCACTGACACAGCAATTCCTCTGACAATTCTCAGAGTTGTCGCAATCTTCACGCAGTGTATCCTAAAAGCAAAATTAAACTGATTTAGGGATGGTGTACACTTCTCAACAGCTGTGGAATAGCTAGTTAGTTTCCTTAGAGGGAGTTGGCAAATTGTGGTTTCGTTAGCAAAGATTGCTGATTTTAAATATTCAAGTGAAAGACATTATTCAACATTCTAAAATTTTATTAGATGAGAGGTGGGGGAAGGTCAAACTACAACAAAAAAATAACTTTGTTTTCACATAAATGTAAATAATTGGACAGTATCTCTTTGCTAACTGAAAAGGCAAATATAAAACTCATATAAGCCCCTATAAAATAAATTGACAAAAAAAACAAGTTGAATCATCATCATATATTCAGTTGTTGCTTGCATAAAACCATCTTAGTATTCCACTCCCATGTTATCTCATCTACTTCCAATTGTCCCTGGACATACATACCTTCATAATTCCATTCCAGTTGTCTCCAGTTGCCACTCGGAATAGCGTCAAGAAAGCCATCCCAAAGTTCTGGAAGTGAGCATGCACACCAAGGCCTTCGCAAGGATGTTGTTCAGAACACTCTAAAAGTACAAAAATCATATGATTTACTCGGATGTTCTGTAATAACTTTGGAAATAAAAAGTAAAAGTAAAACACAAGAATGGGTATTTCAAAAACATCTTGATAATCTTTTGTACAGGTAGATCCCTAATATGGGAGACTGCTCAGCAATATCAACATGTGTCAAGTCTGAACTAGTTAGTGCCCATGTAATCATTTAATTTCTTTAATATGTATAGCATCCTTCATGTTACTAAATTATTAATGTATGTTTGTGTTTAATTCTTTTAACAAGGATAATAAGCAGATATTTGTATAACTACATGTATACCATACAATGTACATTCATAGTCTAACTAATAATTAATAGCGTGGGAAACAGACAATAGATATAGCTTCCGTTGATGTAAAAATATGGCATGAAAAAATGAGGGAATTAGTCCTTATTTAGCCAAAGAAAGAAAATTATTTTGAACATCACAATGGGAAACTTATACTGTATCTTAGTACTACACTTCACAAAAATTAAATATACAGAAACAACTAAATATCTCGAAACCTCAAAATCTGATATATTATTCATACAAGTGTTTGATTTGGGGAGTATTTGGACATCAGAATTTAAAACGTATAAAACCTTCAAATAAAAAATGCATTTTTCTTTGCATAGTTTGTATTGTTTCATATTATGCAACACATAGAAATCCTTCATTTTTATTGGTCATAAGCTGCCTAATATTTTACATTGTATACCAGAGTTTGACAAATTCTCATGCGCCTTCTTGCTCTTGCTCCATTATTTTGGGAGAGACTCTCGTTCAAGATGTTTTTCATCTTATTTAATATGAGGTGCATAATAAAACAAATATTGGATGATCATGAGGTAGATACGGCAGATTACTAACCAATAAAGGGCCAGCACCTTAATTACCTTAACTACACAGCTTTTCGTAATTCCACAATTGAGCAAAACAATCATTTTGAAGACACTTTCATCATTCCATGTTATTCTTAGCTCCAATAAAGTAAAGGGTCAGTTCAATATATCATGAACCTTCACAATTTCAAATAATCTAATTTTGTTTAAACTAATTCAATGATGATTTATGCAAGAGTGAGCTGTCTCAATTTGAAGAAAGGAGTATATTGGATATAAATATCTATATAGATCCTTAGAATACAAAAAACAATGTTGTCGCAAGCAAAAAGGAATTTCACCCCCCCCCCCCCCTCCCCTGTACTCAGTTATGTCTTTTAATGAACTTGATGTATTGACTTGACCCAAATACTCAATTGTGAAGTTAGGAGTGCCAGTATTAGCATTGGGGTCCGGCCATGCTAGCTGTCAAGTACTCTTCAGCATATCTTACTCTTACCAAGGTGGCCGAAAAGTTCGACCCCAAGGGCTGCGAATATGTAGAATAGCAGGAAAAATAGCAGCCCTAAGTTTCCGACTTGTGGTAAAGCTTGGATAACCGTATCCAGTAAGGATCGGATCCCCTGTGCCATCTTCAGTAATTTTAGGACTAAAATATAAAAATATGAAAAACAGGAGTGAATTTGTATGTTGTGTGTCATAGAAAGTAGTACAAACCTAAACGACCGAATAACTCAACGCCCAAAGCTGCAAATATGAAGAATAGCAGCAGAAAAAGTAGTCCGAGATTTCCCATCTGTGGCAAGCCCTGAATAACAGTGTCAAATAGTGCACGGATGCCCTTCGCCATCTTCAGCAGTTTTAGCACTGGAAGAAGTAACTTTAGAATTCAATATGTATTGAACCTATAATAGAATCTACAATTTAACAAATAAGTATATAGATTGACTTACTCACATTCAATATTCTTTTTATTTTCAAATATTATCAAAATTGTGAACTGCAGAGTTCATATCCAGCAATAGCCTTAAAGCAGTGACAGTCATGTTATAAATCAAATATAGAGTGAACTAAAGTAAAGTTTGAGGAATAAAGTAAATATACCATACATGAAATCCTCACTACAAAACCATAGAAACACTATATGTGTATCTGTATATATTCTTGGAGATGTGTTGTAGTACTTGGCAATAATAACATTTTGGAGGTGTACTGCATGTACTTGATACTAATGACATTTTGGGGATGTACTGTATATTATGTATTTGACAATACATTTTGGTGGCATATGGTGGGAAATATACAAACCACGAGCAATCCTGAGGACTCTCATCACACGTATGATAGTGGGGTTGATTGGGATGACATCCGTGTCCATCTCCTCCAGGACAATACCCACTAGGGACAGAATAACTATCCCCATATCTAGCTGGTTCCACCTGTAAGAAGTAAGACTTTTAGATCAACTGATAAACACACATAAAATAGACATCTGCATTAGACAGCATACTGAGTGTGGCATCTGGTGCACTGAATTATGAATTTAGATCATGACACCTCATGATCTAAATTGACAAAATGTATAACAGTATAGCTAGTATAGGCCCCTGGTGATGACATGCTTTAGTTTGGCTTCAACCCCCATCCCTCTCCTGGACACCTCTGTGGGTGAAGTAGATAAGGAGAGGGGGATGTCTAGATAAGGGGAGGGGATGTCTAGATAAGGGGAGGGGGATGTCTAGATAAACCAACACCTGTCTGATGTCAACACCTGCGTTATACAAACACCTCAATTACATGTCTGTTAAAATATATCTGGCAGAAATATAAACACTTATTTGGTCTGAGATGTGTTCCTACTATAACAAAGAACTCGTAAAGAGTATAACATCTGAAATCAATATTATTATTATTTATTATACATTTAGAGTAGTTTGAAGAACTTATGATAAAAATCATGTTTAAAAAAATTTAGAAAAAAGTATACCTGAAACTACATATTCATACATTGATGAATACTACAACTGTATGTATTAAATATTATATATGTGTCATTTTTAGGATGTATTTACTTCTTATTGAATTAAGAATCAGCAATAAGTATTTGGAGCAAAAAAGTGTGATTTCAAAATTTGGTAAGAAATAACAAAAGATATCTATAAATTGTAAAGGAAATTATAAACCTTATGTTACAAATCTTTTTTAACTCAAACAGAATAGTAGACGTGCACATTAGTAATTGTAAAGTCGAGGTTATATAGAACTTGTATTTCAACGGTAATTGAAACTCCACATACATATTTTGACAGTCATAGTTTCTCAACTAAAATATCTTCTTCATAGTCTTTATAACACTCAGTTAATTTTCCTTTTTTATTGCCAATATATCAATATTCTAATGCCTATACTTTCAAAATACAAATATCCCAACAAGGCTAAAATCCATGTTTTCAAGATATCCATATTATAGTGCCAATGTTTTGAAGATATCCATATTCTAATGCCAATGTTTTGAAGATATTCATATCCTCATGCCAATGTTTTGAAGATATCTGTATTCTAATGCCAATGTTTTCAAAATATCCATATTATAGTGCCAATATTTTCGAGATATCCGTGTTCTAGCATCCATGTTTTCACAAACACAATCAATGATACAAATGACCAAATTCTGAAATTCATGACAGATATCAAGTTGAACACGTTTTGTGGATTCTTCTAGCTATTCAAAAACTTTGGGTTGTGCTTTTGATGGAGTGTGACATACATATTGTATCAAACCCATATTGCTGTGCGGTGGAAAGTATCTTACATTTTCACAAAATACAAATGCAATGAAAACTAGACAAATATTGAGACATTCGAAAGTTGTAAGAATAGTAAAAATCTAGGAATTAACACCCCCAGTTAACACCGTTTTAGAAACAAACGCCTTCATTGTTGGTTCCCTCGTTACCATGGAACCGATCTAACTTTCGATTTCAACTATCAGAATATCATGCAAGGCAAAGCTATGAAGAAATTATTAGCTGACAATTAAACTATGACAAAACTCATGAAGCTCTACAGTATTGAGCAATAAGTGCTGAAAAGCTCCGATATTCATGCTAATTTTCCTAATGATATGATGTAAACAGTAGTTTGCAAAATATGTATGTCTTTAATTGGCAAGATTTGAGTGACTGGGTATTTAAAGTGACAGTAAGTGATGTTATAAAACTACAAAGAACCAGACTTCTACTATAATAATAAAGTACTAATAAAGCAATAAAGCAAAAACTACAAATTTACCCCGCTCTGTTTGGTAGCGAAACAAAATTTAAAGCTTACTTATGATAAACAATTATAGCTAAAAGCAACTTCTGTCATATACGTATAGGGATGTCGGGGGCCTAAATTTAATCTTCAGTGCAAACGGAAGCTAAATCACATTTTTGTAATGGAAAAATTAACTGATGTAATCCACACTGAAGGTAAATTAATTATTAAGGCATTTTGTACAGAAAATGTTATTTCCAATACGCCATATGGAATTATTCTACATATAATTTCATCGAACATTGATAGCAAATCGTAGAAATCATAACATAAACATATGTTACACATTTACTGTTATTTACAAACAAAAATCATGTGCAGTGTTATTAATCATTTGTAATAACTATTTTGTTAGGGAGTGTATTTTGAAAAAAGGCGATATGTGTATGTCCTTACCTGTCTTTAAAATACTGTAATACCCCCAAGGCGATCACTTTCACACCTGCCTCGAGGATGAAAACAGCTGTGAAGAAGTAGTTGAAGATTTTCAGAGCGTAAACCAAGGACTGAAAAATAAGGTATTATTGGTTCATAGTGGGGCTTTTTGGGTTTGTTTTCACCTACGTCATTGTTATACTATATCTCTGAGAACTGTAAATAAAAGTTGATATTCAAAACTGAAAAAAATCAAACAGATTTTGTGGAATTAATTATCTGTTGAAAATATTGAAAAAGACAAAATGAATGTATGTTTCGTATATCTTACAAATAATCAAGAAAATACAAAAAACACGTATTTCTTATATTACTCACAAAAGGCATCATGTAAAATTCCATCGCCATAGTGATGACATTTAATCCTATAACTCCCGCTATCGCAAGATCAAAGTATTTGCTCGTTACAATTTTGTGAATGAACAATCTATATTTTCCATAGTTTGCCCAATATGGCGGTTCCCTCATTCCTAAAAAATAAATAAATATAAATAAATATTACAAAATGATTCAATTGTCAGCTCATATCAAAAGAAGTTCCAGTTGCGTTAATCTAAAGTTAAGAGAATATTTAAGAAGAGTAGAAAAATGTAAATTATCTTGCAATCTGAAAGCTGACTATTATCAAGGAAAGCATCTACAGTATATGTAAGTTGCACACATGCAATTAAATGACAAGCTTTATCAAAAAGTAGGAATATTTCCAATCATTTTTCTATTTACTGAATGAATGTTTTGAAAAATGTATTTCTAGAAATTATAAAAACATGTATCCTTATTATCATTGTGATATAAATAACTGACTAAAAATTAACTATGAAATTAAGTATTTAAATAAATAAAATAATCGTGTATTTATCTACTCTGGTGCAAAAAAACATACTTCTAAAACTATAAATAAACTATATATAAAACTATAAAAAACATATTTGTGTAACATGTACCTAAAATTATATAAAAAAATTAAAACATGACAAAATTATGTATTTGAAAAGTTTGCCGTTATGATGTTGACATCACGCTAGCTCCCTCTATCACTCTAAGTCCGTACTGAGTCTGGCAATAGCTACATATTATATGACATTAATTACACACATTCAACACTGCAACTATTCTAAGTGTTCAATTTCAGCAATGCTTTTCAAATCACAAGGTAATATGATGAAGCTGTGACATTTAATATTTTTCGATCATGGGATGAATTCTCAAAATCATTATGGTCAGATATATGAATTGAATTGCATTTATGAGACAATACCATGAGGAATTTAGGTCAATTCATGGATATAACAATTCTAACCCATGAAAATATTACTGGAACTGAAATGTTATAAAATAATTCTCCCACCAACTGACCAATGATCCACCTTCTGTGTATAATAATGCAAGGACAGTAGTGGGTGCAATTGCAAGCCTTGCTCAAACTGAATAAAATCAACAACTGTTTTTTTTATATCAACACACTACAAATGTACATGAAAAGATTGTTTTTTTCATGATGTACATGAAAACCACTTAGGTGTTTCTTAGTCATCTCAGAAAGTTTGAGACCATTCATGCCATTAATTATTTACACTTTAAAATCATTAAAATTTTTTAGCCCACCCTGTATTGATACTGTACAGGGTGTCCGGGCAGTAAGCTTACACATATGTGAGTTAAGTTTTTAGATATCTGAGCATTTATAAGGTGTTTTGTATTATTACTCTCATCTGATCATCTTAAATTGGTATCTTTAAAACAAGGCGTTAACATGACAAAATGTCACCACCTAGTTGCTCATAATATTATGAGTTCAATGTTAAGTCAGTTTAGAATTTCTGAGAACTTGAAGATGATTTTGAAAAAATAAATTGGTCAATTTGAAGCAAGTTGGAAAAATACCTTTTTTGACTCTGAGATGGTCAATGAAGGTGAAATCTCAAATCTTAAGTCAGATTTGAACTCCTGAGAACTTGTAGATGATTTTGAAAAAAATTGGTCAATTTGAAGCAAGAAGAAAAAATACCCTTTTGGCCTTCAGAAGGTCATTGAAGGTCAAATCATTTTTGACCTTGAGAATGTCATTGAAGGTCAAACCATGGGAGTTACTTTTGGGAGTTAAACCATGATACTTGCCAAATCAATGTAACTTTGGACAAGCTTTAAAATGATATATGACACATACTATGAGGACACTGGAATATGTCTGCCTAGGGGGGGCCCCATACTTTCGGGACACCCTGTATAGTCAGATTTGAACTTTTGAGAACTTGTAGAGGATTTTGAAAAAAATGGTCAATTTGAAGCATACCGACCTTGTAAACTAAAGAATTTTAAGAATGTGCATTATTAGGTTTTTATATAAATAATTACTGACCACCCATTATTCAAAAAATGTGCAATATTTAGGTTTTTCTAATTACAATATATATACATATATTGTAGGATATTTCTATTTCATAAAAAAAAATTCATAGCAAGGTTAAAAAGAAGAAGAATTTTCAAGAATTTTTGAAATTTAATTATGGATTTAATCTTTTAAATTAGGTGTCTTAAATAAAATACAAGATTGAGAAACTGTTATCATTACTTTTGCTTAAATATACTCAAAACATGTTTCTTTAAATAAATTGTGCAAAGAGTCCCTTAATCCATAGCATGTTATACTAAATAATTTAATAACTATTCTTATACTATTATACTATTCCAGTTTCTATTTGGAACCTACGCTTTGAGAGGAGATACTGAACTTCTTGTATGTGGTTAGAACCTGTATTAAAACAGAAACTGTTAAGTCATACATAATCAAAATTTCATTAACAGAACCTGAACACATTTGATTTCATTCATTGATATACATAAGAAGTGTTTTCTCAGACATTGCAGTTTATATGATCACCTAGTAAAAGGTGGAACTCAGATATCACCCCAATGCTTCCAAACTTATTATTTTGACTGTGTCAACCATAGATGACAATTTTGTTAGCTAAATTGCCTCCTGATCTGACTGAAAACATATCCCAGACACTATTTTAACTGAAATTATTCATTTGTCTCAGACAGAGATATAAACAGACGAATATAAGTGAGATGAGTATAGATCGAGACAAAAGATGAAAGAATAAACATTTAATTTTCAAATAATTTTCTGAGGGATGAAGTATGATACAAATTTTCAGAAAGTATAGTCATAAACCCCCTTATGTGCCTATAATATGTCTATAAAAATCTGGATAGGGATAATGATGTTTGGGGGGCTTGGTGCAAGACTACAAAATAACCCAAGACATGCAATACGCTCAATAACACAGCACTCAGTAAGCTATTATGTCTGCGCACACATACAAAATACACATATGCATGGAAAACAGATACAAAAGTCCTATATTAGCTAGTATTATAAAAACCTTGTCCACATAACTGTCATTAGTTACTTTAGTATCTGGTTTTCCACAATTTGTGAGATTTGATTTGTATGAAATTTTGCAGACTTTTCTTTGCAATACAAAACCCACAAATCTTTTGTTCAGGGGGCAATTGCTTAAAATAACTAACATTGGGACACAAAGTTTTAAAAAATTGGCCCCTGATTAACATGTACCTGATAAAAGCTCCCCTCCATACACATTCTAAAACGTAACATTGAAAATCCCTTCAAAAACTAGGTTCATATCTATATGTTTTGATGAATGAAAACTGCATGATTTTCTAGTAATTCTCTTTATATCTAATAGTACAGATTTCAATTTGTAATGAAAAACATGTCCAATATTGTAGCAGTCCTGAGGGGATTTTCAATCACATTTAAAGCATCTGTTTATGACCCAAAAGTCTGTATTTGACCTTGAGGTCAAAGTTCAAGGTTATTAGCTACAGGAACACTAAATATAACAAGGCTTCAGTCAGGGGGAGTACTGATATAGTTAACATTAACAATGAATGTTAAGTTTTAGTTGGAATCAGTGCTTGTAAAAGACTAGCTAGCAAGGCTAGGTTAATAGATAAAGGCACTTATGAGTTTTTGGAATTGACAGACTGACTAATCAGAATGAATTTTGTTAATGCTATGGATATATCTAAGCCTATAAAGCTATAGAGGTATAATCACATAGGATCTTTATACTCAATATCAAAATGATCATAATTCAAAATGGCTGACATAATTCAAAATGGCTGACACTATGAATGCAGGGGATTTTTGCCTTGTTATTAAAGTGGCCAGACTCAGTATTACACACCATCCTCTAACAGTTCCGTACTCTTTCGTTTTTTCTCCAATTTTTTGGCACGCTTTGCAGCCCTCATTGCCTTCTCTTCCTGTTCTTGATCTTCCCTGCACTTGTGGAAATTCTCGACGACCACACCCACGAACATGTTGAGCACAAAGAAACCGACCAACAGCAGGAAAGAGATGAAGTACAACAACCGCCATTCATTGTAGTTTTCCTGAGGCTGAAATGGGATAAATATATTTTTAATAACTGTTTATATATTATGAGATTTTATTGGCATTTTTGCTCTAAGCACTAACATTGTAGTTTAGTAAAAAAGTCAGTGATTTAATTAATTTGAATTTGATTTCATATTTTTTGATGTTCTCCAAGAATGGAAGATATTGGTTAGTTAAAACAAAATGCTCAGCTAAATGAAAAAATGCATATATATTTCATGACTGATACAGCATTAAAATGAAAATTTCTCACAAAAAAAGCAAACAATCTGTTGCTCTCCGCAGCAAAGTATGATTTACAATGAGAAAATGCCATCACATTCTTTTTATCAAACATGTTAAAGTCAAGCCAGTTAGTAAAGGGAGCTATAACAGTTATATAGGGTCCCTTATACAAAAACGGAATTTAAGGAATAAGGGCCCCTTATATAATCTTCTTATAGGCTACCTCTGTTATATTCATAGAGAAAATGCACCAAGATAAAGAAATGAGACAAGAGGCAGAAAGGAAAGTCGAAAATTAAATACCCTTGTCAAGCTATACACTTCTGTAATTCAACTCTGAATATGTTTTGACTATAAGTGATTTTTACGGTGGGGCTCAAGGATACCAAAGAAGTTAGATATACAGCTATTTTATTAAGCTTAATAACCTTAAAGAAGTTAGATACACAGCTATTTTATTAAGCGTAATAACCTTTACAATGAAATTCATAGTCAATATATAAATAGAATATTATTAGGCCCAGGCTGATGATTTCATTGTATCAGGAAGATGTTTGAACTTGACAGGTTTTACAGTATACAGTATAAAGTATAAAGATATAAAATTGAAGATGTGTACTGAATATATTGAAGATGTGTACAGAATGTATTGAAGATGTGTACAGAATATGCATATTGCTGTGTCTTAAGCCAAAACAAGAATAGTAAGAAGTTAAGCTCAAAATTTAACTGAAACAAGCACTGATTCTTTCTTACCAATTAATAGCCTTGTATTGTAGGAGAGAAGAGACAGACATAAGACAGTGTAGTAGTATACAGATATATGGAGATGAGAGATGAACAAAGTCTTCCTGGATATGGCACAACCAAATTGTGGCTTAAATAAGTGGAAAAAGTTTTAAAAAATATCGGTAGTAGTTTTCATTGATTAGAAAATGAAAACAATATAGTTTAAATGAATTTATAATATATGTGTACTGTGGTTGAAAGTTGTTCATAATTTTCAGATATACACAGTGACATGAAATGGCCATATCCAGGATTTCCCAGTTTACTTCTATACATGGAAGCTGCCAAGATCAAGAAAGAAACCGTAGCAGAGCATGCACTTTTCCATGAAATTAATTGTGAAGCTTGATTTTAGATTTGGCCACATACAGATATCCATCCATTATTCAATTTTACTTACTAACTATGAGACATGTTAATATCAAATGGGTTGAGCTAATACATGACTTGAACCAACATTCTATTTAAACAATAAGTTATATGATATGATGTCTTCATGCATAGATACACCCAAACTGAATGTCCAAAACAATTTCCATTTATACCCACTACAAGTAGCTAGTGTCGGGAACTGCTAGAGGGTCATATCCCTCTGGATTTGAATCTAAGCCATGCAAGGGTTTCTGGGATACCTGTTGGTCTATTCCTACGGCGTCTAGGCCTATGTACATTATATTCACCCAACCATCTTTGGATGCCAACACAAAAAGTGTCATAAGGGCCTGGAATATTATACAACACAAAACCATACAGAGGATGCTACAACAGTTTACTATGGGAATAAAGAAAGACTGGCAGATCCCTAGGTCCCAGATATTGATGGTGTTTCCCAAAAGTTTAGAATATTTCTATTGGTATCACCAAGAAATAAACAATTTTTCCATTTGATGTATTCAAGATTGGTTCCAGTCTTTCAATATTAGAAGAACAAGAGTAAATAAACAGCTCAATTTGCTCCCTCTTGGCAATTCTGGTGAATGAAAGACTATATCTTGGAAAAGATAAGATCTTCTCTTTCCTCCATTATTGGGAAATCATGGGAGCCAATCCTCCTTTATTTTAAGATGACCTGCTTCACTACCTCCCCCTACTCCTTGACAACAAGCAGTGCACACTTCTAGATCTGTTAAGATTTCAGGGAATTTTTCCAATGCATGATTTTTTTCTATTTGATCAGTCAATTTTATTTATGCATATGCTTTTTTGAAAGCAAATGCTACTTTTATAGAAAGCTCAGTCAGTGATAGTTTTAAGAGAGCAAATATTCTAACTCTTAATTTTAAAGGATCTTAAATGTATAAATTCCCTAAAATCCTATAAAATTCCAGATACTAAACATCATTGGCAGAAAATTGTCATGACAACTTATTTCCCTGCCAATAACATTGTTCTCTAAGAAAATATCAAATATGCTCCTAACTCAAGGGAAATAGAGGGATGAATTAGTAGCATAGTTGATATGACTATAAAATACAATATAGGTGCAAAGAAAACTTGCAGACGGCTGCTTCCTGTCATGAGCCACCACATATAAAATATACCTGCTGGTCCACCCCAACTGCATCAAGTCCTGTGTACATAAGCTGTACCCAGCCATCCTTAGAGGCTAGGACAAATAGGGCCATCAGAGCCTGTAAACAATAGTTGTCATGGTATTTGAGCACAAGTTTTTTCCTAGTTAAGAACTGTAAACATTTACTTCAAAAGCAATACTTGAATGCTTGCTGAAAAGAAATTCTGTCTCTTTAATATAAAACTGGAATAAAAATAACATCGTTTAAAAACCTGAAAAATAAACAACTCAACAAATTATTTAACGAAATATAATGAGCAAGTCTGTCATCTTGTCTACCTAAATTTGCGATCTTTATCATTTTTATCAATTAAACAACCATTAGTTTAAAAAATCATTCAGTTCATCCACATTTCTGAGAGAAAAACAACATATATTTCTTTCACGCACCTGTCCCAAGTTGTCAAAATTGTACTTGTGGTTAACCCAGACATTCCTCAAGTCCTCCAGACACTGGGTCTTGTTTTGAACATGCTTGGTATCGGGTCCTTTACAGTAATAGAATGTCCCTTTAAACAGCTGAAATTAGATCATATGTACATGTATGTGTCACATTAGGGAAAATGTACATACATTTTATCAAATACATGTATGCCCAGCAGAACTCCAAAGGTATGCCTAGTTATGCATATGCCTTAATGTACATCTCAGATACCAATATTCCAACCTGAATCACAAGGGTGTCATACAGATTTCAATATGTACATGTGTATGCCTAATTGAACCTTCAAATACCTACCTGAACTCCAAGGATGCCAAATATAACAAAGAAGGTACAGCAGATGAGCACGATGTTGCCGATGGGACGTAATGACGACAGCAATGTTTGTACCACTAGCTTAAGCCCTGGAGCCCGACTAATTACCCTGAAACAGAAAATGAAACATATATTAATTGTAGAGCCTTTGACCAGTTGGCTCTTGCTGAACATACTGAACATAAGTTATCAAAATTTTGTTATGATAAATGGTGACCACATTTCATCTTGAGAAAAATCTCTTCAGCAGAGGTCCTATTGTGGTTAGGTGTCAACAGATAAAATTTGAACCAAATCTGTCCACTGGTATTTATCAAGAAATTACATTTTTCATGAAATATGGTGCCTATAAGAACCAAAATAATCAACCAGCTGAATTTGAGTTATCAACCAGAAAAACAGACAGATACTGTATATGGATGAACAGATGGATGATCTGTTTCTTTATATCCCTTAGGAACTACATTCAGGAGGATAACAAAGAAAGAAACAAACCTTAAAGGCCTGAGAGTTCTGAGCAATCTGAAGACACGCAAGATTCCAAATATTCGACTACTGGTTCCTGCGATAAGTTGTATTAGGAGATCAACCAATGAAATAATGACAAGGAAGCCGTCCATGATGTTCCAGCCACTCTTTAAATATGCATGTTTTCCGATGATGAATCCTTTCGCAATCACCTAAGATAAGAAAATGATGCATTCATTTTCAATCAATAAAATACACAGAGGCTATGAACGTATATTCAATATGACGTGAACGTATATTCAATATGATACATAAATTTGGGTCCAATTACTGTACTGTTGGAATTTATGATTTGTACATGCTCCCTTGAGTCGCAAATATGGCACACTTAAGCAGAGGATCATAGGTGTTTTGTAACAAAAAATATTGTTCTTCTTCCACTGTACAAATCGTAAATTACAACAGATCTGCAACTGGAAAGATATACACTTTTGAGCATGATAAATAAAATAAAAAAAGATTTACTAAAATACAAGTACAGTGTATTAGTGTAGAACAGAAATATTTAGAAAAATATATACATTATACCATGAATAAATCTGTATAGTCAAGAAAGCTGAGATGAAATCTGCAGATTAGATGATGAGAGAAATTCATATTATAGCACTATAGAGAGAAAATGTATGTTTATTATTTAAATTATGAATGTTCTTTTAGTTAATGCAAGAAAATAACAAGGCATTAACATGACAAAATGTCACCACCTAAAACAATTTGGTCAATTTAAAGCAAGTTGGAAAATACCTTTTGACCTTAAGAAGGTTTGATTTGAACTTCTTAGAACATGTAGATGATTTTGAAAAAAAAATTCGTCAATTTGAAGCAAGTTGAAAAAATACCTCTTTGACTTTTTTTGACATTGAGAAGGTCATTGAAGGTCAAATGTCAAATGTAAAGTCAGACTTGAACTTCTGAGAACATGTAGATGATTTTGAAAAAAAAATTAAGTAAATTTGAAGCAAGTTGAAAAAAGACCTTTTTGACCTTGAAAAGGTCATTGAAGGTCAAATGTCAAATCTAAAGTCAGATTTGAACTTCTGAGAACATGTAGATGATTTTGAAAAAAAAAATTAGTCAATTTGAAGCAAGTTGAAAAAAGACCTTTTTGACCTTGAGAAGGTCAAAGGTCAAATCTAAAGTCAGATTTGAACTTCTGAGAACTTGTAAAAAGTCAAATTTGAACCTCTGAAGAGATGTAGATGATTTTGAAAAAAAAATTTGGTCAATTTGAAGCAAGTTGAAAACAGACCTTTTTGACCTTTTTTGACGTTGAGAAGGTCATTAAAGGTCAAATGTCAAATCTAAAGTCAGATTTGAATTTCTGAGAACATGTAGATGATTTTGAAAAAAAAAATTAGTCAATTTGAAGCAAGTTGAAAAAGACCTTTTTGACCTTTTTTGACCTTGAGAAGGTCATTGAAGGTCAAATCTAAAGTCAAATCTAAAGTCATATTTGAATTTCTGAGAACATGTAGATGATTTTGAAAAAAAAATTTAGTCAATTTGAAGCAAGATGAAAAAAGACCTTTTTGACCTTTTTTGACATTGAGATGGTCATTGAAGGTCAAATGTCAAATCTCAAGTCAGATTTGAATTTCTGAGAACATGTAAATGATTTTGAAAAAAAAATTTAGTCAATTTGAAGCAAGTTGAAAAAAGACCTTTTTGACCTTTTTTGACTTTGAGAAGGTCATTGAAGGTCAAATGTCAAATCTAAAGTCAAATCTAAAGTCAGATTTGAATTTCTGAGAACACGTAGATGATTTTGAAAAAAATTTTTAGTCAATTTGAAGCAAGTTGAAAACAGACCTTTTAGACCTTTTTTGACCTTGAGAAGGTCATTGAAGGTCAAATGTCAAATCTAGAGTCAGATTTGAATTTCTGAGAACATGTAGATGATTTTGAAAAAAAAATTTAGTCAATTTGAAGCAAGTTGAAAAAAGACCTTTTTGACCTTTTTTGACCTTGAGAAGGTCATTGAAGGTCAAATGTCAAATCTTAAGTCAAATCTAAAGTCAGATTTGAATTTCTGAGAACATGTAGATGATTTTGAAAAAAAAAATTAGTCAATTTGAAGCAAGTTGAAAACAGACCTTTTTGACCTTTTTTGACCTTGAGAAGGTCATTGAAGGTCAAATGTCAAATCTAAAGTCAGATTTGAAGGTCAAATGTCAAATCTAAAGTCAAATCTAAAGTCAGATTTGAATTTCTGAGAACATGTAGATGATTTTGAAAAAAAATTTAGTCAATGTGAAGCAAGTTGAAAAAAGACCTTTTTGACCTTTAGAAGGTCATTGAAGGTCAAATGTCAAATGTAAAGTCAGATTTGAACTTCTGAGAACATGTAGATGATTTAGAAAAAAATTGAAGTCAGTCTAAACAGTATTTGTTAAGTTATAGGAAGTTGTAAGAAATTGTTACAGACGCCGGACGCCAACCTCCAACCGCCGGACGCCAACCGCCGTCGCAAAAAAACGGAGACCATAACAATATGTCACCACTTTTGGTGGTGACATAACAAACAGAAAAACAATGGAACTCACAAACAATTGGAAAACAAAACATGTGAATAAAAAACATGTTTTACAATACAAGGGATGATCCACAAGTAATAATCTATCCTTCACTTTTGAACCACCTCTTGTATGTGTAAATATGAATACAATTTCTTATTTATAGGTGTATTACATTCTTTTAGATGAAACAAGCTAGCATTGTATATATCATTTCTTAAATTCTAAACTTTTGAATGAAACAAAGTTTGCAGAAAAATGTCAAAAGAAGGTTTCTTTACATTAAAACTATGTACATGTAATAGAAATGTAAACAGAACCTCATATACAAGTTTGTTTACTTAAAGGATGTGTCTGGGTATATGCCCTTTTGGTCCCTCAGTCAAATGTATGTTAAATATGTTTTTTATTACTGTCCTAGTTATATTTGATAAGTATATTTACTTTTTCACGAGTTTTGGTGCATAATTAACCCCCTGCTGAGAGTCAGAATAAGTATCTTAACATAAAAAAATAGTCATTATCATAGAAAAAAACATCAATGGCAACATGTATGACTTACAAAGAAGAAATAACTTAAGACCCATGAAAAATTTAAAAGAAAATCATATTTTTGAAATATATTTATTAGGATTAAAAAAATTTTCAAATTTTTGAATTTCCCGCCAGTTTAATTTGAAGGGGGAAAAACAAGATGGCTGCCATTTGATGTAAGAAATATCAGAAAAAAAGTTGCTTCACTTTTAGTTTTCACAATGAGCACAGTTTTCCAGTTTTGGTTTTTTGACTGATTCTGACTCTTTATCACCAGGGTCATGTATAGAGATTATAAAATTGAAACCGGAATGTTGTGCTCAGCATGAATTTGACTGAAATATGTGTAACTTCACCAACACAATTGAAGTCTCAAAACTGGATGCTCAGTAACTTTGAGTGACTATAATCCCTTGATTACCCAGATAAACACCAATTCATTTATCCAGAAATACCATTCAATGTCTATACAAAGAAAGTAAGCAATGTTTTGGAGGATATGTTTCAAACCTTTTGCATAAATAATTCATTTAATATTTGCCATTGATTTTTTTTCAATTCTGACAAAGTGATATGCACTGTCTTTGATGCCAATATTCTTCATTAATTGTGATAAAAATTGATATTTTTGTACTCTCAGAAGAAGGATAACATATTGAAGTTTAATAATATGTGTGATTGAGTTGGTTTTTCAGACATTACAATTTTCAATATTTTCTAAGTCGATACCCAGACTCATTCCCAGACTCATCCTTTTAATTTTTACCTTGAACCTTGCACAGGATCATGTATCAAGGTCACATATAGAAAGATCAGAGGTCAAGGTCACACAACTAGGTTTAGTGAGAAACTAAAATGAGATTACAGGTGGATATTGTAAACAAATGTTAAGCTCAAAATCAACACAATCTTATGTAAATAAATTATTCAGCTATGTTAACCAACTATAATTACTTTTTAATTTACAGATTGTGCTAATTTTAAAGTACATCTACAGAACATACAGTAACAGACAATGAAAGTGTAAAGTATACACATTTCAAAGAACCATGAAATTGACCTTGGTTTGAGAACCTCAAGGGATTCACATTTATTCTCTATGTGATAAAGGCCTGTATTTCATGGCAGTTTTGAATGTCACATCAAGAATGAACAACTACATTGATCTTCATGCACAATAAAAATGTACTTAATTCTACGGATAAATATCTCCATTTTCTCCATTTTGGTCATGAGAAAAACTTATACTGGGTAACCCAAAAGTATTGAGTCACCCTGTATATTTCAATAAAATGTTATTGTGTCAAAAGTCAGAAAGTTCATTGAGTGAGAAAAGTATGATACCAGAGATTTAAGTACAATGAATAGACATGTAATCTAGACATATCTATGTAAACCACACATAAAAATACTGCTCTAATATCTTATTCTAAAATATAGTAAACAAAGTAAAAACTATGATATTAACCCAAGTATAACTCCGATATAGAAACCAGTTATTTTCATATTCAAATTAAGATAATGTAGTTTAATCAATCAAAAAAATTTAATTAATCAAAACAAAAAAATTACAAACTTGGATTTTTGTTTCATAATCTGCCTTGCTTCAAAACAAGTAACTCAGCAAGATAATTTCAATGAACAGCATAAAAACATAGTCTCAAATCATTATTGTACTTGGGGGATATTTCAACGCTACAAGCAAAACTGTCAAAAAGAACCAGATGTGTGCGTCATGCAGTAAGTGTTTATATGTACCTTAACCGTCATTTCAAAAGTAAATATAACTGTAAAGATGTAGTTGGAATACGTAAGGAACGCTCTTTCCTGAAATCAGCATATCAACATATATTAAGAATATAACAACAAAATTGAAAAAAGTCACAGTAGAGAAGGGTCAATGATTTATCATTCTGTATAATCTGATCATATTTTTCTTGTAGGAGCTGCAAACGCAAACTCAAAGACTTTGTAAACATCTCCTACAATCATCAATCTAATCCTACCCTCTCCTGTGGAAGATGGGGTTAGTACATGAAATGACCCTTAGTTAGATTTGATGAAAAACATTTTCATTTTCAGATTAATACACATGATCAATTCATTTCCTTCTCCCGTGGCTGCATACATAATACAGTGACTTATTTTACCTTAATACTCATTTCCACAGTGAACACAAAGATAAAAACATAGTTGGCCATCACCAACACTTGTCTTTCCTGCAAAAGAGGAATTTTCATAAAGTGTGTGTGTTAAATTATTAACTTGGAATAGATAAAGAAATTTCATTCATACAAAATGAGCAGGCAAAATTTTGAATGTGAAGCCTCAAAAGTAAATAATTCCACCAAAAAATATTTACACATCAAGAGACATTGATGCTGAATGAAGCTAAAGTGACCGTTTCAGGTAATGTAGATAAAAAGAATAAGCAAAGATTTAAAGAAATATAATGAAACTATATACCAGGTACCATACTCTTACAGAACTGGAAAGTACTGAAAGTATCACAATTCCTTGATGAATTGTAAAATACACTCCTTTGCAAAATGGTGTCAAATTAGCAAACACTGCCACCCTTTAAGGCAACATTCAATGAATTGTCCGTGTCAATGCATTGAATATATAACACTCAAATGTTTACAAAATCAATCAACATAATTGGGACAAGAGTCACAATTTCAAGCAACCTATGATCAAGAATTCCTTTATTTCACAAAATAATTGTATGCTATGGCAGTTTTAAAGTATCCAGTCCAACAGTTGGAAACTCAATGTTTGATAGAGTAGAAATTAAGTTAAATTGAGAATTGTGCAATTAGCTAAAAAGCTAAGGTAGCAGCAAATAAGGCTCCTTCGTCATACAAAAAAATGTTTATTATAAAATTCATTAAAAAGTGAAATTAAACTAGAAATAAGTCAAGGGCCAAGTGTTTAAACTGCCTCAGACTCCAAGGATGAAAATCTTATATATATTTGAGCTTAAAACTACTGCTTAAATAAAATCTCATTTCTATGAGAAATTGGTAAAGTAGTATTTTCTAGTCAATACTAATTTATTAGACTAAGTGCTAAGAACAATTGCTGCCTTCACTCCAGACTGTCCAAATATGGTCATATACAGTCAATAATTGTCCCAAATATGGACATATAGGAGGAGACATACCTAGAATATCTCAATCATCTAACTGAGCTACAGGGAAAATTTGATGACATTACAGGTCATTTCTTAAATACATCACACATCTACAATTTTGAATTCATTTGTTTTTCATGTCTAAATAAGAGGTCATGAACAATTAAATTCTGAATTTGTAGACCCGTGATATCTTTTACACCCATAAAGTAAAATTCAATAAACAGACATTAATAGAGACTGTGCATTTTTGGGATTATTTTACTATTCTAGAATAAAATGTAAAGACCTGGCCTGAGCAAATGAAATGAGTCGTCAGTCATGCCTAAATGTTGTCTACATGGGTCTCTAGAATTCAAACTTCAACCTCGTGCAGATGAATGAATCTATATTGGAATCAATATCATTTTTATTCATTTTTGAACAAATTATATATTTAACACTTCATAATATAATAATAATTAAAAATATTTATCATAATTTTTATTTATGACATATAATTATGTTTTTTATTCAATCTAGATTACTCTAATAGAATAAATTTAAATTTGATACAATGTAGATTGAATGTTTGGTGTAAGTGGCGAACTGATTGATGTACTATTATGTAGTTCTGAACTGATTTTTACTTCTCATTGTAGATTTTTTGTAATAAAAAAGTTTTTTATTTAGGGGTATTTCAATGATAAAGTCAAATGCAAGATGTAATATCAAAACAGTATTTGAGCTCATATACTTTCATACCATTGTCAAACATATCTCAATATATACATACTAAAGTAGTGTTTCAAAAATTGATAATTGTACTGATAGAATACAATTATTTCACACAAGAGTTTAAAATTACATAAATTATGCGATTCATTTCCAGTCAATTTGAAATTTTCTGGTATTAATTATATCTTAATGATTATTTCTCATTTATTTTTTTCATATATTTTCATTTTAACAAATTTGTGATAAGATTCATTTCCAATAATGTTTGCCCACATCAAACAAGTAATGCCAAAGGATGATACTCCAACCCATAATTCCCTGCTGTAAACATGCATGCATGTGAGAGTTAGTCAAGACAATGAAAACATTAGTTTCAGTTTATAAATCTTTACCTCCTTTGAGACCTGTACAATAGTAAGAAACCACATGGTAATACAGCAAATTGTCACACATTAATAAAAGCGTTTGCATTTTGATTGGCTGAGTGCTGATATTTATTAATAGGACCATGAATTACAAATCAAACGAGAGCTCAGCTCAGATAAGATGATCGTGTCCAAAATTAAATGAAAATAGAATCTATAGCAAAACCATGGAAAAACAAGTTAATCAATGATGAGTTCCAATATGTGATCTTTTGAGCTGTGGGTATGATTGAATAATGGCCATTCAAAACTAATATTATCTGTGATATACAAACACAAAATCACTCATGAAAACCATTATATCAACAGCAATGGTTTATAACATAAACTTATCGCAGTGTATCATTTGAAAAAAACATCAAAATCACTCTAGAAATTTTGTGGAGTACAATTTCAAAAAGTAGAACAGATATAACATAACGTACCATACTGTCTGGTGGGATATCTGGCCTCTCCATGGCCAGAGTTATGCAATTTAAAGCAATGAAAAATAGCACTGTGTAGTCAAACCATTTCTTCACTATCAGCTTATGACATATTTTCCTCAGCCTGCAAAGATAAATAACAGAAATCTAAACATTAGGCATAAATATATATTCTCAGTACATACTCTATATATTGGAATAAAAATTCTTAACAATACTATTTAATGTAAAGACATGCAACTAATTTTGTTTCAAGATTTTTCAAGATGATTTAATATCAATATAATGAACAAGTTAGGAACTTACGAATTCTCATCAGACATGAGATACAATGAGTATTCAGCCCGAGTTTTAAAACAGCCTTTTGGCTCGGGGCACCACGAGAAAACACAGTCCTACAAAATTAAACACATTCCATTCAAAAATAATATCTATGTAACCTTCCTAATAACCACCTCAGAATCATTTCAAGAAAATATAATATTCTTAACATGAAAAACTGTTATTAAATAATTTCTTACTGAATAAGTAACAAATCAACAATACATTACAATTAACCTGCAGATTTACAGAGAACTATATAGCAGTTCATAAGTTAATAAATATATTAACAAAATGACAATACATATTTCTTTAAATGCATGTATCCTTTGGATGCTAAAAATAAAGTTTCAAACTGACACATGCACTATTGTACATAATAATATAATGTAATGAATGATTAGGAATGATTTTAATTATTAACATTTGCTGTGAGTACTTGAATTACATTTCCTACATAATTATAAATAGTTATAGTAATAAAACCACACTAATATTGATCCAGGAATAACTGACTGTCTATGGATGACTCAGCTTAAAATAAAAAATAAATTCTAAAAAATTCTATAAAACTCAAGATGGCTTTATCTACCTTAAATTCATACTTTCCGATTAGGAAACTTCATTTTTAAAACTTGGGCTAAAAATGAATCGTGGCAAACAACACTTGGAAACACCATTTTAGCCTAAATCAATCATTCCAATTCATAGCATGCTATTTGACAAAAATACCAAATGTAGTGCAAATTCACTGTGAATTGTTAATCAGTTGTTTTTGGTTGTTAGTTTGAAATTGTCTCAAATGCAGTGTGATAGTAAAGAAAGGAATGTTATACTGATCATTAAAGAAAGATTCTGATGATTGACTAAATGTAAAACTGTAACCAATTATAAAAACTGAAATCTCTAACATCAACCTGATTTATTGCTGGTTATATTATGACAATATCTAAATGAAAAAACAAGGGAAAATGACTTTTTTACATAAACTCATTAACTAACCAAATCTATTTCAACACTATGTAATGATGAATTAATTGATAATTTAACCATCTGATTATAAATCTAAAAATTATGAATATTCCCTTTTTTCAAAGCATAAAATTTCTCGGAGGAGTACCATATTTAGCAGAACAAAATTAGAAACACTAAAAAGTTGTTTTCTCAGATGGTTAAAACTGTATATTTACATGAAAGCAGGGTGCTACATTAGCTTGGAAACATTTTTGAAAGAAAGGATTTACATGCAACTTAGTCCAAAGAGAAGGCTGCAAAGGAAAGAGCGATAATGTCACACCTCTAAGAATTATTGCAAAATTGAAAAACATTGAATTATTCTCAGAATACTTGAAATTCAAACATTACTATTTCTAGCAAAAAGTTTTTTCTTAAGAAACCATCTTTATTAAACATCTCTTAAAATAATTGTTTTAAATGTTTTTCCATACATTTTTCATATCACACATAGAGCACAAAGGGAGTCAATACAGAATATTCATGTCTCAAAAAATCAATCACATATTTAAGGAATTTGATGCATATGTTAAAACATGTCATTTTTACATCAACAGCCATTTTATACCAAAAACATTGCCTCGGTACATCATCCTAGAAAATTTCCCAGCTTCAAATTCCATACATACATGACTTATCATTGTCAACAGAAAGCAGCACTTGATCTGAAGCAATGATCGCTGTAATGAAACATAAATGTTGCTATGGTAACTCACTGTCTCATCTGCAGCATCAGGATCATCATCCTCTTCCTCTTCTTTCTCTTTCTCATCCACCTCTGAGGGAACTTTGATATTAATCTGAGAGATATCTGTTATGTTGTTTGGCTTGTACTCATCTTTACCTGTGTTACTACCTAGCATTTTAAGTCAACAAAAAAATGATTTAAAATACCATTTTATAAACTTATTTTTACAAATGCCTACAAATCCATGAGGGATGTTTCAGCCCTTTGTACCTTTTTTTAGGTTTTTAGCAGCTTCACATTGGGCATATGACCTTCACAAATAAAACATGATGGATTTTAACATATAAGAGACAATCGATTTTTACATTTCATTGAATTTTATATTATATTATTAATCCATTGTATATCATTAAACTTTAATTGTTTTGGTTGGTTTTTCTATCCTATTTATTTATCTTTAATCTATATAAAAGACAAGGTCTCAAAAGATGAACCATTAAACACTAGCATTTAAAACAAACCTAAAGATGTCTGTGGCGAGAGTGTCCTATGACTATTTATGGAATTTTGACGACTTAGTTTGAATGAATTGTTTCTGCTTGATACGTAGCTCCCAATGGAATTTTGTCGACTTAACCGTCCATGGATTGGATTCTTAGGGCTGAGTCGACTTTTGATGGAATTTTGAGGGCTTAGTGTACGTTGGTTGTTTAACTGGGCATGACCATTACAGTCACTGGAACAAAAGAAATTCAATTACAAGATGATCTGGAAATAAAAAAGCCCAGGGGTGAGAGCACAAACAAAATATAATGTATTAATTCTATATTTTATCATGACAGATATATGGATAAGACTTTTTGAATGAATAAGTATGTATATGTATACATCATTCCATTCTATTTGATCGATAAGGTCTGGGCCTTTGCAAAATGTCTATTTTACCTCTCATTTGATACAAAATAGTAGAAGCAATAATTGTTACATAGATACATATAATTGTTCTTAAAAATAAAGCTCATTTATTTATATTTATACATCAATTTTTTTCATATTACTATTTCTAATATTCGTTTTCATTTCATTTCAGAACTAAATCAGAATGAATAGTCTTTATGATAAGATAATATCTCATGTACACATGCGAACCAACATCCACCCTCTATTCTAGAACATCTTTACCCCTGATATATTGTGTTACATTATTATTTATTTTCAATTAATTACGTCATGACTAAATAATCAAATGTAATTTATCACAACATTGTTTTCATTACTACTTTGTAGTTTCGGGATATTTTTTCATAATGCCACAAATTATACAAGTACAATGATTGACTACTAATGACGACTACTAATGACTACTACTTCTACTACACACTAAATCTTAGTGATGACATCACAATGCGACAGCTATATAACTACTATAACTATATTGCTTATATATCACAACCTCTAAACCAACATTGGGGTATTCCCATATATAGGGGTATTCCCAGACAGAAGGGGGTTGTCTCATATATAGTGGTATTCCCAGAGAGGGGTATTCATGGGTATGGGATATTCTTGGACACACACTAATCTTGAAATCCAGAATTACCTCATGTGCAATGATAACCATCTCTGAGAATTCCCCATGTTGGATAAAGCATGGTGTCATATCGATGTTGTGATATATTCACAGTGTACTATTTAACATGGTGTAACGTGAAAACATACATCCACATTTCCGGTCTCTGACATTGTGCACATGTGAAATGATGTGAAAGTGAATAGGGATTATTGGTGAATTATTACTAATGCTGTGGGTGCTCATGTTAATTCCTTATAAAACAAAGGTGATTCTTTTGCATATGGAATATCAGACAGTTCATAATATCCATGTACATGACTTTAAATAAATGATAATCACAACATAGTCCATATTCTAACCAAAGCCAATGCAAAATTGAAATTTTAACAATTTTATGATCATGGACATTATAAAATGCTAATAATTATAGAATCATTAAAGGTAGTATTGAGATCAGCTCATTTATAAATAAATATACTCCTCAAAAAAAGTTAAGGACCTCATAGGTTTACATGTTAACCCCCATATTTGTTTGAACAACTGTTTTCTAAGCGGGAACAAAAGAAATCCCAATAAAGTAAATAAATCTGTATCTTGATTCTATTCCCTATAAAGTCCGCAACGTTTCAATGTTATATCTCCATTACATTCTGTCAAAATTTGATGTCAAAATTGATGAATTTCATGAAATGTAACAAAAATGGCAGATCCCATGTTAAACAAATGGGGAATGGTGGCTTAGGGGCAACTCAGATTTTAGAATATCTATTCAGCAAAACATTTATTAAAAAATACTTTCTAAGTAGAAAATTGAATGATTTTACATTTATATGCTAAATGTCTCGCTTATGTTGTTAAAATTAGCGATACGGAGCATTAAAGTAATTTTGACCACCTCACTGAACCACCTGTATTATTTTAATTAGAGGTTCATTAAAAAATTATTGAATTTGAAACCATTAACTTTTGTAAAGCCTGGACAATTAAATCATATTTTTGTCGAGTGGACAATTTAGCAAATTTAATTATCTCTTAAAATTTCAATTTTGAGAGCAAATGGATGGATGGATTGTTCCTCATATGACTTATGGCAACCCAACCATTCCCCATTTGTTTAACATGGGATCTGCCATTTTTTGTTAAATTTCATGAAATTCATCAATTTTGACATCAAATTTTGACCCAATGTAATGGAGATATAACATTGAAACTTTGCGGACTTTATAGTGAATAGAATCAAGATACAGATTTATCTTCTTTATTGGGATTTCTTTTGTTCCCCGCTTAGAAAACAGTCGTTAAACAAATATGGGGGTTAACATGTAAACCTATGAGGTCCTTAACTTTTTTTGAGGAGTATATTACATGAAAACGTTTACTCTTAATCAAAATAATCATCATGCATGCTTGAAAAAAGCCATTCCTCTTTACAGCCTATGTATCAAAACCAAACTTTGTGACCACATTCTTGAATATTTCAACAGATACAATCAAGAATCCCTTTTAAGCATATTCCTTCTGAAACCAGAAAATTTGTGATTAACTGGTACACTATGTAATTTCTCACATAATTTGGTGGGAAGCCACAGAGTGTATCAAGTTAATAATAATGAAATTTCTTAAGTTTGAGAAGAATATACATTGTACACCTATAGCGCTTATGGAGATTGTGCAAACATGCACCTTTCACTACTTTCCAGAAAACCATGTTGTCTGAATCATGAAACTATATGAGAAACACATTAGTATCACTTGTAAAAAGTCAATAGGGCTTTCAAGCTCATGCTTGTAACTTATCACTAGAATTGTCATACTTCAATATAATGTCCCAGTTGATCATGGCTAAATCTGCAATTCTGTTTTTATGAATTTGAGACAACTCATTTATATGGTATGACTTTTTCCTGCCCTTGCCCAAAGGGGAAAGCCTCTTGGTTTTGACTATCCTATTACCAGTTCCACTCCCCTCTTTATTATTAAAATATAGGAAGGATAGGATGCACTGTCATGGAAGTACGAATCATTAAACTCTTAGCTGTCCTGTGGTTTTCACTTGATTTGCCTTTGCCTACAAATTTGCTTGTCCTTGGACCCAACAGAAGGTTTGCCCATTTGAGGAGACATCCTTTTCCTACAGAGTTGACGAGATATAATACTATATGTTTCTTCATGAAAGTTCGTCATCAGAAACATGGGTTTTGAGGTTTACAATCAAATAACACAAGATGATCGCATGATGAAGAAAAGACCAACAAAGATTTCAGATAGACCCTACAAGATAGCAAAGAAAAGGTGACATGTGGTAAGCGTATTGCACTATGGGTAACAGGAAGTGAGCTTGGTGGACTAGATGCTTATATCATTAATAAACCTACAACCGAAACAATGGGCTGACAGGAGGTATAGGCTGGCTCTGGTATATCAATGAAAATGGTGGATTCTCGGATTCACTAGGTAAATCTATGACGAGAAATCGTGAATTCTGGGAAGGATAAGGATCGCTTGGGCTGCAATTGGATAATTCATCAATTCATGCATGTGAAAGTTATGCTATAAAATTTTATGTAAAACAAGTTATGCATATTGAAGGATTTGGTATATTAGTAAGATTATTAGTAAATTCAAAGCAGTCTATCTACATGTATTAAATACTTTATTTTTGTACTACATTAATATTCATTAGGCGAGTTACAACAATAAAATTTATTAAAAGGTAAAGGGTAACCATTTCACTTTTTTCCAAAACTGAACTGCTTTCAGTCCATGATGTGAAATGGTTGAACCCATTTAATTAATTTAACATGTGCACAATGTAGACAACTGTAGTTGTAGTTATATGGGATAATGTGAAGCAACTAAAATACATATTTCATGATTTCAATAAAACAAATAATTCCTGATTTCGTTTGAAAATAATATAAAAATATATATTTTCATTGTTCAATATATTAAAACTAATATGTATTTTAGTAACAAAACATTGGTATTAATTAGTTGTGAAACTAAGTTAACCGCTGAGCTTTACCTGAAATAGTATGTGACGCATCGGCTGAAGAAGAGTTCAAATAGAAGATTGTACTAACTAAATAATACTCAAATATAAGAAATGAGATTAAGTATCTGGACCATGCCTAGAATACTACCATGGCAATGCTTATCATTATGTTCACATTGAAAGAAATGTCAAGATTTTCTGGTATGTTCTACAATTTTGTGTGTGTCATAAGCAATCATGTCAATGTCTGTCTCACTTTATTTTCACTTTTTCTAACAAATCTTATTTTGTATTTTAAAACAGAACCACTGTGAACTCAAAACAATAGCCATGTAAGGTTAGACCTACATACATAGCCACAATAATGACACTGACCATTTTGCAAAAAATAAAACCATTTGAAGCACAATGCAGATAAAGGAGTACATGTATTACCTTTGAGGAAATACGAAGCAAGATATTTCATTAAGATTCAAATATGCAGCCATATACAGCCAGTATAGTAGGGACACATGTTTTCACAAACCAACCCACAAATATAAATCTAGAGATACGCCTAGTGATACCCTGAAAGTTGTCATGAATATAAATGTTTTAATAAAAATATGGGATGAATATGGTACTAAATTGACAATCAAGCAAGGCTATCAGTCCCATACCTGTAGTTGTTATTCTGTGGTGTACCATTGGTGTTTCCATTGCCTATGGGAATATTAGCAGGACCACCATTTGTGTTATTATGATGTGAATTGTTGGATCTTTGACCATCTTCATCTGGGTCAACATCATTGAGTGCATCAGGTTCACTAACCAAACTCTCCTTATCACCGTCTCGGACTTTGTTGTTCTTAAACTTGAAGCTGCCACGCAAACTGCCACGGCTAGATTTACCACTGCCACGACGATGCAATTTTGGAGTACTCCTTATACTCATTGTAGACTGTAATAAGTGTAAGGTAACAGTTTATACATGAACTGCAAAAGCATTATTTCATAATATGTTAATTGTCATGTTGCTTGGCATAACTAGTCAACAGAGTACAATGATTATTGTTAACTAATTCATAGGGTGGCTGGTCAAATTGTATACCTTCACTGTAAAAAAAGACTTTTGTACAATAAACCTCTTCAGCCCTACCTCTTATACTCGTACCTCAGTCACATTTGGTCTGTGGCAACTGTATGGCAGCCATAGCTTCCCAAAATAGAGGGAAATATATGAAGCATAAAATATAGGTATAAGCAGTAGGATGTAGATTTTGGATATCGATTTTGTGAAAATATGGCCGCCGTACATCCGTCAAGAGCAAATGTGACTGAGAATTTAGACCTCCCCCAATTTGCATTTTAAAACCTGGTCACAAAGAGTCACTTACTGATGATTTGTCTATAGAGTCTAAAGACATTGAGCTAGCATTAAAGGGTTTGTTCACCACCAGTCGATTATTATTGTCCTGTTTGTAGTTTAGGGTCTCGTTGGGACTGCCCTGGGGTGTGGCTGCAGGTGTGGCTGCTGTGTGGGTGATAATTGGGGGATTAAGGGGTCCCTGAGATTGCGGGAGGTTACACTCGTCAGTCACTGCTACAGATTGAGGGAGGGCCAGCATCCTACGTTCTGAAACATAAGCTCGGAAATGCAGCATATAAATACCATGTAAATAACAATTCCAAGCTACATCTTGGTTAACACACCGAAAGAATCATGAACTTTGTTTTGGTTAAAGAAAGGTGTCTAAATTAAGGCAAACATCATTCTTGGATTACATTTTTTCCTTTTTGACAACATTGATCATATTGAGACAAGAGTCATTGTTTAAATCTGAATCACACTTTACAGGTAAAGCTACTTGATTTCCTTACCTTTATCTTGGTTATTTTTCTCAATGTACTCCCCCGGAATTGATTTATTTTCCTCTTCTAGTCTATTCTCATTCTCATCTGTGCTACTACAGTCAACACTCTCATCATTGTCTTTCTGAGACTTATCCTGTAATAAGTAAAGACATTGGTACTCCTCTTACACCATTTTGAACAAGCTCCAAATTATGAAAATTCACAAGGAACAACATTAGAAAATACAACCTAAATCATACAAAAAACTATGGATATATACAGGAGAATGTGGTGAAAATTAGTACAAATTTAATTCAATGCTCTCCTTATTTAGTATCTAAATTTTAAAATCATGTTATTTAGATAAGATTTACGGGTATTATGGTTAATTTGGTGTTTTTCAAATGCTGCCCTTGTGTCTTTTTCATATTTTCGAATCAAAATGTACAATTTTGAAATGATACTAAAATATTTGAAAATGCTATACTAGTGTGAATTTTACAGTTTGATTTAGAAGAAATAAGCTGGGAGAAGAAGCTATAAATTATGCGCAATTCTTGAATTTCAATTGTCTTTCATAATGTGAAATACGACTGAATTTCATAAATTGTAGTTCAGGATATTTTAGAGAAAGCCTCCAGTTTGAATATATTGTATATCTCATTTTACATTGCCATGTATTTTGACAATGTTAATTATCAATACTTTGAACTGAAATAAATATGTTTCAATGAGAGGGTTAAATACAGATTTTCTTATAGGAATCATTTTTTTGCATTCTACTCAAATCATTTAATATTGCATGTATAATATGTACATATATTTGGCATTGAATTATGAGACCGTTTAGCAAGATGCTAAATTATAAATAATGAAGCTCAATTGTATGCGGCAAGATTCAACAATTTCATTAGGTGCGCTAACAATATCATTTGAGTGCACTAACAATTTGATTAGGTGCACTAAAAATTTGATTAGGTGCACTTATAATTTCATTTGAGTGCACTAACAATTTCATTGGGTGCACTAACAATTTCATTAGGTGCACTAAAAATTTGATTAGGTGCATTAACAATTTCATTAGCTGCACTAACAATTTCATTGGGTGCATTGACAAATTCATTAGCTGCACTAACAATTTCATTGGGTGCATTGACAATAACTGGGTTGGTAGCTGAATAATATAATGCACAAAGTAAAATGCAGTAAATTGTATACAATAGATTCTTATGAATTTTGACACTACTGACATGCATTTCTAGTTTTATAAAGTGAATATCTTGTGCTGTTTGACATTTTAGGATGACTCTTCAATTGAAAATTGCTATATGCACCATAGTCACGAAGATGAAGTGAGGTTACTGAATATGAATATACACTTATGGTATGCCTACAGTTTTGGGAATTCTAAACAATGGAACAGTAGTGTATTGTGTTGTGATATTAAGGCCAATGCAGAGTCCAAAGAAGCTGACCAATTTAAATTAATGGAGGGATCAGTTCCATTAGGGTCAGATATGATAACTTCATGACTGTGATCTTTAGGGTTTTAGATATCATATATATCCTGGGAAATAAATCGTATCTACTCTATGGCTAAGGTATCCCTAAGACTAGAAATGACTTACTTCCAAAAGGATATACCTGATACTCAAAATCAAAGTATTCATTTCATCTCATATTTGTTCATGTACTTGGTATTGGAATTGGAATTGATCACTTTTAAGATAATGCAAGATGAAATATTGATACAATTGAACATTATATATCATTTGGCGGAAAAAATATGAAGTTATCAAAAGTATGAAATATATAAATGACTTTTTATGCCCTAATCAGTGAAAGATTCATCTATTTTGAAATTGTGATATCTACTCCTGTGACATCTACATTTGAGATGGCTCAAATTTTTTCTGAACAAACCTCAAAGTCAGACTCATTTGTCTCATAACATGAGTAATTTTCGTCATAATCCATATCCATATTTGGATAGAAATCAGGCACTGGCGTCAATGATGTCACCGGTTGAAAATTGAATGTCACATGACATCGCCGAGGTTTAAGGCACCAATGCAAGTTAAGAGTTGTTGGTCTTTGTGCTGGTCGTCCCTGGGAAAATCGTTGCCTTAATATTGGCAATTTTCCAGCAGAGTCTGTTTTTATCTGATAATACCGTTTCATTTTTTCATCCTCTTGGTTTTTTGTGAATGATGCAAAAGACATCAAAGAGGGTCCAGTGGCAGGAGTGGCAGGAGGCTTTTTCTGCATTGATGATAGAGAGAAATGATAAACTATGGTAAAGCATAGATAACTAAAAACACATATATAAATATATTAAGGGGTTCCAGTTATAATGTCATGTTTGCTTAACTCAATATTTTTCTCCGTTTAAATAAAGTACTGTATGTGATTTCCTAACATTCCCTTACAATTAAGAATTTGACTACAAGTCTGATTAACTTTATTCCTTGCTCATTAAACATTTCGCCTCTTAGTTTTGCAAATTTTAACATGACAAGAAGGACATTATCTAACATTTACTATTAACTGGACACCCTGTATATTTGATAAACAAAACATGCTCTATAAATGGATGATTAAAGTTTAAGGCATATATATGTATATATACGAGGGAAGATCCAAAAGTTTCCGGCCTAACATAGTTCCCGATGTCTGAGAGCAACCATTCTTCACAGTTCAAATGTTGCTTATGTATGAACATAATTTATGCATATGATTAACCTCTAGGGGTCACAGCCTCATTTTTAGAATATTCATAATGAGGTCAGGTCACAGTGGCTGCACATCAGTGATCACAATGGAGAAAACTGAATATAGAGCTGTGATAAAGTTTCTAAATCAAGAAGAAAATGGAGGGCAGGAAATCTACGATAGACTTAAGGATGTGTATGGGGAAGGTGCTCCCTCCTATTCTACTGTAAAATTTTGGGTGGCTGAATTTAAACGTGGACGGGAATCAATTGATGATGCACCACGTTCTGTAAGACCTAAAGATGTCACTTCAGATAGAAATGTTGATCTTGTACATCGAACAATATTGGAAGATAGGCGGAAATCTATACGTGAACTTGTAGAAGAAACTGGATTATCATATGGTACCGTTTGTAGAATAATTCACCCCATCCAACAATAAGATGATGGCCACCATTTTCTGGGACTGTGAAGGTCCTATCTTAGTAGACTACCTTCCAAGAGGTACTACAATGAATGGAGAATATTATGCTGCTTTGTTGCTAAACTTGATGAAACCAGGCCACATAAAGTCCGTCTTGGAGTTTTGCATCAACAGGACAATGCACCTGTTCACACAAGCCAAGTTGCTCGTGATGCAGCGGAAGAATGCCATCTGGAATTATTACCGCACGCACCCTATTCTCCAGATCAAGCACCCAGTGGCTATTACCTATTTGGGAAACTCAAAAAATCTCTACGAGGGCAACGCTTTGATGATGATGATGAGGTCAAGATAGCTGTTAACCAGTGGTTGGAGGGTTATGCTCCTGATTTCTTCAGAACTGGACTTGAGATGCTGCCAAGAAGATGGGCCAGGTGCATCGAAGTACAGGGAGACTACATTGAAAAATGACACTATCATTTTGAAAATCCATCAACTAGAACTATGTTAGGCCGGAAACTTTTGGATCTTCCCTCGTATATAGGATTTTTAGATTCTCTAGAAGCCCCTTGGCAGTCTCAGAGTGTACATGTGCACTTAAAGCACAATATTTCACATTAATTATAAGTGCAGATATTGATTTGAAAACAGGATAAAGGACACAAGAAGTCGCAAGAAAGATATATGTGTGCTTCCATATCTATTGCTACATGCTGAACTCAAAATGTCATTTTTTCATCTGTACCATTTCTCTTTTAAGTTTGAATAAACAGCCTAATTTTCATGTGCCTGCATGCCACACCTATACGTTTAAGTTTTCACCATTTTCACCCTTTTCTAAGCTATTATTCCCTTAAACACATGACCCCAATGACATTCATAGTTTTGCTTTCTTTCATTGGAATCAACCAAAAACAAAACTTAATGGCATTAAAAAGCCAAACTAAATTCTTTAATATATAAACGCTATGAAGCAAATATCAGATAGAGGTTAAGCAAAGTATAAAGTAACATGCAAAACAAATTAGATCATCTATTCCAATGTTATTTCATCTATCCCTAACAGTTTTAGGAATACATTTAGATAGATAATCATGCAATGCATATAACTGCAGATGAATATAAATGAACCTATCAATCAGTTGATCAAATGCAAGAAGCTCCATGTACAAAAACTTCATATTCTTTTTATAAAATTCAAGAATTCAACCAATGCATTTGCTGGATCGCCATTTGGCATAGTCAAATCACAATGACTTTATAGCAGAAAGAACTATTGTAAAACAGGGTGAGACAAAAAGTGAAACCCATGAATAACTTCCATACAAATCATAATAAAAATCTGAAGTTAAAATTGAGATACATTTTTGTGACACTCTATACATTGAGGATATCCGAGCTCTAAAACTGTTAAGGATGGATCACTTTAATTTCTTATAAGTCACCATATTTTCTTTATTCCTTATTCTTTTATATAGGTTGATATCAGTATCTCAACAAAATGCTTTCTATATTCTATATAAACTTCACACTTATCCATTTACAGTTTAATTTACTCCAGTACAGCTACAGTATATGAAGTTTTTTTATGGAGAGCTAAGTTGCACAAGATTCAAAACCCAAACACTATCAAAAAGCGATATCCCACCTTTTTATAGCGTGGATACTACATTACAATAAAAATAGTTGAATTAGACAAAATATATCAAATGTTGGCTTAGACTCAAATGTTGATTTATTTTATAATTATTTTTCAGGGAATGCTATTTATCCAATTGTAAATATGAATATCTTCAGTAGTGTATATGATGACAAAGTACAGATATTGATATTCAAAAGTGGATAAAAATGATATCCCGACGAAAACAAAATCTAGACCCTTTCAAAACATTTTAACATTCAAAGAAAAGATTCAAATATGTGATTTTAAATATTCTGTATTCTTATGATCCAGTTATATATCTTTAATAATCTCCAGCATTACTTTTTTTAAAAAAGACATCACATATTTAAAACATTTATTTGGATATATATGAATGTTACAATGATTTGATGAATTTTCATAATTTTGAAATTTCTCCAGTCTCCCAATTTGAATATAAAGCAACATTTGCATTGGATACAATATCCAAACTACGTCCTATATTGTGATGTTGTTAAGGTTTCATTATTCTATCAAATCTCTGACAATGTACATAATATCGCTGAGCCAGAAGATAGAATCATTTTAAATGAACACTATGTGATATTATGTGAACATATTCTTAAATGGGATCGGAAGAGGCAGTTTCAAAATATCGATGTCTCTTCACGCAAAACTGTAATTATATACAGTGTGTCAAATAAATATGTTCTCCCCTCCTTAGCTCTAACATCCACATAATGTTGGATAACTTATTTCTCTAAACGATATCTGAATTGTTCTTTAGGACATAAAAACTAGGCTCCATGGAGCAGCTCAACTACAAGTAGATGTACTTTTATGCCAAAAAATCATTCTCTTGGAATAAAGGGAGGATAACATATTTATTTGACACCCTGTATAGCCTCAAAACCTCAAAATACAATGATTTTTGGAATGGTATGTGATCACCTCTTAAACCCGGGTATGCAAATAGATCTTTCCCTACACAAAGGTCTGAACCCTAACATCAGAGACAATTTGTTTTGTGTGAAAAATCCCTAAATTCTGACCTGGCCTCTCAGTTGTTCACTGGAGTGCATGACCACGATGGGGTCAATGGCAGACATGAATTGTGTGTTCACATTGGGAAAGTGTTCATTTAAACAGATTCCTGTAAACACAGGTATCAATGATGGTTCAGACATATTGTACAAAGTCAGATATTTTTACAAATGTAACAGCCCATAGCCAGTGGGACCCAGACTTGATAAAATCATGATAATTTCGGTAGGTATTCAGTTTCAAAAATATTTACCCAAAATCAGAAAAATTGGCTAGTTAATATCAAATCCAAGCCTCCCCAGAAGATTATAAAATTTCAACCCCTCCCCTTCATGGAAGCTGGCTAGGAACTGGTGAGACTATGAAATATCACTAAAAAGAAGAGGGGAATATTTACTCTACTTTATAGTTGGCTACTTCATAAAATACTGATTTCCTATTAAATCATTGTTAATAATAATGATTGTTGAATTGGGAAGTCAAATTCCTGCAAACAATGTACATGTAAACTGAACTAAATGTGCATTTTCCAAATTATATAAATGAATTATATGAATCTTAATGAAAGAAAAACATAACAAAATAAAGATGAGGAAAGACAAACAAATGATAAGTAAAGATACAAAAAATAAAATAAATCAGGTGTGTACACAAATGAAACAAATAACAAAAGATGTGCTCCACAAAAGAAAAGAAAAATATTTAGTACAAAATAAACCAGAAAGAGATTAAAGAAAAATATGAGATATTCAAATTCAATTCATCCCTACCTCATTTCCAGAAAATCCCTCGACCAAGATAGCCACTAATAAGTTGAAGAGAACGTAATTGCCGAATGTCATGAGTGCAATAAAATAGAGGGCAGCCCAAGCAGATGTTTTCGCCATTCCATTATACAGCACTTCGTTCCAATCTTCTTGAGTCAAAATCTAAAATAAGAAACAAATTAAAAGTAAATCTATGAAATGCAAAAAGTACAACTGTATCTTTAAACTATTTTTATTCAATCAGCTATTTTGGAACATTTATTTTGACTGGGAGCTAAACAACAGAGTAAAGCTGGAACAATTCACAGACACGATGTTTTTGGAATTATGATAATTCACATAAATCAGTAGAAGAGCTGATATTTGCTAAAATGATGCTTCAAAGATTTTTCAATATATTCTTATTTAGGTTAGACACCATTAAATTAGACTACACTACACTACACTACAATAGAGAAATAATATTCCCAATACCAAGAATATACAGGGTGTTTCAGAAGTAGGGTAACTTTATATGGAAGTATATCTAGTTCAAGAATCTACCTGGAAGACTGTTAAGAAAGATCTTGTGAGGGTATCAAAGTTACTACGGAAACAGGTACACGGCATAGTTTCATTAAAGCTGTCCAGGTTGCCCATACATTTGCAACTAGCACCATCAGGAGTGGAGCAAAACTTTCCACCGAAAATATTCATGCCAAGGACACTAGAAAACATGCAGACAACAGCAAAATAATAAGGCCCCATGCATAAAGGCAGATACAACAATTCAATAATAAATAACGTCAGGAAAATATTCTTGTTTCTGGTTACCAGGCTTTCAAATTTTAGACCCATCCACAATCAAGGCATCATTGCTTTGTAAATGTTAATTTTTGTGTTAAACTTTTAAGAAATTTTCTGATATTCATCTGGCAACAAGAAACAGGATTATATTTTGAATCTCACATTGGTAATACATAGTTCAATCCATCTCTCTCTAAAATTTGAAAGAACTGCCTGGTTTAATGGGATTCCTATATAGTTGGTTGCTCATAGTGTCAAGTCTATGCAGTGCTGCCATGATTTTCTTTAATGTTAACCAAGACCAATGTGAGATTTTATCAAAAGAAAACCTACAGCTAAAGACCACATGCAGTATGCTAAAATAAAATGAAAAAGAAACAAACAGAAACATGAAACTGGGTGACACAGGAGAACAACTACAAAGGATTTCAGAAATGCAGAGTACTCCATCTGGACAAAATAGACAATATAGGTGTACCTATTCAACTATTTGGACCTATTCAAGGATCTAATATTCTTTGATCATTCATGCCACTAATTGTGTTCACTCCAAATTGATCATTGATCGAAAAGATCTATAAATTAAAGATATATCCTAATCTCTTTTGAGGCTTAATATGACAATCAAGTCATGTTTATTTCCCTCTGTTTCTCCACAAAATTTGGATGAAGCGCCTCATTTTCTGGCATTTCTATACAATTTATGGTGTTGTCAACAGGTTCCTTCATGCAATTTTTCATTAATTCTTGACGTTCCCCTTTTATTTTGAATACCAAAACATGACCACCTTGACATCTTTTCTCTAGATGTATCTCTAAATGATCGCAGTGTGATAAAATGATTCTGTTCCATAAACAAAGTCACTTTCATGTTACGAACAAAAATAATATTTCATTCTGCTTGATTTAACAATTCTGGTCGAGGAAAATTGCCATGGACATAACCAAATCTGCTTTTCTAATCAATTACTTTTGGGGAGAATTTGTTTTGTTATTGTATGATGGTCCATATTGACAAAGCCAATGGTAGTCTATCAAGTACCTTCCCCTACAGGAATGGGAGGACAACATATGGGTTTGTGCAGGACAAAGGCATTGGGTAAAGCTTTATGACACAATATAGAGCTTTTGAGAATGTACAATGAATACAATATAGCCCCAAAAGCCCAAAAGGGTGCTATAAAAATAAAGACAAATATTGTACACACATAAATGATACAACAAGACAAGATAAAATCATGCTCTGGCACATTCCTCGTTAATGTGATTATACAAAGTATATGAAGCATACATTCATGCAAAGCTAACCAACAACATGAAGCATTACTTCGATGAGACTATCCCAGCTTGTAAGGCATACCTGAAACACTGTCACTATCGCCCAAAGTAACGAGTCAAAATTTTTACGATTACACTTTCTTGTATCACTTCCTTTGTAGTTTTCGCAGAACTTGCACCCAAATAAATTCATTCCTAAAATGCTGCAATTGGGGATAAAACATATAGGTGAATATTAGTCTCAGATAGGGCAATTAATTAAATGTTTTATGCAAAAGATGAAGAGGCGTAACTGTGTAAGAGGCACAAAAGGCTAAATTCTACAAATGAAAGTTTGTAACATTAATTATGACAACACATACAATGAGAAATGAAATATGTATTTTTCTTATGGGAAATAGGTGTGAATGACAAACTAATACATCCTAAACAAGAAATGAATGAGTTTATCAAGACACCATATCAAGAACAGATTTTTTGGAGCATTCCTAAAATGTAAGAGACAATACTTGCTAATGAAACTGCTTACCCTGCGTGCAGAGTCTAGTTAAACTACACTGAAGACGAAGCTCTCTTTTAAGAAGTGAAGTCAAACAAATGCAAAGGGTAGAAACTGCTATACTGTACATATATTCAAATAGTCCATTCTGTTATGTCAGAGACAGAAAATGCAGGAAAACTACATCTCGTCCCCATTGTCAATTATGGTGAGATATATGTCCCTTGATGACCCATAATGTCCCATAATTCCCCATATTAGTAGACTTCTGACATCACAATACCATATCAAGACCTTTAATAGGATTACCTTTGGCCAATAGAGAGAAGGTAGAATGGCTGTTAACATTTACACAGAAAGTGGATGCCATAAAGGGACTCTGATGAAAGTTGAGGCTTAAAACATGACAAAATGTCACCACCTGGTTGTAGTTACAAAATAGTAACAAATGTTACAGATTCCAATTGCTCGTCACAAAAAACAATAGCTATCACAATGTGTGACCACCATGTCTTGGTCATCTTGATCCATCAAGGTATAAGATATGATATGAAGGAATACACTGGTTTGGTTGGTGACGTGAAAAACACCACAAAATACCAATTATTACCTTTCAAACAGGTTTGATATGAGTTCAAGAACGTGACTGCAATCAACAAAATATATATCTAAGGAAAGACTTTTTCTTGAGTTGATTCATGTGACTTAAATAAAAGTACACGCATGAAAAATTGAACTTCAAATAATTATAAGGAATGGGGAACCATGCCTCATTTGCAAATCTGATTAGTTCTCCATGTAATGAGCCTCAATGGTGAACTAAGGAAACTACTAGGCAGAAATGCAGTTTAATTACAGTTTTAGAGGATGGAACTGTCTGTGAATTGTCACATTCCATCATGGCAAAGATATATTCCAATTTTTTGTATTTAGTATAAATTATGCAACTCTGTAGATTGATGGATGGGTCAAATGCAATATTGGAACATAGTCCAGACCTATAATATATCAATGATGTTTTAAAGCAGTTTCATTGTGTAAAATATTCTGGAGTTTCTTATATATATGCTGGTATTTTGTGAATGGTATAAAATGTTTTGATAACACCTAAATGTATTTTCTGGTCAGATGTCATATAGAAATCATTTGAAACATACAGCTCATGTTTCAGTTTTCATATTTTTATATGGTTTATGGGTCTTATCTTAGAAGTTTTTTACCATTTATAATACACCTTTCATTTAATACCCCAGCCCATATTACCAATTTAATTAGACATGCGATGTTAAGTTTTGATCACACATTGCATTTTAAGGGCTCATTGTGTTTATAATGCTTTATTTCATTAAAAGCCACTTTACAGTAAAACAGAGCCACATCCTAAGTTTGGAGATTTATTAGAAGAACTGTCATATTGTTTTGATAGATTATGCAATCAAAGCTGATTGACAAGTTCATCAATGTTTGATTACTTTCTATTCTAGTATCCCCATGGCATTGTACTTGACCCGCTGATTGAAAAACCTAAGTACTCCTGCACTTTAAAAACATTCTATGGGTGTGATCATAACATTACATATAGTTGGATAAGAAACAATAGTTGCATAATGTGATGAACAGGCGAGGAGGAAAAAATGCAGCCGCCATTCCACACACAACACATTTCCCCCCCACGCATAATATGCTTCATTTCTCACAGGAAATTCATGACACGTCCATCTGCACATGCTCATTCCAGTTCCACTCCATTTTCTTCAAAATGATCAACTGCATGGTTTACTTCTTTTAACTTCAATCTATTCTGCTCTATTGTATTTTGCATTTTAAAATAGGACCACCATTGCATACACTTATGAGATATCTTTGTATCCCACATTCTTCAAATGGTTTCATACCTTAGTACACAGGCTGCATTCCAGGCCACAATTCATGTGTGCAACTCCCACAACCAGGCGCCATAGCAATTTCCTTATTTTGACATTTACAGTTCAAGAAAGATAGATTTCATACTTAAACACCAATAGTTTTATTTACGGTCAACTTTAAGGTGATCGGCTTTCCATTTAAAAGTGAAATTATATAATTTCAAAATATATTTTCCATAATGCTCTTGTATGGTTATTAGAGGTTATTGTTTAACTTTTAAATACAACACTGCCCTTTATATACTGTGAAGTATGTGTCGTCCAACCCTTCGAGGACAACACACTCTAACATTATATTATAGATCTTATTCTGAACATATGTAAATATGTTAGCATGGTTCTTCAATGCTTTTTGATTGAATTCAAAACAGTAAAGTAATCTCTCCTTGTCAGATAGAAGTATACTAGCTAACTGGCACAGAATGGATTTCCCCACACAACATGAAAGAGTTAGCTTTATCTGGAAAAGGTACTGCATTTTCAATCAAGTTGATTTGAATGAGGTTTATCATGTAAGAATTGACCTTGCAATAAGTAATGTGGAAATGAGAATATTGCATGTAATTTATTAGCTGTGTTATCAGATGCAGCTTTTGATGATGCTTTTATGATGTTTTCTCATTTTTTATGCACAGTTATTTCTATTGATGATTTACTGCATTGAAGGCCTGGAGTTTCTATGTTGTTTGTAGTAGTTGCTGTTGTTGTGTAATAATAGTAATACACATTCTGTTTAGTGTAGTAATACACATTCTATTAAGTGAAGTAATACACATTCTTAAAAGTGAAGCAATACACATTCTTAAAAGTGAAGCAATACACATTCTTTAAAGTGAAGCAATACACATTCTGTTAAGTGTAGTGATACACATTCTATAAGTGTAATAATACACATTCTGTTAAGTGAAGTAATACACATTCTTTGAAGTGAAGCAATACACATTCTATAAGTGTAATAATACACATTCTATTAAGTGTTATAATACACATTCTATTAAGTGTAGTAATACACATTCTTTTAAGTGAAGTAATACACATTCTTTTAAGTGAAGTAATACACATTCTATTAAGTGTAGCAATACACATTCTTAAAAGTGAAGCAATACACATTCTTTAAAGTGAAGCAATACACATTCTGTTAAGTGTAGTGATACACATTCTATAAGTGTAATAATACACATTCTGTTAAGTAAAGTAATACACATTCTTTGAAGTGAAGCAATACACATTCTATAAGTGTAATAATACACATGCTATTAAGTGTTGCAATACACATTCTACTAAGTGAAGTAATACACATTCTGTTAAGTGAAGTAATACACATTCTTTTAAGTGAAGTAATACACATGCTATTAAGTGTAGCAATTAGTGGTGTCAATTAACCGCTTGAGCATTAACCGGTTAACCGGGGTTTTTTACCGGTTAAAGTCGGTTAACCGGCGGGAAATTTGAACTGATAATTTCAAATGAAATCTTCATCTTCGATCTTGAAAGTTGAAAAAATTGGAAAAATGATATATCGGCGTTTATTTTTTACGTTCGTCAAGCTATACGATATTCTATGTAAGTAAGCGCGGGAAAGCAATGTGGCAGGGAATAAAGTTGCTGATTGGATGTTTGTAAGGAATTATCGGACCTATCACATGTATGAGTAGCTCACATGAAACTGACGCTTGAAAAACAAACAGATTAAAATGCAAAGTAAGCGCGGGAAAGCAATGTGGCAGGGATTAAAGTTGCTGATTGGATGTTTGTAAGGAGTTATGGGACTTATGACATGTATGAGTAGCTTACGTGAAACTGACACCATAAAACCAAACGGATTAGCATGCAAAATAAGCGCGGGAAATAACAGAATTATACACGGTCAACTAACCGCCCATAAAAACTCAGACCGGTCAAGGCATTATCGGCGGTTAACCGGTTAACCGGTTAATACTTGACACCTCTAGTAGCAATACACATTCTATTAAGTGAAGTAATACACATTCTGTTAAGTGAAGTAATACACATTCTATTAAGTGTAGCAATACACATTGATGTAATACGTTAAATATTATCTGGTTTTAACAGATCGCTAAAAATCAAAGCTAGAGAACTCGAAATAATAGAAAATAAGCTTAACAGTAAGAACCGGGAAATAGAAGAAATCACAGAACAAATTACGTCAAATAATGTGAAACTAGCAAAGGCCCAGGAAGAGATCAGTGATCTAAAGATACAATGTAAGGTTCTTGCTGATAATTCTGATTCCCAACCCTTCAAAACCATCCAAAGTAAGCCTAAACCAACAGAGGCGTTAATCAATCCTATCGAAAAGTCGAAGCCATCAGTAGCCCTTATCGGTTCTTCGATTTTGAGCTTGGTGAAAACAAGTCGTATGCATGACATGGACGCCTATTTAGAACATGCATACACCATACCACAAGCCAGAAAATCACTGGAAAGTTTAAACACGCCAGATGTTGTAGTATACCAGGTTATCAGCAATGATATTAAAGATAGTCAAAAAACGGACACTGACATAATCGATGAGATGCATACTCTGGTAAATGAGACTAAGAGGAAACTTGGGAATACGAAGATCGTTTTATCTTTACCACCACCAAGAAGCGACAATGAATTATGGAACATAAGATCAGCATCCATATCAGCCCAGCTACAAGCTAAATATCATGATGATCGACAGGTTACCTGCTCTCTAAACAGCAACCTTGGAAGAAATGGAACCCCAAACACATCTTTATACAGAGACGGAGTTCACCCAAACGAAAGGGGTACATCAGTTCTATGTAAAAACATCCTTGATTGCATCAGGAAACTATGTAACATCACTCCCCCACAAAGGTTTGGTCCTAAGAGACCATTTCAAGGCCAGAGAAAGTGGTTTGATAGATGGTGAAACTAACCATCTAAACACATCATTTGTCAATTACTGAAAAGTACATGTAGTGTTGGGTATAAAATACCATTTATATTAAGTTTTAGTACAAGTACATAACGATAATATAGTATAAAATGTTTTAGAGCATTGTGTTAAATACGTGTTGTATTGTAAATAGCACATATCAGTTTAAATATTATATGGTGAACTTTATACATAATTGTTATAACTCATTAAATATCACTAAATCGTTGACAGACTTTGTAAAACACGTTGTAGCATGAATAATGGATCACACTTATCTGTTGCATGTTGGAATGTACAAGGAATTAAAAACAATATGTTCAATAAGCTTGAAAACGCTGATTTTACGAAAGAAATCAAAAAGCATCACATTATAGGTATGACTGAAACACATGGTGATAAGGGCAGTTCGTTTTCCCTAGAAGGGTATACATCATTTTGTTCAAACCGTTCAAAAACCGGCAATAAAAGACATGGTGGTGTTGCAGTATTTATACAAAAGCATTTAACTCCTGGAATTCAGATAATTCAATCAACAACGCCCGATTTAATGTGGGTTAAAATGAAAAGGATTTTCTTCGGTTTGAGCAATGATATCTACCTGGGATTTAATTACATATCCCCATCAAATTATGTTAAAAAGACCATGGATACGGTTGACCCATTTGACACACTTTTAGCTGAATTATCAAAAGTATCAGGTCTTGGGGACATAATAATGATGGGAGATTTCAATGCAAGAACCGGTGTTCTAAATGATTATATTGAATGTGATGGAGATAGTACAATTCCACTTTATGATGATTACATAATTGACTCAGTACCAACTTCACGTTTGAACAAAGATTCAAAAGTGAACGAAAGTGGCTACAAATTGCTTGATATATGCAAATCTACAAACATGAGAATATTGAACGGTCGTATTTTTGGCGACACATTTGGTTCTTTCACATGCCATAAATACAATGGTAGTAGTACTGTTGACTATTGCCTTGCAAAACAGTCAATCATGAATAGAATAAGATTATTTAAGGTTCATGATAGTTTAAGCTCTTTATCAGATCATTGCATGATTTCCATGTTACTTAAAGTAGAAAATTGTTATAAGAATCCTATCTGCACCAAAAAAAATCATGTAAGTTCGAAGGCGAATTCATTCAAATGGGATAACTTATCCCCATCTGTCTTTCGTGAAACTCTTCAAACAGCGCCGATCGCAGCTAAATTAAAGTCATTGGATGGGCTTATTGAGCACTGTTCACAAAACAGGGTAAATGAAAGTATGAATAAATTGAATGATTTACTTATTACAACAGCGACATTATCTCTAAAGAAGAGAAAAAAATCACGACCTAATAAAAGGAATAACAAAGCATGGTTTAACGTTTCTTGTTCCGTTCTGAATAAGCGCGTTAGACGATTGGGTTTGCAACTGGTGAAATCACCGAACAACGAACAAGCTCGAAAATTCTATTTCCATGTACTCAAACAATATAGAAAATTATGTAAGTCAAGCAATAAACGATTCAAAAACAGTCTAATATTGAAACTTGAAGACTTTGAAGAAAATAACCCCTCTGAATATTGGAAGCTTCTCAGTAGCCTCAGAAAAGACAGCAATTCATTTAACTCCTCTAATGATATAGAGGCATCTGAATGGAAAAATCATTTTTCTAAATTATTTTCAAATAACAGTAATGATGACAACGATATTTTAAATAGATTGAAAAAACTAGAAAACGAGCCTAATTTTGACGAACTTAGTTACAAGATAACATATGAAGAGATCAATATGGTAGTAAACCAACTGAAAAATAAAAAAGCTGCGGGTAAAAGTGGAATATCTAATGAATGGGTAAAGGCAGGAAGGCAAATTTTAATTCCTCGCATTTGCAAGATATTCAATGAAATATTATGTAATAACCAATACCCAGTATCGTGGAATGAATCCTATATTGTACCAATTTACAAGAAAAATGACCCTCGAATACCAGGTAACTATCGTGGCATATTTATTTCGGAATGCTTATCGAAAATCTTCTCCAATGTGCTATATAATCGCCTTTATGCTTTTGTCAAATCAAATAATATTATTTCACAAAACCAGGCAGGTTTTATGAAGAAAGCAAGAACGACCGACCATATATTTATAATTCGGTCTCTTATTGACAAACATGTTCATCAAAATAAAAGTAATTTTTATGCCTGCTTTGTGGACCTAAAGAAGGCATTTGATTCGATATGGCACACAGGCCTTATGTATAAGTTACAAAAGTCAGGAATTAAAGGGCACTTCTACAAAATCATTAAAACCATGTATGAAAATGCCACGGCGTGTGTAAAACTTAATCATTCAACTTATACGGAATCGTTTTCATGTGATAGGGGTGTAAAACAAGGAGACTCGCTCAGTCCATTATTATTTAACATATATATAAATGATATTATAAAAAAGTTTGATAATGTTGGGAAATCTCCGTTCCTTGAAACTCAACATGTTAGCAGTTTGCTATTTGCAGACGATCTAGTCATATTTGATACTAGTAAAAAAGGAATGCAGCTAAAACTGAACACTCTTGAATCCTTCTGTGATGACTGGAAACTTGAAATTAACATTGACAAAACAAAAATTATGAAATTCTGGAAATGTGGCAAAGTTTGTCAAGAACGATTTCAAATAAATGGTAAGAATATACAAAATGTTCAAAGGTATACATATTTGGGAATTGTCTTAAGTGCTTCGGGATCTTTTAAACCTGCCCAACAAAACATAAAAGAAAAAACAAATAAAGCCATGTTTAAACTTTATCAATTGACAAGCGGCACAGAGATGAAGTCTTCACTGAAAATGAAATTGTATGATCAACTTATCAAACCCGTCGCTTTATACGGTTCGGAAATATGGTGTAATGATTTATATACCAAGCGTGACTGCCAAACTAATCGAGATATTGAACAGAAATACGAAAGTGCTTTAATTGAAAACAATCATATTCGGTTCCAAAAATATGTTCTCGGGGTCCATAGAAAAGCCACAAACATGGCAGTAAGAGGAGAATTGGGAAGAATACCTTTAGTAGTTGATATTATAAAAAGACAAATCAAATACCTCGGTCATTTAGAGTTGAGTTCAAATGGGAGTTTACTAAACGATTCATTAATTATGAGTAAAACATTTGATTTAACAAATAACACATTTACATGGCACAAACAACTCAAAAATATACTGTGCCATATTAAAATAAAAATGTCTGATGAATTGAATCTTGAAGATAGGGTAAACATAGAGATGAGCACAAATAGGCTTGCTATTAAAGTCAAAAAGAAACTAATAGAGAGATATCAAGTATATTGGAAGAATCTGATAAGTGGGAATGGGGGGAAACTTAGATTATTTAAACAACTAAAATCGCACTTTGGATTTGAACACTACCTTTCAGAAACGACACTTTCAAATGCTAAACATTTAACTAGATTACGTATAAGCGCCCACAATCTAGAGATAGAGAGAGGCCGATATACAAAACCAATTACTGATCTTAATAGTCGATTTTGTAAAATATGCAAGGACTCGGTTATAGAAGATGAAACACACTTTTTATTCAAATGTAAAAAATTGGAGTTTATCAGAAAATCCCATATTGAAAAACTTGAAAACCTGTGTCGTAATTTTAAAAACATGAATGACCACCAAAAGACAATTTTTCTATTGACGAGTGAGGGGATCATATTAAAAGAATCTGCTGACATGATAAAGTATCTAATGATGGGTAGAGACAGGATTCTTATATCAAAGTAACATTTTATATGTCATTTGAAGAATGTAATCCTATTTTCTTTACTTTATTGCCTATATTTACTGTTATTGAAAATTGTATATTGGATGTACGTTTGGCCCTAAAAGGGCATCAGTACTAATAAATCCTATTATAATTAATTAATACACATGCTATTAAGTGTAGCAATACACATTCTATTAAGTGAAGTAATACACATTCTTTTAAGTGAAGTAATACACATTCTATTAAGTGTAGCAATACACATGCTATTAAGTGTAGCAATACACACTCTATCAAGTGAAGTAATACACATTCTTTCAAGTGAAGTAATACACATTCTATTTAGTGAAATAAAACATAGTCTATTAAACATCTGCAAAGGAATGGTATTGTTTCGTATATAAACTGAACAAAGAAATTGATTTCCAATGTCATTGTGACTTTCTTAAAGTGCAACAAAGTTCAGAGGGATGAGAAAGTGTAGAATCAGATGTTACAATGTTTACATTCTGTAGTTTGTCTAGTTAATAAATAGCTTTTCATTCCTGCGCTTGCTTGCAGTGTATTCTTCTCGCAATCGTGGTGGTAACATTTGTTTAAACCATTATCCAACTCTAAATATAGTGGTTAATCTTAATTGTTGCCCGATCTAATCATTACCAACAAAACATGGTACCATTGCTCAGAATTAATGGATTCATTTTCTGAAATAACTTCACCTAAAAATAACAAGCATCGGATACTTTGATAGATTTTGGCGTCTTATTGACATCAACTAAAGTCAATTAGAGATCGCAACAAGTGAAATCTCAGAACAGAATCATATTTCTATTCTAGCACTCTTAAGAAACATTTCAGATTCTGGGTATGACAAAATTACAATTCTGATTTCATTTTTGATTAACTATTTAACCACAGGCCCATACATTGAAGGTTTACTCCATTGATTCGCTGTGACTTTGTCGAAGGGTACAACTCTCATTGATTTTTCACGAAGGCTTAAGATTTACTTTTTGGAGATTCTTCCAACAAACATTGGCTTTGATGCTGTAGTGCTTGTTGTAGTGAGTTTAAATAATACCAAGGCGCAACAGATGGTTTGTTTAGGTATAGGAATAGTGAATGAAGTTTTAGATTTTACAGGTAACCATGTGTTTATTACAAACTGAACTGCTGGCTTTATATCTGATGGTTAGGGCCTAGGGTGAGGTATTTGAAATAATTTGGGCAAGACCTCAGAGAATTTGCCAAAGGCATGCTTAAATTTTAAAAATTCATAAGTTAATTGTTCTTGAATTATGACCTCATGATTTCACAGATTTAAGCAATTTGAGTGGTTGAGCATATTTGGTCATGGTTGAATGAGTGGTAATTCTCTTTGCCCTTTTCTTCAATGTTTGTTCATCAGATTGAAGCATTTTCAAGTATTTTTCAGAATTCACCACATGAAAGATGTCTGATAAAACACAACAATATAGACTTATGCATAAGAAAGAAAAGATAGATTGCCATAACTTATCTAATACAATGGAATCTGCAAAATAAATGTGTTTTTCTAAGCTCTAGATAATAATCTGGCATCCACGCTTCATTATGTAAAACAGGATGAACTTGAAATTCCTCTCGATTTATTCTATTTTTAGCAGGTCTATTTTAAACGTAAGAGGCAGATCCAATCATTGGTACAGAAACCAAGCTGACCTGCCAATGATCTCTCCTCAAGATTCAAACGATAATGAATAAAATGTGATGTCATACGAGAACCTAAGTCGTACCTATGCATTATATTCCTCATAATGAATAAAGGAAAAATCATTAATTTCTATATCGAGATGCAGTATTCTTACAGTAATTCATAATTCAGCTTAAATGTGTGATCTATCAATCATCAATTTTAAAGCATAAATAAACCCCATCCAAACTTCAAGATCTCTGCATAGGGGACAAATTGAATATCAAACCAGATTCAATTAAATGGTATTTATGTCATTGGTAAATAGAAATAAAACATGGGAATAAGAAGCCATATAAGCAAAAGGTCACAGAAAGGTCATGTTGTAAGTAGTAGAAAAAGAGTCAATTTGTAAAGCAATGCTGTTGATGCGAGAGTAATGTTCCCAAGTATATGTGAACTAATAAAAATCCTGGGATTCAATGTATAGTGAACCATAATCAATTAGATCTATTATGTACATCAGTGCAGTTTATCTAAAAGCACCAGAATATTCATTCATAATAATTCAATATATAGAACAAGCCATGGCCAGGTAAACTTGTAGTTCTCTATCTGGAAAAGGAATCATTCATAACAATAATACTGTATTCTGCAATAGTGCAATTAATAGTTTGATAGATCTTAATAGAAGCATCCTAAAGTTGAAGAATATAGAAGAATATGATAGTACAGTGTCCTAAAACTGCAACCCTACACTCTGCATATTTTGGAATAATTTTCTCAATTAAACTGTAATCTTCTCAAAAATGAAAGTTTAGAAATCTGTCAATATTTGCCAAATCAGCAATTCAATTGACAGAATTATTCCAGAAGATGGCCACATAAATTACTACATAATATTTCTTGTCATATGACAATGGATTGACCAATCCTGAGTTATGTGACACTACAACATACATGTAATGGATTTAAATAACAATCGATGAATGGTTTGTAATAAGTCTGAAATACAAAAGAAATCATAACATTTTTATCAATACTGATTAATAATCATATTTAAACTGGTATTTTATCATTAAAAATGCTTTATCCATTTTTTTAACATATGATAGATATTCTTTTCTTCTCAATATGTAAATCTTATCATGTTAATTCTCTTCTATTTCTCTCGAAATTTAAATGAATCCAATTATTGTCTAGTTTGGCATTTCTATGGAACTTGAAGTGTCCACCCCAACTCCACTCTTTTATATTCTATTTTGAATTTCAAATCAATTCTCCTGAATAACTTTCCTTACCTGAATATGAACATAAAGAGCACCAATAGAGCAAAGAACGTTGCAACATTGTCCATAGTACGTAACATCACCAGTAACTGGTATCGTAACGCTGGCATGAAACGGACAAGTTTCAGGATTCTTAACAATCGGAATGTTCTTAATACAGATAGGCCGCCTCCTCCCTGGACCAGCTCCACAATGCTGGAGAGAAAAGCCACATTGATTCATTAAATACAGTAAAACATGTCTAATTAAAACATCAAAAGTGTTCAGATAAGCAGGTGTTCATATTTCAAAGTTTCTTAATATGGGAGATAGCACATTGGGACTGTCAAACATTGTTCACATTGGGACTGTCAAACATTGTTCACATTGGGACTGTCAAACATTGTTCACAATGGGACTGTCAAACATTGTTCACATTGGGACTGTCAAACATTGTTCACATTGGGACTGTCAAACATTGTTCACATTGAGAGGTGTTTGATTTGGAGAGGTGTTTGAATATGCATGTTTCATTTATTGAAATTTTTTTAAATCCATGGTCGATAAATTTTAATTTCCACATTGTAATAATATTGCAAAACCAGAGGTAACACAAAGAATGAATTTTCCCAAATTGCAGTCCCATGCATGCGTTTTTGATATTTTTGGTGTTTTTATCAAGCTTGCAAAGAACTTACTCTTACCTGAGTATTACAATAATTGCATCAAACAGATTGAATCCATTGCTGACATAGCCAAAGAGACCCTCAGCAACCAGCTTCATCAACATCTCCAAGCAGAAAAGACCACTGAAGAAGTAGTTACTGTACTCAAGGACCTTGGTCAGGGTCTCAGGCTGGAATGCATTGAAAAATAACAATTGTTTATGATTTTGTGAATTCATTCTGTGGGCGTTCAAATGTAAATCATAAACAATTTCTTTTTCTCTGAACAAAACAAGTTTCCTCATGAAGCTAAGCACCATGCATGTGGTTTGAAATGTCTAAACACAATTAATTTTGCTCAGAAAAAAGAAATTGTTTCGGATTTAAATTATTATTTTAGTTCATGTAAGTATGAAGAATAATTGAAACGATAAAGTAATGATAACATGTGTTTTAACGAATGGATATGTAAATGACACACACGATAAGAAAACAACAACAATTCATCTCCATATGTCTCTCTTAATAAGGCATAATCTTTTGATTTTAGAGCTACATGTATATACGTGATTGGTAAAGCTATGTACATCTATGAGCTTCTTATTACACAATCTACACTACACTTTACTACAGTAGTATGTCCATGTATCATTTGTATTGAGTATGACTGTACATCTCAAAAAGAAAACTACATCTACACATTTTCAACAAGAGACAATTCTTTCATCTTGCCTTTAAAATCAGAAGCCGTAGAATATGTGTCCCACAAAAACCAGCCCCACATCTGATTGGTTAATCACAACAATGATGTCATATGCCTTTTTATACCTGACATTCATTTCATTTTTGAACTCTAATAAGATGCCAGTGACATCAGATTTTGCCAAAGCAAAATCTTCAGAGTGTAGAATTTTGATCCTAACCCGTCAAGCTCAGGGTATTTAATGTGCCTTTATGATCATTTATATATTTCAGTCTTTGGCTCTTTTTTACTTAATTGCACATTTCAAAGGATGACTTTCATACATGTTGACTTGAATAGGAGAGCAGTATGATCATGAAAATCATAATAACCAGTGGGCTGATAACAATATACCTTTATCTTCACGGAACAATTTTACGATGACCATGAACGTCTTACTTCCTCAGCAAGGAAATCTGACCACAACAATAATTACAATACATCCTTAGCAGGAAGTTATCGATCATTCAGAAATGAGATTTTCACACATCTTAAGAACTCTATATGTTATTACAGAAGAGTCGGTCATTCACATTTCAAAGTCTTAAAAAATCGTAAGAAGATAGCACCAAAGAAGTTTTGTGAATCAATAACGAAGATGACAGAGGCTTGTAGAGAGAAGGTCAATATATTGATGATGCCCACACATATAATCAATTATATTTTGCGATTGGAGTAAAGGTCAATTATATTGTTTTTAAAAAATCATTAAACGTACAATTAAGTTATTGAGAGGAAAGGGTCTAGTTATTGACAGTCACAGGTTAATTTGGCGCCCGCTTAAATTTGGAGAAGGAATAGGTGTAACAATTTGTATTTTGTTCGAGTGTATACTATGTATATTGTGGCATCATACCAATGTCCATGTCCCTAGTGCCCGCCAAATCAAAAAGCCACCAATATGCCAAAAATGGCAAAATCACCAAATTAACCCTATCTAAAGTATACAATTATAATGTTCAGTTCATTTGCATTGTCAAAAGTAGAGCTTTATTTGAAAAATATTTAATAATATCCTATACAACAAATTAACTTAAATCTAAAACAATTCTTCATAATATAATAAAAATCAATTCATTTGCTAGTGCTAAGCTATAGAATTTAATGTGAAATGTCTGTTTATTGTCAACATAATCCTATTTGACGTTCAAGATCCCAATTGATATGACACTGTCTGAACATGAATCTTCAGACTTTCTTTGATCAAAATGTCCGTCTGCTCACGATTATTATTTCTTGTAATTTTTCTATAAAATTTGAATGAACTCCATGAATTTCTGAGATTTCTACAATTTAGAGTGTGGACTTCATGTCAGTTTAAAGTATTTCTTGCACTTTGCCTCAATTTCCATTCTAAAGTATACTTTTAAAAATGATTTTTTTTTTCTGGCGGACTGGTATCTGCGGTCAAAATGACATTTAATAGACAGCTATTTATGCAAACTTGCCAACAAATCTTACAGAGGGAAATCTTATTAAGAAGCTGACACCATTCAAAGAATGTTTTATCATTTCAAGTTAGTTCTTGAAATTATCAAAACAACATAAATATTAGATGAAGAACTGGTATATCTATCACCACATTTCTGAATTTTGGAAATAATTTAAGATTTGATAAAAAAATTGAATCTTCATGACATAGTGACATACATGGAATAATAGGAAAATTTTACAAATCTAAGAAATCATTATTTTCCATGGTTATCAAGATGAGCCTGATTGCATTCTAAAGTACAATTTTTGTAAATTACGGGTATTGTGACAAAACATTTATCAATTCTAATACATTTAGTGACATTTAATCATCTTAAGAATTGAGTAACAGCCAACAGCATGGAAGCAGACAATTTGAAAATCATACAACCCAATAATATATATATATCTTTTATTGATTTCTCTCAGTCCCTTTGCTAAAACATATTGCAAGTTGCCAAACAGAAACGTGAGTATAAGTATGTCAATGCAAAAGCAAACAACAGATTAGACCTTTAATTTATTCAAGTCTGCATTCTTGTACATTAGATGCATTATTTGTATTTTTTATATTGTATACTTTTTGAGGTATTCTTCTGGCTTCTTGTTAACCTCCTGTTTATACAAGGACACACAAAAATAACAAAACGCTCCTATCAATTCTGAAAATACCTCACTCCCTAGCTAATCTCAAGTCCATTGATGTTTTTTATCGATCGATCGTGAACAGAATGATGAAGATAGCGGATTACCTTGACCTTGACCTTGATATGTTTATAGCTCTGCAGGATCTTGAATGAATAAAACATAGATGGAAACCTGTTTTTTAACAAATTTAGGTTCTATGTTTTTTTACATTTCAAGATCCATGTTAGAAATTTACCATGCATTTCACGACTGATTCACATTCAAAGCGCCCTCTATATGTTTAATATTAAAGTAGTTATGCGATGAGAGAAGAATTGGAGCTAAATAGAGAGGAATTAGACAGGCTCTGAATTTTAGGGTGATTCAAGAAACGTAACTTCTTTAATAATTTAGAGACATATTGAAGAGATCCTGGAAGAGTTATTTTAAACATGGTAGAGCATTGAACTTAATGAAAGGGTGTGAGTTCAAATCACACTGGGTTAAATGACTTTTTCATCGCAGAACTTAGCACGGGATTCACTCAGTATATAATTGCTAGTAGTTATATAACAGCTCCAGCGAAATTAGAAAAATAAATTGAGTATGTGTATTCTGAATCATCAATCGTAATTCAATCCACTTAAAACAGATATTTTGTCTGAATTTCAACATTATTCATAATGTACCTTGTTAGTGAGTGAGAACTCTCATGATCAACATATACTGCGTAAAATAGAAATTCAACTCAATCTAAAATTCTAATTATCAGATAGGTCAAAGAATGTTGTACCAAAGAATCAAATAATAGCCCAGGCATAAAGAATTGATTAACACTGTTCCAATATACTGTATTAATCCCCCAGATTAATCCTTATCCTTAAGTTTTGGAGATATTGTCATTTGACTGCTTTGCATGGGTCCTTGAAGCAATACGTTATTTGCAGTATACAGTATATGAACCTTTAAGATCCCCCTGATGCAAATGGTGATCTAATATAAGTGGTTCACACATGGGGCCTTAATGTCAGTTATATCATACAATACACCTTAACACAAATCACAATTCATGACACTGAATTGAGGAATGACCTGCTAGACCCATACATACCTGATTGTGGTACTCTATTCCCATGCTAAGGGTGTTGATCAAAATGGCTATCAGGATACCACGTTGGAAAAATCTGTGATCGACACAAATTTTGATTTTGTCTTGAAATATACTCCAGCACCCTACAAATATAGAATAGAGTAATTAAAGAGAGAATCAGATCTAACGAGCAGCCTCACAAATTTTTTTAGAATATTTCTGGCTTATTTCATTCCTTTTCATGTCTATTTTCTAAAAATCCCAAAAGTGTACACTTTATTTCAGGAAAACTAAAGATTTTTACAATAATGTATCATTTTTCTATAATTATTTGGGAGCATTTAAACATTTTTCACTGATTTTTGCACTTTGAATCCATTTTAACTTCACCAATTTATAACATATCATGAATCTTTTGGGAGATATTGTATTTGAGATTGGAAGGAATAGATTGGTAGGTCAAGTGTACATGTTGCTTGTAATTTTGTCACCCCCATAGATCTGATTCTGCCTTTAATAACTTAAAAAAAGAGTTACATGTATAAGATTCATTTAAACTGGACATACACTGTAGATTGAGACATTTTCAAGAAAAGCCAGAAAGAACCTAAGGAGTTAACTGTGAAAGTATACAAAAAAGGAACTTTGTAAAAAGCTATTTTCTCCAGATGTGCTTAACTTGACTGCCCTCAGCTTTCATATTAAAGGGCCATGGGTATTTACAATTGGCTGACCTTGGTCCTGATTATAACTAATACAGGTAACATCGAAGTAACTAAATTTCCAAGACCAAATGAAGATATTTACTTAATATAGCGTCTGATTTCATAACTACGATATAAAAATGTGCACTTAATCTGCTCGGTTGAACATTCTTTGCATAGTTTTGTCTTAAATTTATACGCAAAATCGTATTTTGAGATAAAAGTGATTCCAGACTTTTAGATTGATGTAATCATAGCGGGAAGTTTGCAACCTATGAGAAAAACATCCTTCTGCTCTTCCTAATTTCTCCACATTTCTCTCTAAAATTTGGAAGAAGTGCAACATTTAACTGAATTTCTGTATAATTTAGAGTTGCAACTGATTACTTGTTTTCTTTATTTCTTGGTATTTCCTCTCTATTTACGTGAATTTTGCATTTTAAAACCTCAGATGGTGAGATTTAACACATAGGATAACCACTTGGAAATCATGTTTTCGTTTAACATCAATCAATCTGTTATCAGGCAAAAAATCAGATCAGCATTTTTTATGAAATGAAAATTCATTTTTAATCCTATAATGACAGAAAAATCATAGAACTTTGTGAAATCATTACAAGAATTTATTGAACATTCCTGATTAGAGTAGAAATAAAAAGATAATCTATAACAGATTTATGAGGAATCAAGTGTGAATCTGACCATTAAAATGATAAAATGCACCAAAATCAAACATTTTCTTCAAGATTACATCAAAGTCCATTTCCTTAAATTAATTTTATAACTACTGGGCTCTTCTTAATTAAATACATTGTGATACAATTTCTCTTCAATTTCAATGAACTACTGGGATTTTCATTTTTCAATAAACTGTTCACTCTCCATTCAATTTTGCATATGAGCAATGACCCCTCAAATGTTTTTCATGGCTACCCTTTTTAATATTTTAACTACAATATATAGGTATATATACATATAAATGTTAATGTTAATGTATATGTAGTGTAGTGTAGTGTAGCTGGCCTATGAGGATTCATGGTAATCTTCAGCGAATCTGGTTGATTGATCCTGTTTGATAAAACTGTCAAGCCACACAGGCAGTTCAAATTAATCCAGTGAATATCTTATACAAGTAGATCTAAGCTCATATCCCTTATATGTGCTTGAATACTGCATTCCTGTATTACATTCATATAATAATCTTATGTTTCAAATGTATCTCCATGTTGTGCTCTGTTGCTGTGACATCATCAAATGACTGACAATATTTCCATTTATTGGTTCTTGTCCCATCCTCACCTTGTCACGTAACGGTGGCAACTGCACGTAACATTTTAACTGGTCTATGAGAGTGTAACAGGGACATATATATTCCATAGGTACATGAGCACCAGAAATCTGCCCATTTATTTCAGCAATATGGCACAGATTCAAAACCCTCTGAATATTTCAGTTAATTTTATGATCGGGATGCTAATAAAATAAGTGATTTTGAATGTGAAATGAATACTAATAATAATAAGCGGAAAATGTAGTGTTATGATCGTTTGACAAAATTTGATTGAATATAGGTGTGATCCATTAATTATCTCTAATTCAATGAGTGTAGGAAAGGTCAAAGTCTTGCAAAAGTCAATTAAAGAACGTCCATCTCTAGGATTGGGACACTGGTATTATAAATGGTTCTGATTGGTTAACATTAATGGGTTGTTAGGTGGGAGATGTTAGGTCAGGTCCAATGAACCGGAATCATGTCATATTCTATCCTGTCCCTGGTCAGAAAACAAAATAATTAAGTTGCTCTTCTTATATTTGAATATTTTTTTAATACTTTCAGTATGTGTTCATATTTGTTATTATCCCATCGAACGAAGTTCGGAGGGATATAGGGAACGCCTCCGTCCGTCCGCCTGTACGTACATCCGTCCGTACGTACATCCGTCCGTCCGTCCGTCCGTCCGTCCGTTCGTCTGTCCGTCCGGGCGATAACTCAAATACCGTTGGCCCGATTTTGTTCATATTTTGTACACATATACCCTATGGGGGTAGAAGTTCTGCTCGAAAGCCGATTTTCAAAGTGGCCACTCAATTTAAAATGGCGGCCATTTTAGTGCCGATTTTACAGTAATTTAGGTGCAATATGTAAAACTGTAATAGCAATATGTTTTAAATGTAAAAAAATTATGAAGGACATTAGTAAAGCTATAAATGTAGACATTAAAGAAGCACATGGCAGCCATCTTGAAAAATGGCGGCCTTTATTCGTTATTTTACGATTTTTGCTATAACTCGAAAAGTAGTGGAGCGATTTTGTTCATATTTGGTATGTGAATACTATAAGCATTGCACACTGCCTAAAGACACTTTTGGTAGAAGGCGGCCATTTTTCAAAATGGCCACCATTTTAACGGTTATTACTATAACTCGAAAAGTAGTGGAGCGATTTTGTTCATATTTGGTATGTGAATACTATAAGCATGGCACACCGTCTTATGACACTTTTGGTAGAATGCGGCCATTTTGAAAAAAAATTTGAAAAATGGCCGCCATTTTAACGTATTTTACTATAACTCGAAAAGTAGTGAAGCGATTTTGTTCATATTTGGTATGTTTCATATTTCATATGTGAATACTATAAGCATGGCACACTGTCTAATGACACTTTGGGTAGTAGGTGGCCATTTTGATAAAAATGGTCACCATTTTTATGTTTTTTACTATAACTCGAAAAGTAGTGAAGCGATTTGGTCATATTTGATATGTGAATACTCATGAGCCTTGCACACTGTCTCATGACACTTCAGATAGTAGGCAGCCATTTTATAAAAATGGCTGTTATTTTTACATTTTTTACTATAACTCGAAAAGTAGTGGAGCAATTTTGTTCATATTTGATATGTGAATACTTTAAGCATGGCACATTGTCTAATAAAACTTTGGGGAGTAGTCAGTCATTTTGAAAAATGGCCACCATTTTTATGTGTGTTATTTTACAAGTACATGTATGCGATTTTTAAAGATTTTATAGGTGGCTACTTAAAAGCATATTATTTCTTCTGATGACAACTTGGCTAGTGAGCAACCATTTTGAAAATGGTGGCCTTTCTGGTGTGTTGTTTTATGATGTTTGCTATATATTTCGTTTGTAAAAATGCCAGCCATTTCTGTTCGATGGGATTCGCTACGCTTTGGCGTTGCCGTTGTTCTGGTTTGAATGGGTGACACTTCTAACAAGTGAATATTCCCAATAGAACAAACATTCATATCAAGCAGTTGAGAATAGATGCAAAAAGAAATATAATAGTGTACCATGTGAAATTTCGAATAAACAGTTAGATATAAATAAACAATAATATATTGAAAAATATCTCTTTTATTTTCTACCTACCAGGGGGACGTTTTGGAATCTCAACCTCTTCTGATTTCCACTTGACGACATCATCGTCTGAATCTGACCAATCATATTCTGAGTGTGAGCAATGGCTGTGGTGGGAGTCATAGTCTGCAGTAGTGCACGCGAGCGAGGGTGTGGGGACCCGGCACTCTGTACCAATCCCGCCACCACCTAAAATATCCATATAAAGGTGTTCAGTAATAACACCTCCTGAAACAGAAAAACAAGATGGCGGGTGCGGAAATGATCGTCATGACAACAAAATAAAATGGCTACAAACAAGGGTACTGTGCTAGACAATCACTGATCAAAAGAATACTACTACAGAATATCACAATGGTTAAAATGAATCTAAGGTCTTATATAATATAAGTGCTCTATGTTTTGTATGATAGCTAGTGAATGAATCAATCTGCATTTCTAGATTAATTACAGGGTGTCCAGAAAGTCTGTCACTTCTGATGCTGAATTATAATTATGAATGATAATTATATAATGAACCCAAAATACTGATGTTTATGCCAAATTGTAGAATAAGAGCCCCTAATTTGATAAATATAATCATTATTTCACTTAATTTTAATACTTATATCTTAAAGAATTAAACCATTTAGTGGAAATATCCAGCATATTCTACAAATTAGATACCAAATCTTTTTGGACATCCAGTACATGCCTGTCTTATGAAAAGATTGAATCATGCAAGATATTCAGATTAGTTTAACACTGTAGAATTATATTGATGAATTAGTTGATACAATGCACACGAAGCTCTACCTAAAATGTTGTTTGGCCCATTCTTAAAATGAGTGGAAATAGGAGTGAAAAAATAAGGAATCAGGAGTCAATACTCTGAATTGCATAGAAAGAACAAAAAATCATGCAAATTTTAGGAAAATGTAGTGAAATAAGCATCGATGACAAGAATCAGATAGCATTATCTTTGTGAATTGTGAGAATGAGCGTACTAAGTGCTACAAGGAAATATATTGTTATTTTTAATCTAAGAAGAAAAATTATGATTATGATTGTAATAATATTAGAATATTAGAAAAAATGTGAGATATTAAACTGTGAATTTGTTTTTCATCATCTCTTGTGAGTTTTGGAATTTTTCGTTTAGAAAATAAGACCAAAATTCACGATTCAAATGTTGAAATGAACAAAATGGGAGCTGTTTGAAAATTTTGAATCACATCTCCATATATGGGACAGAATATCGATGTTGCACTCTGGGAGCCAATCCTCCTTCAAGTGACATTGTGAAAAATGGTTGAATCTTGATCTTTGAATCATATTGTGATATTTTTAGAAAATGTACCTGAATGATAATGAATGATGCATGATTGTGCTTGTAAGTAACCAAACATGCAATGTCTCACTAACCACAATATACCACATATGCATGTAAATTAGACCAATGGTATTGATGAATAGCATTAAAGCATTAATTAGTGTGAAACATTTTTAGTGAATTTGCATTATTATAGATTAAGTTAAATATTTTCTATGTTTCAATATTGGCCACATGCTATATCAGCTTTCTTTATCAGAGAACTTGAGAATGTTATTTGTCTGCTGACACTCATGCATTATGGGTAAAATATGTATGCATAATGGGATACCATCACTTACCTGTGTCTATAGGGGGGTGTAATTTGTTGACATCATATTCAGGCACCATTGTCTTACTTGCCACTAGGGCAGCATTACGGGCAGCAATAACCTCAGGTGGAATTGGGGATTTTTTCCCATTGCCGTTATTAAAACTAGAAGTTCGACTGATTGACACTGTAGTCACTACATGATTGGGTGATTTTAATTTTGGGTCAACGTTTATATTATCCGGGTTAAGGGTGTTATCCGAGGCAGTGTATAATATGGTGGGTATCGCATCTGGGGATGGATTAGCCTTACCCTCAGGTAGCCCCAGATGATTAGGGCGCCTAGGGGAGGACAGGGGGTCAATGTCAGAGACCTCTGGGCTGGCTCTAGGGGCACGGGGGCTCGATTCAGCATTACTTATGTGATAATGGTGGTGATGATGATGGTGATGATGATGTAAATGTACAGTCCGCGGCATACCATGATCCTTTTTACTCCGTTTACGGCGTAGTGATATTGCTTGTTCCGGCGTTACTTTACGCTGCCGTCTGCCTTGTAACTGTTTTATTTTTTTTTCTATCTTTTTTCGAGCTTTACGAAATAAGTGAGCAATATATTTTAATATCTCTTTGTAGCAGCCTCCAGGCTCAGAATTACTGGCCAATGTGCTCGTAGATTGATAACGTCGTCGTTCTTGAGCCATTCGCTCAGTTTCACGACGCTTTGTCTCTGAGAATTGTGTTGCTATGACAACCAGGCACAGGTTGATCATAAAGAATGATCCAATCTGAAATGAAAATGTAGTGTTTTGATATCAAACAAATATATTGTTACACTTATGATGGGCACAAATGGGTATGGTACAGTACTCATACATGTGCGGATAAATGGTTACAGCACCCATATCAACATCCATACCATTTGGATATAAATTGTTACAGCATCCATACCATGTGTACATAAATGGTTACAGCACCCATACCAACACCCATACCATTTGGGTATAAATGGTTACAGCATCCATACCACGTGTACGTAAATGGTTACAGCACCCATACCAACACCTATACCATTTGGGTATAAATGGTTACAGCACCCATACCATGTGTGTATAAATGGTTACAGCACCCATACCATGTGTGTATAAATGGTTACAACTTACAGCACCCATAACATGTGTACATAAATGGTTCCAGCACTCATACAAACACCCATACCATGTGTATATAAATGGTTACAGCATCCATGCCATTTGGATATAAATGCTTACAGCACCGATACCAAATGTGCCTAAATACTTATAGCACTCACACCATATGTGCATAAATACATGTACTTATAGCACTCACACCATATGTGCATAAATACATGTACTTATAGCACTCACACCATATGAGCACAAATACTTATAGCACTCATACCATATGTGCATAAATACATGTACTTATAGCACTCACACCATATGTGCATAAATACATGTACTTATAGCACTCACACCATATGAGCACAAATACTTATAGCACTCATACCATATGTGCATAAATACATGTACTCTAGTACTCACACCATATGAACACAAATACTTATAGCACTCACACCATATGTGCATAAATACATGTACTTATAGCACTCACACCATATGAGCACAAATACTTATAGCACTCACACCATATGTGCATAAATACATGTACTCTAGTACTCACACCATATGAACACAAATACTTATAGCACTCACACCATATGTGCATAAATACATGTACTTATAGCACTCATACCATTTGTGCAAAAATGGTAATAGCGCCCAAGCCGTGAATGGTTACAGCAACCATACCATACACACATTAATGGCACTCATAAATCTGTAAAATTGTATATACAGTAATGTGACAAACATTTGTGAGGTGAAAAACATTGTAAAATATTCTCTAAAGTACAAAAACACTGACATATAAGAAGTTGGTTTATGTTTAAACAAATGAACTTAATTTTGCAATATTATGATTTATTTTATCAATCTTTTCCAAGCAATTAAATGCTTTGAAGTAATGTGTTATCGTTTTCTAATCAAGATTCAGAAAAGAAATCAAAATATTGCAAAAAAACATTAATCATTAAGACAAATATGATTAACTTTTGGCAAAACTACAATGAGTTCAACAAATTCAAAAATTTAAAGTTTTCCTATTCTTACCTTCAATAAATAAATGACAATATTCAGAGAAGTTAGATGTTAACAATACAACCAATTACAGTTAAGTGCAAAACATGATCTCATATCACCTTTGTGTTCTTTTCGAAACTATGTGGGTTAAAATTTTCAAAATGCATGTCATCTAAATATGGGTGTCAGATAATTACTGATTAGTCTGCTATTTCATGCATTAAATACAGCATACACTTTCACAAGGGTACATCACTAAATTTTACATTGGGATATCACATTCATACCACAAGTTCTACATATCATGCCCTCTGAAAGCCTTAATACATATACATTAAATAATTATGTTCCATATTCAGAGATTATATCTCCCATTCAATGATTATAATACAAATTGAGGGATTATATCTCATATTCAATGATTATGTTCTAAATGGATGGATTATATTTCATATTAAAAATGATTATGTTGCATAGTAAGGGATTTTATCTCATATTCAATGATTATATGTTTGATATTCAAGGATTATTTCTCATGTTTGATTATATTGAATATCTCCTAAATAAATTACAATTTGATGATTATGTATGGTCTGATTAAATTGCGCATTCAATGATATCTTTGCACAAAAAATGAATATATGATCATTTTGCACACCAGGTTTAATATTATATAGTACATATATAATAGCTTAATACCTTAATACAAGGTATCTCACCTCGAAATAAATTTATATAAAAATTCTTAATTTGGAAAATATGAACACAAATTCAATAATAACAATGAATGATAGAGAAATGAAAATCTAATTGATTGTTGTGATGTGTGTGGGCATACATCCTAGTCACTACTGTCTATGTTGCGTGATGTTTATAAGCTGGTGATCTAGAGTGTGTGATAAATATTGGAGAGGCTGGGTCTAATGTGGGTGGGGGACTATACTGAACATGCTTCTCAGATCTAATTATCTTTATCTGACTTGAATTGTACTGGGATGAAAATAAAAATGTCTCCGTTAAACTTTTTCATAGATATCAAATATACTGAAAAATGTTTTTGAAATATAAAATATGATTAAAATGTTAAAGATTTTGGTTTTGTTTTTTTAGTTCTGCTTGGGAAGGTATAAAGATATTTCAATACTCAATAGAACTAATAATGAATATTATACTAATGTTTCATTTTCCATAACACAGATTCCAATTTGTCGGTAACCATAGGCAACTAAGTCATGCGATCTGAGATGACGACAGAAATCATGACGCGGGCTATGACATTTTGCTTCTGATGTCGAACTGCTTGCATTAAAATACTGAGAGCATGTGTGCGTTTTTAATTGTTGTAATTACCCATGCTTAAAGTGTCAATCTGGCCATGCTTATTCCACTCCATTTCTCTCTATTTGAAAGAAGTGTCCTATTTTCTGATATTTCCTTATAATTAAAAGTGTTGACTTTGTGTCTATTAACTCTTTTCTTGCTAAATTCACTAATGTCTATTCATTTTCCCAAAACATGACCATTGTGACAATTTATCAATGGGGACTCACCACTATCAAAGCTACAAAATAGATCCAGTCCCAAACTGAATGAGCATCTTGGATGTAATACATGATATCTACCCAGCCTTCTAAGGAAATAACCTACAAATAACACACAACACATGCACATGTTAGCACGAGAGCTCTACAGACGTAATGCCAGATCCAGAGTCATATACAGTCCTTAGAGAAAACGTGAAATAACAATTAAGCATTTTTGTGGCTCATGGGAATAATTCATTGTCTTTAAAGTAAAATTACTTTTTCTATTGCTCCTTGTATTGTATTATTTGATTATTTAACGCATTATGTTATTTCATGTTTTCCTGGAGTGTAGCCCTTGGATTTGAATCTGTGGGCCCCACATCTAATAGCGCAATAGATAGGGATCCTAAAGGTCTTAAGCAGTCTACAAGCCCTACGTAAGGCTACGTTAGTCAGGACTCTATATCCTAAAACCTAAATTGCCATATATGTTCATATCTTAAATGCGCAGATTTGACCATAGATGGCACAGAATTCCAGGTGAGTCAAAAGGTACAAGGACGTCACTGGGAATTTTATGGGTTAACTATTGTGACAATAACAACACAGTACCATTAATGAACAACCAATTGGTACCATATGGTCACAATACAGTACCATAATTAAACAAGCAATAAGTACCATATGGTCACAATACAGTACCATTAATGAACAACCAATTGGTACCATATGGTCACAATACAGTACCATTATCAAACAACAAATTGGTACCATATGGTCACAATACAGTACCATTAATGAACAACCAATTGGTACCATATAGTCCCAAAACAGTGCCATTAATGATCAACTGGTACTAGAGATGAATCAAAAAGAATATTGTTAGAGATTAGTCAAGAACAAAAACAATAGGTAGAGTTACAGGAGTTACGCACAACATGCAAAATATCGAGGGGTGGTAGGTGGGAAATAAACCTACCACAATCAGTGCTACGAAGTAGATCCAATCCCAAAATGAATGGGTGTCTTGGACGTAGTACATAATATTTACCCAACCAGCTAAGCTGATCACCTGAATACACAAAACACAATGGGGATGCAATCAAAATAGTGCCCAGATATGGGAGTTACCAAATATGGAGATACAATAATATACCTGACCAAGTATGGTCAGTTTTACCTAATATGGATTTAAAACTAAAAATAGGGCTTAAGGTCTTATTTGTTTGCAAATTGTGCTGCATTTGCTAAAAGTGCAACAAGCAATTATATAGAGTAGATTCAGTATAGTTTATAGTCAAATGTGGAGAAAAATTCTAAATAAGTAAAATAAGAGTATACAATTATATGAAGTCTAAAAGTCAATACTTTGAGCCCTATGGACAAGATATGTATCAAATTAATACATAATGTATAGTAAAATGCACACTAAACTAAAAGCAATATGAAATAAATGGTTTGTCGGCCATAGAAGGTGTTTGTAGAGGACACTCATACACTCAATTCAAACTGAAGAGTTTTATGTTGAAGACACATGTTAACATATAATAGTAGACACTTGGAGATGAAAAAAATTCAAATACATCTACATAGTAATGTTGGGACACTTGAACCACTTCAGGCTATGTGTCAAAAGTTTGATTCTTAGATCTGTATCCAATTTTTCATAATCCTTTTTAATATATCTGTTGCAACATACAGAGGAACATACAGAACTTTTAACATACTTTTGGCATATAGAACAACAATACAGGGTGACCAAAGTATTTGTGGTGATATAGAAATGATGCATCTTCTGGTCAACCTATACTACTTATACAGGTGCATGTAGAAAGGGATATAATTAATCTTGGAGTTTGAGAAAATACCAACAAATTATTGTATTTCTTGCAAATTGCAAAAGTAAAACGTGTTTTCTGCTATTTCTGTATACTGCCCTTAAAAATAATACAAAAGGTATATATTACTGAATATATAAAAATGAAGCTATTCTAAATAATTATAATCATAAATATGCATGGTTAACCTGTTTATACATTCAATATTGTACATTAAAGTTCTCCTGGATATCTGATATCCACATACCCTTATAGGCATTCCCATAACAAAATATAAACAAATAATACAAGTGTTAGTTACTAAAATATAAGAACAGTGAAACCTGTAAAGTAGAACACCTCTCATAGTGGAACACCTCTGTTAGTGGAACACTTTTCAGAGTCCCAAGACCATCTGACTTAATGTTAAATAAACCTCTGTAAGTGGAACACTTCCCAAGTGGAACATTGTTAATGTTACCAAAGGTGTTCCACTTAGACAGGTGTTACTGTACTTAGGTCTTTGCTTCTAAGGAGGTCTTGCTTTTATTCAGTATCTGAAGAAGATAAACATTACATTAAACTGAAATAGATTTACTCATGTAATTGCTTCTGAAAAGAGAATTGCAATTCAAATCTGGAAATCATAACTAACCATCAAGATTGCAAAAATAATCCTTTGATATTTGATATTTCTCATTAGATGTACACAGTAAAACCTGTCATTTTGAGAGGTAGTAACAAAAATAAAGGTTTAACTGTAGGCATATTTTGACATTATTGTTGCTATAATCTGGAGAAATGATGGCTCTAAATCGAAAATAGTGGAAACAGCAGGGAGAAAAATATGACTGCTGTCTACTTAGAAAATTCAAAGATTCATATTTATCATAAGTTAGTTAAATGGATGAAATATCAACAAGAGTTTACCTTTAACATTTAGATTGTATGACACCTCCGAGTGATATTAGATTCCTGAAGTTCGTAAAATTAATCAAGTGTCAAAATTCTTCTTTTCATGTTTTGGACTGATAATGTACAGCATTGATTATCTTTACTCAATCGAATGAGTATTTTTGTGATTGTATAACATGGGGCCTATGGAGAATCTCTACAACCTGCAAGTCACATTTTCAAAAGTTGATAAACACTTTTTAAAGCCACATTCCTAGATGTAGATTTCAAATATGATATCACTTTGAATGAATTTTTAATTTTTAATGAAGTAAATCAAGCGTATTTCAACTTGAGTATTTAGATTGAGGTGCTAATATAGCCGTTGACTAATATGTTAATGAACTGACCAGCTTTTTCAATTTTCCATGTTTCATGATACATGAGAATAATTTGAACATAAGTTATAATTATCGCACGATAAAGGTTGTGATAGGTTAATTTGAGATTATGTTCTTCATAAATTTTGGTTTTCAAATATATACACTGTATATCCTGTATATGTAGTATAATCTTATCAGTAATTCAAATTAGTAACTCAATTGTTAATATGTTACATGTTACTAATTAATGTTACTAATGATAAAAACTATTATATTACGCAGGTAGTAAATAGTACTTCTACTGAAATTGTGGACTCGACAATGTGCCGGTCAAGCCTGATTAGTAAATCAATCAACACTTTTACGATTGTGTTGATTAGTGAGATTCTCAAAGGAGGCAAGACCAATCAATAAACAATTAGTTTCGTTTCACGGGAACATTTGAGACCAATAACTAATCGCTGAGCCAGATTGTACAATTGTGACAGAACTTGAGTACAACTCAAATAAAATCTAAAAGATATCATAAAGTATAATATTAATAACAAAATTCTTATCATTTTGATCGGGAAATACATCAAAACACAACGTAACATTAATTTCACTTTCCCTCTGGCCTGTGCTTTTTGAATTGATCTCTAGGGAATTGATTCTACTTTAGAGTCAACTGTTTATTACATTATGCATGTTCCAGTCTCATCTTTTGACATGGCATTAGTGCAGCGTATAACTGAATTATCTGATATTAGGATGTCAGGATTGCCGTGTTTTGAAATACAAAATCGAACAGAAATAAGATGTTAGGCTAGTAACAAACTGAACAGGCAAGTAGTCAGTACTTCAAATTTTATTGAAATTCCAGAAAACCAAGAATTTCATGATTTTTAGAGGTCAAAAATGGGAGTAGATTGTTTAAGCTTAAGAGGTCTCTTAATAGCTGTTATGTTTTAGCGATGGTGTCATTAGAACCCCCTCATGTATTAACTTACTTTGCAGAAAATTACACCCCCCTAATGTCCTTGTTTTGAAAAATGTGGTAAGAATTCATGTCCATGACAGTTATAAAGCCTATAAAGATCATCATCATGTACAAATATTGTATTTTATTCAAACAAATGCAAAAATTACATTCTCACTCTCGTGTTTCCTTCTAATAGATACTGACAGAACCTTTAAAGTAAATCAAACTACATGCAGAGTGATCTGATTTTTATCGGCATACGAGAAATTAGTAATATTCCGCATACTTGTCACACAAGGGTTCATTAGAGAGGAAACTACATTAAGTCTTGAAACAATCGCTCCTTCAACATTCCGTTTCATAATATTACACCTAAATGTTCACTTTGATTCACACAGAAATCGCGCAGGATCAACACAAAGAGAAAGTTTAAAACTATGATATCTGGGGTTTACCAATGTAACAAAAATCTGCAATTTTTAAACCCTCAAGAATGTTTGTGATTTTTCTACTCAATCATTCTCAAAAAAATTCAATTGAAGTGCCAGATTTTATAAGATTTCTATACAATTAAGAATGTTGATTTCATGCTTGTATTTTCTATTCCTTGCTGATTACATACTTTTCCACTATTTTTCAATTTCTAAACCTGACACTGGAAATCTAGCCTAAATCATTTTTGATCCTTTAACAAGAAATACGCGAGCCGTGACATTTCACTTTGATATTATAAGACCTTCCTGCCTTCAGTAAATTCTTGAAGGTCAAACACCTAAAACCTATCAAATAGTGATAACAATTAATAAATAAAAGTAATGAAATTTCATTAATTCATCACATTACAGTCTATAGTACAATGTCCTGGCTGTCAAACTGCTTAAGACATTCACACAATATTCATAATATTATCTGAAATCCAATCATTTTAACTTAATGCATAAGACAATAATTTCCGTTGTATTGTAGACTGAATATGAGAACAATTGCATGCAAAATCTGAAACATATTTCAAATCAAAGAAATAATTTCAAACCATTTTGGTCACTGAACTGAATCATTCTTATTTTAGTGCTGTTTGAAATATTTATTAATTTTAAGTCTCATACAATTGCAGAACCAGAGATGAATTTTTTCAGTTTCTTCCAAAATTGTAGGAAACTACAAAATATTGTAAAGCTTTAAATCTTTTTAGCCTGCACAATGCCTCCCATCTAAATTGTAGAGTAAATGATTTAACAGCAGATCCTTGGTATAAAAAGTTCCATAAATATTGCATTCTCCGATTTATACAATATGTTAAGTCACTCCTTTAAGTTCTTAACTTATTGAAATATAGGGACAGAAGGGAGACACCATACAATACTGTTTCAGTGGAGTCAAAGCCAGGATTTGAAATTCACATATTGGCATTAGTCTTGCATCAAGCCCTTGTGTCCCTGTGATCTCTCTGGGTAGGGAAGTAGATGGGTAGCGTGGGGGTGACAAGGGACATGATGCAACACTACAGTATACTGGCAAATATCTAATCCAACCTTATCACTATGCTGTACATATTAAAAGGAAAACATGTCAAATTGGTGAACATACCTGAAAGATGGCTACCCAGGCTAGCCCAATATTGTCAAATGAGATTGCACCCTGGAATGGGTTCTTATGTCCTGGCTTGCACTTTGTATAATACTGATTCCAATTTACACAACTCTCAGTGGTAGGGGTGTTATTGCTAAACGGTATGGCCGTGCCATTACATTTGGTCTCATTGTACTCAAAAGGTTTTAGATTTGCACACTTCATCATGCCACCATCTGCGTCATCACTGCATATATAGTCATAATTGTCCGGTTTTGGTGGCACATAGATTTCTTTTAATTTCACTCTGAAAATAAATTGAAAAAGAACATGATTAATTTTAATTTCACTGAATATATTAACTCAGTTCAATTGTTGAAAAAGACCTCATTGACACATTTAGTGACATCCATATTAAATTGATTGCTTTTGTAAGTACAACTGCAGCTAGCTTCAATAATATGAATTATTATTAGAATGAACATGAGATGAAGCTGACATTAACGTCACAATATGTCACCATCTGGTTGCACAATTGCAAATCATTCACAAACGTGTAACAATTGTTACAGACTGTTGAAACTAGAACAGATTTGAATTAAGGTACTGTAGGTTAAGCAGAATGAATAATAACAAGGTTAGGAAATCCTATTAGGGCTCAGCTTTAGGTGTGATACAGGGTGATCCAAGAATAAAAATATACAGTTACAGATTGAGTGACAAATATGAGTCACAAAAAGGAGATGGTTGTTCAATTTGCCTAATGAGTACCTCCCTCGGGAATACTTTACCACAGACACGGCATAGCAAACATCTCCCACAAACATCTCCCACGAACATCTCCCACAAATATCTCCCACAAAATGTTAATACAGTAATAATTAGAGAAACATTTTCATTTTTCACTAAACTGTAATTCAGTAACCCTTCAGCCAGGGGTTTAATTCACTAATTAGGCACAACAGTTTCCCTGATGGTATCCTGCCCAAGAAAAAACATCTCCACCTACATTCTTTACATCATCAGTTGAAATTCTTGAATCTTATTGGATGTTTGGGACCATGTGACTTCATACAGAATTATGGGAAATTGGATATTGTTCAGCTCCACCCTTCATTAGAGAAATGTGTTGTCGAAATTAATATGTTTTTTTTCGTAGCATCAAACACTGGTACAAAGGTAGTTGGTTCCAATATCATAATGAAGAATATACCTCCCTTATGCTTATTTCACTGTCGCTTTTTAAGATCTGATCTTTATTTATAAACTGATATCAATTAGTGTGCTATGTTAAGAAAAATAACCATGATTGATAGCATATTAAGGTCCAATTAAATAATCAAATATTAAGGATTCTTACATTTTTGTATAACTTTACATTTAGGAATATCAACTTCACATATGTTTCCTTTATTTCTTGGGTAATTTCATTATTTTTCATGTATTATATGTTTTTAAATGCCATAGCATTTTGACTACCAGCAACCAATCCTTCCAATCAATCAGGGAAATGTGGTCAAAGCATTCCATTGATACAATTCACGTAAGCATAGCGATTTGGATCACGTGGATTGATATGCATGAGTTCAAAAAATCAAGATGAAGGAAAAGATTAAAGGAGAATTCACACTGAATGGTGTAAACAAAGGTTTTTTGTTGGGGCAGACGTTGTACAGGGTGTTCATTAAATTCCTGCAAAGATGCTCTTATTCCTCTGAACATTAGCAATATCAGTGATTACTAAGTATATACTATGTACATGTTTTATATTTGAGTTGTCCTTAAAAGATGGAATATGTCCTTCTGAAGATAAAAAAATAATATGGACATCGCAGTAACCCAAACTAAGTAGGTGGCACACAGAAATAAACAAGGCATTAACATGCAAAATGACACCACCTGCCATTTGTTAGAGACACCAAACCCTGAATGCCAGATATCAATCGCTGAATGGCGAACACTATCCCCAAAAAAGTTGTGGTAGTGACATCAAAACAGTTGAAGCATGGGTCATTTAACAATTTGTGCAAACATTTTTGTTAATATTCCCAATTTTCTATCTGTTGCACCCCATTAATGTGTTAGAGAATAGAGTTGCAGGGGTGAAAGGGTAATATATATCGGCTTTTGGGAGTTGGCTGTAATAATTGATTCTTGAGTTTTTAATATCACTTAGTTCTGCCTTGTGGATTAGATTTGTGGGTGTTGAAATTGTGTTTAACAGGAGTTAATGTTTTTCATTGTTTAGTGTTCCCAAACAATAATTAATTCAGAACACAAGCTGTGTCCTGGGGGATTGAAGAGGCACAGGACGGCTGTTTGGGATTCCATTAAATGACCCTGGTTCAGAGTCGGATGATTTAATAGGCTCTCTATGTAAGCCAAAAATGTTACGAAAATGTATATATTGAATCCCAGAGGTGGGTAGTAAGAGAGATGAAGCTCTCTTTTGAGGGAACAAGACCTAACTACTGAAAAGAGTATAACTTTAACTGTTGAGGATAATTTTGGATAACACAGAATAAAATATAAGTAGGAGGTCCATAATCAATTTTGTCCATAATTCTGTTGATTATTCCACTCTATTTTACTCAATTTCTCTCTACTTTATTTTTGAATTTAACACGAGACAAGGGGGAATGCAATGACATTTAATGGATATCATAATGGAACATTATCTCATGAGTCGTGACACGTCCTAGATTACCAGAAACAATATTAAATGTCAAGCCTGTAAGCATTATAGTGCTTTCTCAACCTCTGTTATTTTATTCATCTTTTTAATACATACATCACCAGTTTACATTATTCTTCTACTCCAAGAGTATTGCCATTACTTTATTTTTCTATTACTACTGTTAAATAAACATTATTCAATCAATACCGAACTAAAGCTATTATTCAATATGCTATAATGAAAATCGTCAATTTTGTCGATAAAGAAATATGTGTATTTTACTCGGGTTTCGAATCCTGACAGGAAACAACACAGCAGCCAATTTCAGATTTCATAACACTCGGTTATCCCAGATGTCAGAATAGGAGATGAACTTGAAATTCATAGCTGTAACATATCCCCCTTCTTAAACAAAAAATCGCCATCGAAATATCCAATAGGTGAAACTGAGTAAGTTACTTATTTAAAGATAATGGTTCAATATCAGTCATACATACAAAGTCTTTAACATGTTACCTTTCATCAGTACCTTTGATGATTACTTCATTCTTATGTTAGACCATAGAGTTATTGAATTTTTAGGAATATTTGTTGGCTGTGAATGGAGGAAAACAGCTCAAAAACAAGATAGTGTAAGAGTGTTTTCTTAAAGATCTTCAGCATTATCTCAATGACATAGATAACCGGAATAAGACAATTCTGCCTCCCTTACAAGTCTCAAATGCATATACTTTATTCGAACAATTAAGAATATTCTATGGAAGAAATGATCCAAGCAATCAAATTCTATGGCTATAAATCATGATTCTGTTAATAATATTTTTAATATTAATGCCTAGAAAAATAAAATATTTCTGTATGTCATGCTAATTCCACTCAATTTCTCTCAAAGATCTGCATGACAGTCCTGTATTTCTGTATAATTAAGACCTCATGCCCACATACCCTTCTCCTGGTTAATTTGTATTTTCAAAACATGAGCACTGTGCCCCTTTTAACTTGACAAAGCTATCCATTTTTTCTTGCAAGACAAGGAAGAGCTTGTCAATGTTACTTACTCACTGGGAATTCTTCAATTGCTTTCTGCACAGCTAAAATTTAATTAAAACCAATGAACAATTCTAGAAGTATCATTACACACAGATCAGTGGTTACTGATAATAATAGTATCCTGATCCTGGATGTTAGTTCTGCATCAAGAAAGAATATATGCTAATTTCCATTTTGAAATTTCAATCTATTTTCAATAAAGGTAGGGTAACCCAAGTTTCTTCCCCCCTCCCTTTACGACTTCTGCTAAGAGGTAAAAGGGAAGAGGCGAGGGTTCGACACAAGCATGACTTTCCCCATGAACATGTGAATAACTCAAGATAACTGAGCTTATTCTGAGAAAGATTGGTATATAGTAAAAAGATTTAGAGTTACAGGCAAATTGAAAGTGTTAATTATCAAGGTTGCCTTAATACTCATGTATGCAATTGGTTAGAATGTTCTAGTATAAAGAAGGGTGTCATATCATGATTTATTAATAATATTTCATGCTGGAATAATCGTAATATTTGTGTAAAATGAGATTTTGCATATATGAATGGGAGAACACCCCCAATACCAATTAGGAGAATCAAATCAGGAAAACATTTAAAGAAAACAACAAAGGCTCAGATCTAGCATTTTACAATACTAAAAGATCTGGGTTTCCCAAAGATAAAATTTCACAAAGCTACGTCATGCTTTTGTGTCTATTAACAATATGAGGGGAAAAATGGAGAGAAATAAATGAGGAATGGAATAAACAGCTAAATAGCAGTCAATCTAAATTATATACAACTGCCCAAAAATAGATCATGGATCAAATTTTTAACATATGGGATAACGGATTAGTAATTAGCCATGATCTTCCTTACCCATTTTTCATTGAATATATAGTACACATTGTTTAACCTTGTTATTATGGTGAATTATTGGAAATATCTTCTAACAGCTTTCTCTGAAAGAAGATATAATTTATCTCCCTCTTAAAATGTTATTTGCTCATATTTATTCCTCTACATCTTAAAAGGTTATATTGAGTGTCTGTTTTCTCCCATTTTGTTAAAGAATGGAAAAATGAATTCATCCCCATTTTAGTCTATTTCCAATATTTACTGCTTTTCCACTCCTTTTCAGTATTTCAAGCTCAAACCTATGTTATTTTATATTTTAAGGTACATCATTTTTATTTGAGCAAAACACACTCATGGATATATCCGGTCTGAAAATGTACATCTATTTTATCAGCCTGATTAATGAGAGAAATGATTGGCTCAATATTCCGTCATTCACAATCCCATATATCTAAATTCCCGTGCATATATTGAAAATGACAATCTACACATACTTATTTTCAGATAATCTTCTCAATTCTTCTCAAAAATTTGAAAGAACTGTTTGATTTTTAGTAGTTCTACACAACATATACTTCAGAGTATTCACTTCATGTTTAATTGGTTCTTTTATTCCTTGCTTATTCCACTCTATATCACTCTGTTATTTACTTTAATCTACAGCGATTAAAATGCTTCTCAAACAGGATACCAAATAATTACTTGAAATCAAAAATGATAACTTGAAATAAGCTAGGAAAATTATGA